CAAGAAAAAGCACCAGTAACTCACGAGAGGGGTGTCGAGACCCTCTTGCGCTTTCAGCTCGTGCACAGTACGACCGCCACTGCGGCTGTACCGATGCGGATTTCAGAAAAGGACACGTTCACTACTCCAAAATGCCGTTGACGCGCAGGAACGCCTTCATGTTCGCTCTGCGTCTTGCAACCTTCTCGTACGCGACGTTGGCGTCCATCGAGCTGCCCACTGACAGCACGCACGCACGCAGGTGGTCGCCGTTCTGTCGCGTCAGACCGCCGTTCTCCAGGAACCACTCGAAGCCATCGCAGTCCAGTACGCGGGCCCACTGGTAAGAAGAGTAATCAGCAGAGTACGCTCACTGGAAGATGTGCAGGAAGTGACCGCTGTGGTAGCGCGGGGGGACGGCAGGGAGGTCCACCGCGTAACTCCGCAGCGCAGCCTGCTCCTTCTCCTCCACGCTGTGAAACTCCTTCGCATCGGAGACGGTGTGCTAGTGCATGTCGATAATGGACGCCTTTGTCACTTCAAGGTGACGAAAGCCCGCACCGTACGTCTCAGCAGCGCGCACGCGGCCCACAGGTGCCTGCGTAATGGGCTCCCTCGTCTCGCAGTGGATCGCATAGTCGCGCAGCACCTCGTCGTACATCGCCCAGTGCTCGTTGACCTGCTTCAGTTCCCCCTTGCCAGCGTCGTCCAGACCAGCACCCGCTTTGCGAATCTGCTCTTCGTAGTACACCACGAGGCGCAGGTCCTCGCCGGCCAGCCCACCACGGTCGTCGTACACAGCTTTAGTGCGGTGATCGAGAGAAGGGTCGAGGTAGATCTTGACTGTGTAAGCGGAAAACTCAGCGGCATAAGTCTCCTCCAGGTGCTGCATCTCGGGGTTGGTGTGTGAGGCGCAGATGTTATGGAAAGCGAGGCGGGGACGCACCAGCAACGTGCCCGTCTTCTCTGTACAAAAGCGGGGGCGTCGTGCTCTACCTTGAGCTTACCGAAGGCAGGGTATCAGGACTATAGCGTGCCCCGCACCAACAGAGGATTGGGGGACATCTTTCCGTGGAAATGTGGGTTTAAACGACTGGAAAGGGGAGATAAAAAGAAGAAGAGCCTCAGCGTTTAGACGGTAGGGAGATGCTTTTTCAATAGCTATGCAAGAGAGGTGCGGTGTAGGTACACGAAAGAGCGAACTTGATAGTCGTGAAGAGTGGCGTGTATCACTATTGAAGTCTACCGCAGTGCACACGAGAATTGGTGGTGATGGAGAAGAAAAAATATATGTGAGGACGGAAGACAAACGGAGGTGGAAACTGCAGGGGGTGAGGCGCAACCACGATGCCCAGTTGTAAAACCTCTAACAAGTGCAGGTCACATTACTGGCTGTGTCTGATTGAGAGGCTTCATACGCGGTGCAACAGCTCTTTTTATGTGATCCCCACGACATTCGATCCTGTACCCGCTTGCTGGTGCCCCCATTTGAGGAGCTCGCACGGTTTCAGAACTGCTTGACTTCTTTCTCTGTACGACATGATGGCAGAGAGCCGTTTCTTTTTCAATTTCCACTTTCCTACATTACAGCCCTTAGAGACGTGCTGTCACGGTTTCAATGAAAAGACTATCCATCGCATCCGCCACCGCCTCCTCGCTCATCTCACGCACCATCAGCGCACGTGCCCGCTGCCCCACACGCCGCGCGTGCTCCGGGTGTTGCAGCACATACCGCATCAGCTCCGCCGTCTTCTCTCGGCTCGGCACAGCCATTTTCATCCCCTCCTTGTACCTGTACGGTGAGTCGGGTGCGATCTCCTCCAGCCCGTCCAGCGGGATGCGGAAGCACGTGTCCGGTGTGATGAAGCCGCGCAGCCCACTCCACTCCGTGAGCAGCACCGGCAGCCCCATCGACATCGCCTCCGTCGCCGGCAGCCCCCAGCCCTCCGCCTTTGACGGGAACACGAAGGCGTCCGCACTCGCGTACAGCTGTGTCAGCTGCGGGCCGCTCATCGAAGTGCATAGCACCACAACATGAGGGAGGTCCTCGACCCCCCGCATGCCGTGCAGATGGCCCATCATTCCCCACCTCTCAATAAAGTGCACTAAATCGGAGCACCTGGCGTCCTCCGCGTAGCGATTCTTAAACTGTGTTTTGATCACCAGCGTCGTGCGGCCGCGCAGCTCCGGTGGGGCGTGCGGGCCAAAGGCGTCCCAGTACGCACCGAGCAGCACATCCCACCCCTTCCGAGCCTCCCACTTGAAGTTCGATAAGAACACGTAGCGCTGCAGCCGCTCCTCCGGCGCTAGATCTGGCAGACTGTCGAAACTGGCCGTGTCGCCTGGAGGGATTGTGATGGGCTCACGCTCGTAGTTTGCCGGGTCGAAGTCGTACACGTCCACCGCCTCCGGCACGACGCGTATCTTCGCCGGATCGATGCCGTTGCGGCGGTAGATCGTGGCGAAGAAGTCCGCCGTGGCCCAAATTTGGTCCCGCGACTCCCGCAGCGGTTGGACCCAGTTGGGTGGGATGTTGGACAGCTCGCTGAGGCTGCGAGCGATCTTCACGCTCACCACACTACCTTGCGTGGGGAGGTGGGCCGTATTACGATAGGCACGCATATGCAAGAAGAACACGCGGGCCCGCCGTTTCAACTCCTCATGCCAATACGAATCATCAGCTTCCGTGCCCACCGGCGCCGACAACACACGATTGTAGCGGCTTGTGTGGTAGGCCGCGTCCAGCACAGCGCCGCCTGGTTTCTGACACACCTGCCTTCCGATATGGGTGCGAATCGCGTACCGCTCCATCAAGGGCCGGATGTAGCCCATCGCCTCTCGGTTGAGGCCACAGCAGGCACAGGGAAAGTCGGTCTCATAGGAGATTACGGCCGGGAAATGCGAAGGGACAGCGGTGCTGTTCCACATTCGCAGCTGTGTCTGGCGGGTGCGCCACGGCTGCCCCACGCGGCGTCGCTGGAGCCCCGCGAGCAGCGGATGCATTCGCCTTCCGTACGCGTCGCGGAGAGAGAAAAGGGCAGAGAAGAGGCTCTGGACTATCGGGCTGCTGCGCCCCGCCGTAAGGTCGTCCCGCAGCACCGCCACGCCGCGGCTGCTCCACACCTGCCAGTCCGGGTACACCTCCTGCATCCGCAGCGACAGCGCCCACCCCCCGCGGTCCGGCGCAGCCAGCACGTGATCGGGAAGCGTACTCGAGGGGTGCTGCGCGCCGCTTACGGAGAGGGCGCCTGCGAGGCCGCCGACGGCGTTGTAGAGGCTGCGGCTGAAGATACCGCAGTTCAGCGACACCGCGTCCACCACCTCCTCCCACGAGGCGCGTTGATCCGTGGCGAGGTACCCACTGAACCGCCGCGCCAGAAAAGGCACCAGCATCGCCGCGTCGTAGGTGCTGCCCACAATGGCTGCCTTCTCCAGCACCTGCAGGCGTTGCAGGTCGTGCGGCGACAGCTCCGCTCGTACCAGACCGGGCGGAAAGAGGGAAGGCGAGCCGGGCTGCTCCGCCGTTGCCAGGATGGTGCACTGCGCCGCCGCCACACGACCGCCGTTGCGCGTCGTCGCCGTCCGCAGCAGCGCATCCAACAGCCCCGTCCCCGCGCGCCGCGCCTCCGACGCATCGTCCGGCTCCGTGTACGCCATCCTCGACGCGCTCAAGAAGGACGGCAGCACCACAAAGTGCGTCCCCGCACCCCCGCCGCGCGTCCGCAGACCCGCGTCCACCAGCACCTCCAGCATCTCCGCCGGCTCCTTGTCGTAAAGCGAGTCGCCGTCTTCCACCGCACGCGCCACCACCGTCACCGCCTCCGCCAGGCACCGCGCACCTCTGCCGTCGCTCGCGTTCGCCAGTCGCAGGGCCGAGCGCACCGACGCAGCACTCACTTCCCACGTCCGCCACCGCGCACCGGACGTCAGCGACCCGCCCGCCTCGGCCGCCGCCACCGCCGACCCCGCCGTCGTCGAGCCCTTCGCCAACACGCCACGCACCGCACTCCGCACCGCAGTGGCCGACACGCGACTCACGACGACTGCGTGCGCCGCCACCGGTACCGCCGCTCCGTCGGCCGCGCGGTAGCACAGTGCCGCCTCCGACAGCAGCAGCGGCTGCAGCAGCTCACGCAGTAACTCCACTCCTGTGCTGTTGCTCAGCGGGTAGCCGACGAGCGGCATAATGAGCGCAATGGGGTTGGCCTTCCCTGACTCCACCTGCACGGGCTGCACCGGTACGATCTTTACGTTTGGGACTGTGATGATGCTTCCAATCGAGTTATAAAGGATGCACATCATAATTATAATAGTAGTTGCGGTTGTGACCAGCTTCGCGTAGTAAATGCGTCCTCTTGCAGAAATCCTGTTGTGGGCAGCGGACTTGCGCTTGGCCGAGGGCGGCGTCACCGGCGCTGCAGGGCCACGACGGAGACGCTGACATGGACCAGATTGTGATGACGGCGGCACCACCACCGCCTCGTCACCGCTGACACCCGGAGGCCCACTGCTACCCTTTCCCATGGCGTTTACGGAAACGATTCTGCAAGCAGAAAAAAAAAGAAACTACGAGAGGAATGCTTCAACATGCACTAAATGAAAAAGAACCGCTGGAAGTCCGTCTAGCTTTCGGAAAGGAGAAGGCGGTGCGTACGCCTGCGCACCAAAGAGAGGAGACGGTGTGTAACAAAAGCCTGCACCGACTGTATGCGTGAGGTTGGCGCAAAGGAGCACGTAGCACGACCAGAAACCTGCAGTTTGGGGGAAAAATAAGAAAAGGCAGTTAAAAAGAAACAATGAAGCAGCGAAATTATAGCACTCGCTGAGGTGCTTTGCGACAAGCAATCACGACTGGGTCGAGTCGTGTGCGTAACGGTGTGTCCACGGTATCTACTTCTTTTTATCGTCAACAGCACCGCAACTCGGACTTGAAAATACCCAGGAAAATGAACAATGAAGGAAAGCACTATAGAATAATAAAAAGATGAACAATGAACAACAAAAATTAGAAAACAATAAAATAAGAAAATAACAAACCAGATCAACAGTTGTATGATTGGATCTTTGAGCTCACGTAGGGACTATCGTAAACTCGTGGAGATCACGCTGAACCGGCGCCGCCTTTCTGGAGAATGAGGGGGGGGGGGGCGCGGTGGTGCGAAGGAGACGAAGGCGATGGGGACAAATGCGAGAAGAGTGAGCAGAGGAACACAAGAAGAGAGACGGAAGGAAACACACAGTCCACGCGGGCACCAAGTCACGCCCGAGGCGGAGACAGGCATTAAAAAGCGTAAGTATTTACAGCAACCAGCCGCGTAACGCCTGTTGCGGCAGACCGTTGAGAAGGGCAACCATTCGCGCATGGCACTTCATCATCGTCATGCTATGTGCTTGCATCTGGTTCTTATGGGCTGACAAACACAGGTCCGGCGGGATCCGTACGACGCGTGCACGCCCCGTGTGCGAGGAGCACGCGCGAGAAGTATATCACCTCGCGGGTGTGTGGGGGGGAAACGGTACGGGCTTCACGCTCGTCAGCCGGGCATGCGGAAGGAAACACACACTACAAAGGTAGCAAATCAATCCAGCAGCGCTCGCAACGACACCGAGCACGCAAACAAAAAATAGAGGGGCTTCTTGTCTCCGTGTGTGAGTCGTTTCGGCGAAAAAGCGGAGTGCTCTGCAAAGGACCTACTCGTCGGCATCTCGGTCTCCTCACGCTGCTCTGAAGCTAAATTCTCAATCACCACGTTGAACCGTTCCTTGCGGTACTGGTCCATGGGTACACGACGCGGCATTACTTCGTCAATCGCGGTCCGGCGATGCCTGTGGTCCGTGTTATCTTGAGACGGGATAGGAAAAGGAAGAAACAAGTCTTAATCCTCCTCAATGCATCTCTGTCCTTGACCTATATGCGGATACCGTGTCATGATGCACACCTCGTTCAGCGGCAGAATAGGAACAAGAAAGCCTTCCAAAAACACGAGTCGCTCAACGATGGCACCGCTGATGCGGCTGGCTTCGTCACCGATTTGAGAACGTCCCTTGGCCAGAATGGAAAAAATAGAGAACGACACCATTGCGTAATGCCATGGCTGCTGGCTCCCCGCTTTCCCCTGGAGAAGGGTAGCCAACCGAAGCGCCACGTGGAGGTGATTAGCGTCGCTGCGGATGCCATACCTGAAAGCGCCAAGACAGCAACAAGAAGAAAGTTGATCAGGGAGCAAGGAGGGTGACGCTGTAGCGCGGAATGACAGTCGAAGCAATACAAACGATAAAGCAAGTGCTTGGCCTTCCATCCCACCTACCACACTCACAGAGAAAGAAGTACAAAGCAATCACCAAAAAAAAGAAACAGAAAAAGTGGAGGGGCGTGCTATGCGATGACCTCAATCCGGACTCTGACCTCCTCCACAGCCGCCCTCCAGCTGCAGTGAGCTCTGACGGCGAGAATAGGTGAAAGCAATGAACCTTTAGTTGTCTCTTCCGTGAAGATATTTGTGGACATCTTCCTGCCTCACCACTCACCACTAAAGTGGGTTTTGCTCGATGAAGGATCGTCAGCTGCAGTGAATAGGGTGATGAGAAAGTGATGTCACGATATGAAAAACAAGTCGCCAGTTAAAGGAGAGCGCTTAATAAGTCTTCAGTTCTTGAGTACCTCCAGCTTGTGAGCAGGCCAGAGGGACGCATAGGAGAGAAAGGGGCAAATCAAGGCAGGAAAAGAAAGGAGGACATAGTACCACAGCGCCGGGATCAATGAAAAGGTGGGATCGAAATAGGTTAGCGCAAATCACATGAGATTCGTCACGGCCTTGTCATGCACTCCTTTTCCAGCACGATTCCCATAACTGATGCTCGAGACTTCTGCATCATAATACAGTGGGTGTCATTTTCCAACCTCTTTTCGCCCCAAAGGCACTCTTGCCCTTGCAGTCGCTTGTGATGAATTTTCATTCTTCTGTTCTCTCTCCTCAGGGTGGAGGTCAGGTAGGGTAGGAAGGGTAAATCAATAGGGGAAAAAAGGGGCTGAAACAAAAATAGAGCTCTATGGACTGTGCTTCTGCATTCCGTTGTTGTCGAAGTGGCTTCAACAGAGGTGCAACAGCACGTACGGCACACACACGCACACATGCGGATATACACGTCTTACGCGTAGCCGTACAGGATGTGGCCGCGCTTGCGCAGCGCGTTCACGACGTCCGACGCCGTCACCGTCTTCTTGCGCGCGTACTCGGTGTACGCGGTGCTGGAGCGCACGACGTCCTCGACGTAGGCCTTCAGCACGCGGCGCACCTCCTCGTAGATCTCGCTCGAGATGCGCTTCACGCCACCACGGCGGGCCATGCGGCGGATGGAGCCGCGGGTGATGCCGCGGATGTTGTCGCGGAGCACCTTCTTCTGGCGCTTCTGGCTGCCCTTGGCATCAGCGGAACGCTTTCCCTTGGCCATTTTCGTTGAGTGCTTAAGTGGATGGAGTTGGAAAGAAATCTGCAGAACGCGATCTGTCGACAGCGTGCCGTGTGTGGTGAAGAAATCGAGGCGGAAAGCATGCATTGAAGAAGCGCCATACACAACAGAAAAGAAGGGATAAAGAACGGTAGCACGAAGGACGGCGCGAATACGAAACAACATGCGCTGAGAGCACAGTAGTACCTCCTGCGCGGTTCACGCTGAGTCACGATCAACAGACTCGGAGGGTGGCAAATACTTCTTAAGAGTGCACGTGTTCAAGTCACGCAGCTGCGTCATGAGTTCTTGTCGTGCTTTATCTTTTCAGCTACTAAAGCAACAATGGCATGGAGGCGGCGAGCCCGTACGTGGAAGACGCTAAATGAAAGAGCAAATAGAAACAGAGGAGAACAACAAAAAAAAAAAAAAGCAAAGAGTCGCGTTACACTGGCTCAAACTGGTTGAGTGTGGTACTTCAGGTATTTCACCGCGTTGTGATCGTCTGCGTTTCGCAGCACAGGCTCCAGCGCATCCTTCACCTTGGCGTGGTAGTCGTTCACCCACTGCCGCTCCGCCTCTGTGAGGGCCCCAGCGTCGATCAAGTCGCGGCAGAGGGGTGCCATTGTCAGGTGGGTGAGTGTGTAGAAGCCGGTCGGGCTGCACTTGGTCGGACACTCCACCACCTCCTCCAGGTTCTCAATCCGGATGCCGTAGTGGCCTTCCTTGTAGTAGCCCGGCTCATTCGACACGACGCAGTGCAGTTCCATGTTCGCATCGGTGGGGTTGGGGCGAATGCCAATGCCAAAAGGACCTTCGTGCACGTTCAGGAAGGAGCCAACGCCGTGCCCGGTGCCGTGTGCGTAGTCGAGGCCGACGTTCCACAGCGCTGTGCGAGCCAGCGTATCGAGGCGGGCGCCGTTCGTCCCCTTCGGGAACACGGCGCTGTTCACGGCGATGTGGCCCTTCAGCACCAGCGTGTAGGACTCCCGCACCTCCGCGCTGGGCGGCGCGAAGCTGATGGTGCGCGTCACGTCCGTCGTGCCGTCCCAGTACTGCGCCCCGCTGTCGATGAGGTAAAGCTGATCTTTGCGGATAAGCGCGGAGTTCGTCTCCGAGGGGCTGTAGTGGCACATGGCCGCGTTGGGGCCCGTCGACGATATAGACTCAAAGCTCAGCTGCACGAAGCGGCTGTCAAGTCGCCGAAAGCTCTCCAACTTGGTGGCCGCATCGTACTCGTTCAGGTCTGTGACACCCTTGTGGAAGATCTCATTATGGAGCCACGCGAGGTAGCGGGTCAGCGCGGCGCCGTCGCGCACGTGGCACTCGCGAAAGCCCTTCAGCTCGACCTCGTTCTTAATCGCCTTCAGCTTCTGCGCCGGCCCGCACAGCACCCGCACCGTCTCCACACCGACTTCTTGCAGGATGCGGTACACCGCCTCACTTGTTTGCCGTTCATCGACAAGCGCCTTGCGGCCCTTCGGCAGCTTCTTCAGATCGCCTTGAAACTGCTCATAGGGCAGAAAGTCGATGTAATCGGCGCACGTGTCGCGCACCTCGTCCGTCACCTTCGCCAAATTGACGTAAAGGCGCACCTTCTCCGATTCCTTATCGATAACAGCATATGAATAAAACACCGGGTTGTAGTCCACATCCGCGCCGCGCAGGTTGGTGAGCCACGCGATCTCGTCCAGCGCCGATAACACCAGCAGATCACACTTCTTTTTATCTAGTTCGCGCAAGAGAGCGTGTCGACGCTCCACGCACGTCGCACCGCAGTACTCCGCAGGCCGCACGTACATGGGCCGGACGTCCTTCTCAGGCGGCATCATGGCCTGCACAACGTTCTCCACCGAGTGCAGCGCCACCTTCTTCTCGAGCTTCTCCCATTCTGCGACATTCACGAGATAAGGGTGGAGGCCCACGCTTGCGCTGGGGCCGAGATGGTCCACCACCCAGTCCTCCAACGTCGGGGTCTCCGGCGTTCCCATCTTCATTAAATCGAATTCAGGGTACAGTTGCTCCGCGGCCGTCGTCCAGTAACGACCGTCGGTCCACAGCAGCGCATTATCCATCGTGATCAACGCCGTGCCGGCGCTGCCGTGAAAATTGGAGACAAAGGCACGCGCTTGCAGATGCTTTGCAACGTACTCGCTGTTGTGGGCGTCGCTGCTGGGCACTACGAGGGCACGGAGGTTGCGGCGCCGCATTTTCTCCCGCACCTTGCGGAGCACATCGGCACCAGAAACCTTCATTTTGGAAACGGCAAGGGCTCCAAGCCAGATGCCACGGGTTGTCTGCTGTGCAGGGCGTTATTATGTTTTCTTGGAGAGAGAGACAAGTGCCACTCGTGCAGGCGCTGGGTACAGAACGTTCTTGCGCAGACGATTGCAGTGGAGTGGGACAGCAACACGACGAGCCGCACGCGTGTTTACTTCTACGTGTTTCTCCTTCTGCCGTAGTGAGATTACTTGGCCAAAATAAACAAAAGTGAGTTGAAGCGCAAAACAGCCCCGGCGTTTGAGACTACGGTACCACCTTAAAGTGCACAAAGCGGAGTTAACAACGAGAGAGACGGCAGGGAAGTGCAACACGCTGCGAGACACACGATGCTTCTTGACGCGTAGGCCTAGAATAGGGTGGTACAATCCATCCATTCGAAATAGCTGAAGGTCCTTTTTTTACTTTCTTTGAAAGCGCATCAGCATTCGGCTGTGCAAGGAAGTAATTAGAGTAGGACTACCAGACGGAGACATTTGGTGTGATTTCGATTTCTGTTGTCCTTTACGATAATGTTGGCAGCGTCGCGCACAGGGTCGCTGGCTTTACAACAGATCCTGAGCAAGTTTTCTACGCCACGTCCACGGTTCAACCACCATAGCAGAAGAAGGAAAAGAGAGGAGAGAGAGCAACTGTACAGACCCGCCTCGCTCTGCGCAGACGATGAGCAGCGGAAGTAGCGTTGGCGGAACAAGAAACCTTCAGTCACACGCGGCGACGTGAAAGTGGAAGCGCAACCGCAACCTCTCCCCGTTCTTCTCAGCTATGTCCCGTCAAAGAATAGAATAACGGGTGCAGGGCCAAACAGCGAGTTCGTCAACGAATGAATTTCTCAGGCAGACACGAACGATGCTTCCTCTCCTTTAACTTCTCTTGAACTTCAGCGGAATTGTGCAGTGCCTCGCTGCTGATCAGCACCACAACGGAGGGCATACACCCCACGCACAACGATCAGGAAAATGCCCACGGCCGCCAGCACGGTGGCTAATGTACAAGGTAAAAGAAAAAGAACGCAATGATCCAAGTCCTCCCCGGACCGTTACCGATCGCCTACAGCTGGACATCTGACGCTGCAAGGGAGAGAAATGGCCATCGACGAGCGTCATAGCGGATCACGCAAGGGAAGTCATCGGTCACCTCCCGCGACGTGAATCTGCCTCTGCGGCCCCCGCGATAATCCATCTGATGGGCCGCGGTGTCTTCGCCCTCGCGGTGATGGCATCTGGTCTCACTGGGATGGATTCGCCACCGGTGGTTGTGGCTGTTGTTGTTCCCCAGATGTGATTCGAAAAGGAAAGATAAAACAAGAATAAAAAAATTCGGTGCGAGAGGAGAGAGAAGAAAAGAAGTGCCGCTCCGCACACGAACCGCATCGTCTATTTTCTCCTGCAAAGGTGGTAAGGGGGGAGGGGGGAGGGGCGGAAGACTCGGAAGCGGACCATCATTGAAGCTACAACGACCCGCGAAACCCTTCTGCATTCCATAAAGGCCCTTTTTCCCGTCACCGTTTCACTCCTCCTCTGAAAGGTGAAGATGCAACGAGAACGCATTATTTGTCATCCGAGGCACACGCTCTTTCCAGCTGTCCCATCATCGGCGTAGGTTGTCAGGTAAGAAAAGTTTCCTTAACGAAACAGAGAGACATCGTGGATGAAGGATCCGTCTAACGTCACAGTAAAAATCTCCTTTTCACTTGCTTTACTGTTTGTGTAATAGAGTGAGCTTATTTGTCACCGTTTTCCTTGAAGACAAGGAGAAACAAGCGTGTCGTGCAGCTCCTTTTGCGGAAAACTAAAACTAAAAATCAGAAAGGTTTCACTTACAGTTGTAGAGCTGGGCTTTAAAGTAGTATATAGAAGATCTGCCGGTAAAAGACGAACGCATAAAATCAAAAGAAACTATAGTTGTCGAAAAGAAAAATATGGAGAAAAGGGAAAAATAGTCTGAGCTAACGCTGCGAAATAATGAGCGGCTCGATACGGGGCGGTTCACTACGTTCTCTTTAATAGCAAAGAGCAGTAAAAGGCCGAACTCCTTGGGCGTGTTGGTGGGGCAAGCGACAGAGCAATATACCTGGGAGTCCCCAACACATCCTCCACCGAGGAGTGCGTTTTTCAAGTAGAAAACAAGCGCCGAAGCTCACAGACAGCGGAAAACGAGGAAAGCGAAAAAAGGAGGACAGCCCTTTATTTAAGAAGGAAAGATAGTTTTAAAAACGATCTCAGTGGTATGTGTGGGCAGCACCGTGTGCTCTACAACCTCGAGTCGATGATCAGAATCGCGAAGAAGATGATCAGCGCAACGAAGCGCACAGCCGGAATGATGCACAGCGCCGCCGACGTCTTGGGTTGACGATCCTTCAACACAATCGGCACAATGAAGGAGTAGATCGCACCCAAACACAGGAGGAGCACCGTGACGCACCGGCCCGCAAACTTCAGGTCCGTGCGATCGCGAATCAGCACAACGCTGGGGCGGAAGAAGAGTTCGCTGAAGTCGACAAGCATTGCGACAAATGAGAGGCAGCTCTCCACAAGGGTGAAGATGTACAGCGAGGCGTACAGCACCCTGTCGGCGCCCTTGCCTTTGTAGTCGTACGCGTGCTGCCACATCACGCCAGCCGTGATGACGGAGCCGATGGCGGTCACCAGCGCAACGCCGGTGACCACGATGCCAGCAATGCGGTAGGGTTCGTGGGCCGGGTCTTCCGTCACCATGCGGTGCAGGTAGGTGAGGTGACTGGACTCTGCCTTGTCGGAGTCGTGACCGTAGGGTTCCACCTTGAGCTTTTCGCTGCAGATAGGCTCCTCTTTTTCATTGCGCTGGTCGGAGGGGTCCTCGTTGTTGGCGGCAACCTTGGCGGACATCTTAGTCGGAGTAAGACAGTGGAGCTTGGTTAGCTTTAAAGGGGAAAACAAGAAAAAGGAAAGACGTTTAATAGCGTTGAGAGTCAGCGTAGGTGCGTGCACACTCTGCAAATGGTAGCAAAGGAGTACCGCGCAGATCCAACGTTTTATTTGGAAGAGGGGGGGGGGAGAGAGACGCAGGTAAATAAAGTCCATCAGCAAAACCGTTTCGAAAGGAGAGTCCTCTTCTGTTTCAAAGTGGGTAGGAAAGCACTCGTAGACATTTTTGATTGTGTAGAATAACGACGAGAATTAAGGCAGACGTACACGCATCTCCCGCCGCTCGAACGCAGAAGAGCGTCATCACTCCCCCCCCCCTCCTGTCCATTCATGCACGTGCTTTGGTCAAACAGAAGGAACACACGCGTCCACGCCCCACCTCAGCTCGGCAACAATTCTATTTTATGACTTTATCTTCCTTTTTCTTTCCTTTTGTATTGAATGTCATCCGTACGTTCCTTTGTTTGCCTGTTTAAACACAAAGATAGAACAATAATAATAGTAGAACAAAAGCACCTTCTGCGGATGTGCAACGGGAGCACTGCATGGCAAAGGGAGAGACAGAACGAAGGCGTTTCTTCTGTTTCTCTCGCGGTGGGTCGGACAGAACGCTGGTGAGGGAAACCGGCAGTGGGAACACGACAAAGAAGAAGAAACACAAAACGTTGTGGGTAGTGTTAGGTAACGTCGCTCCTCGCTTACGAGAATAACAAGCTTGGAAAACCCAAAGCCGGACGGATTAGTTAATAAAGAAAAGAAAAGATACGACAACGCACATTTTCTTCCGTTGACACGACCACGTGAGAGCGGAAACAAAAATAAACTTTTTTTCACGGAAGCTTTTGTGGTACACGTAGAGTAGAAGCAAAAAAAAAAGGCAGTGGCAAGGGATGACGAAACAAACAAACCAACAGAGGCGCCTCCGTCAGCGCGCTAACATCCATAAACAGCTCCGTAGAGTGTACGAAGACATTTACTTCTAAGCATATCCGAGGATAAATAATAAGGGGTTAGGATGGAGAAGGACGAGTATTTTGGTTACCAGACAACGTTTGCGAGTCACTGCGATGATGCACACCAAGGAAATGAGATAGAGAGAGAGAGGCACAAAGCCCACCAACCGTTCAATCGGATAAATGCAGCCTTCATGCACCACATTTGGGGTAAAGTCGAAGAAAAAATATGAAAACGAAGAAACCGCTGAACAAGACACACACGTCAGCGTCACACACCGTCAGAGGGTTTTTTTTTTTTGAGTAGAAAGAAGAAGCACGTACGAGTGAAAAAATTCTCAGAGAAGCGCGCAAAGCAGCTGTCAACCTCTAACGCGGAAACAGCTGAGGTCAGCTCTCAAAGAAACTTGCGACTTCGCGCAGACCTCGCGCGGGAAACCAAAAAGGCTCTCTCTCGCACCAAAAGAGGAAGAACACCTTTTCTTTCAAGGTAATGGTTTTTGACTGATTTTTTTTTAAAGGTGGTTTTGTGTGTTTAGCTCAACAGAAAGACGCCGGCCATCACAAACAGCGCGAGCACAATGAAGAGCTGCAGCTGCTCCTGGATGCGGGCGAGCAGCGACTCATCCTCGCTCTTCACGCGAACCACCTGCGTCGTGGAGGCGTGCTGCTCGCCGGTGACCTTGCGGTTCATGTACTTCTTGCGCTCGTCGAGCTCGAGATCGCCAATGCAGTACTTACCCATCATCTTGTACGCGTTGTCACTGTGCCCGTTGTCGGTGAAGGCCTCCGTAGCGTCGCCGCCGGCGTTGTAGAGGAGGATATCGCGGCCGCCGGGGTGCAGGTCGAGGAACTTCGTCACGTCGTACACCTTGTTGTTGATCACGAACCACGCCCCATCCGCCGACTTCTTCGTCGCAACCTCGCTCATCGAAATGAAGTGACGGCGCTCGCTTTCGGGCAGCTCGCCGACCTTCAGGTCGTCCAGCTTGCGCATGGCGCCTTTGCTGTGGTGCACCGCCTCGAACTCCTCCGTGGCGTCGCGGCCGATGTTCGCGAGGAGGACGTCACGGCCACCCGGGTGGTCGTCGTAGAACTTGGTGACATCGTAGATGGAGTTGTTGATGATGAACCAGCCGTTCTCCTTCTTGTTGTGCTGCGCCACTTCGGCTTTTGTGTAAGTCGCGGTCATGGCTGCGCTTTACGGAAAAAAATAGATGCGTTACAGTAAGTGTCAACAGAGAAAGAGAGAGAGAGGTCGAGGCCGGAGAGTGCGAAGTCAGCTGCTTGAGTGCTTGCCGTGTCGATCGCCAATTGAGTGTAGTAATGAACTAATGTATGGAAAGAGCTTCAATGAGAAATGAGCGATGGGGAGAAGAGCTTAAACCCTGCAGGACACGTGAAGACACCAGAGCCGGAGAGAGTCAGAGAGAAAGTTATAAAAAAGGGAGGCCGTCGATAGAAGCATTTGTGGACGGCGCCGCATAGCAGAGAGGAACGAGAAAGCGAAGCTGCAGCGTCAAATGGCGCCCGCCCTGCGGGCGGAGTCTGTTGCTGCAGCCATCGTGACAAAACGCGGCGTTAATGGGAAACGACACGCACATGAGCACGTCAAACTGAAAAGGAAAAAGAGTGGGCGGCCGGTGCTCTCCGTTGAGCGGAGACGCTTGATCATGAGAAACCACATCCGTGAACACGCCTCTCGAGGAACGATCTGTCATTTTCTGTTTGCTTATGTATCCGTTAGACGCGGTGCATTTCATTGCGTCGGACTCCCACATTCTTCGAGGTGCCGCGCCACCACGGCAAAAGCCTCACGGTAGATCAGACCGCCAAACTGATACGTCATATCAAACCCGCTTCCACCATCGGTGCCCAGCAGCGCGAGACAACGCTCCCCCTCAATCGCGCAGTTCACGTACACGGTCACCTGCGAGTGGAAGCGCTTCGCTACACCCCGGACAACCTTCTGGCTCAGGCCGCTGGCGAAGATGGACTGCACCGTTGTGTTCGTGCCAGCGGACAGGTCCTGCAGCGAGTCCGTTTCGAACTCCATCAACTGCGACGTGGAGACGCTGGTGCGATCGGCGGTGCTTGGGAGAGAGAGACCGACAGAGACGCTGCACGACCCCAGCCGCGGAACCGCGTAGCCAATGGGGCTCTCTGACACGTGCATCCAGAAGAAGCGCCCATCAAACGCGGTGACCTCGATCGTGGCGTACGTGATGAAGACAGCGGCGTCCCCGGTGGGTGCGTCCGCGCCTGCGTCGAAGCCGCCAGATTCAAGCGGCGGTGGTGCTGCGTAGTAAAACGGCACTCGCACCGCGTACACACGTGGCGCCACCATTGTTGTCGTGTCGCTGAGTATCCCCTGTTTCCCTTTCTTTCGATGGGACTCGACGAACTTCAAAATAGGCCGTTTGCTCTAGTTGGCACAACATGGCCAAAGCGACTCGGGAGCACCTCCCCGTTCAACGCACGGCGTATCCGAAGAGAGGCAGAAAGGAGGAGGAGCGTTGAAAGGACATGAAGACAGCACAAACCCCCGTTCTTTGAAAACGGGAGGGAGGCGGGGGAGAGACAGCGAGGAGCCCCTCTAGCATCAGCGCCGCACAGAAACTACCCGCAGCAGGCGCGCCTTAAGTCGCCCACACACACCTCGACGTGGGACGTCTCTTCTCTTCTGCTCTTCTCGCGGTATCACTTCAATGGCACATGGAAGATAAGAACAACACCACAGACGCACACACACACACACACACATCACCGGCTTCTCTGCCGAGGAACAATACAAGGAAAATAATATAGAAAGAAAAACCCATAAACGCCACAAGGGAGTTTCACGCTCGCTCGTCATCATTCGACGATCCCGACGCCGAGTCCTCCTCATCGTCGGAGGAGTCGAACGCCTTCTTACCTGGGGAGGAGGGGCTCGACACATTCTGCTGCCGCTGCTGCTGCTGCTGCACCAGGTTCGACACAAAGTCAGCGCCTTCGCCCAGTCCGCTGGCAGTACCGCCACGACCGACGACGCCCAGCTCGGCGAAGAGCGCACCGGTGGACAGGACGAACGCCTCACGCAGCAGTTTGTAGTTGGCGACCTTATCCAGCTCATGGACGATGCGCTTAAAAAACAAGCGCTCCAGTCGCTTGTCAATGGAAAGAATTCGCTTCACGCACTCCTCGTCCCTCACCAGCTCGTAATCGCACAGCTTGCGATACGCAAACATCAACACGGAGCACAGCGCGGGGATGACGGCGTCGTACGAGGGGGGCGCGGCGGTGTAGTCGAGCTGTCGCTGATCGAGAAACAAATACTTAATCTGCGACTCAATGTCCGCCGATGCGGTGGCCGAGATGGGGGCAGCGGACGGGGAGGCCGGCGCAGCTCCATCCACCACTGCGTCCATGTAAGTCTGCAAGAGAGACTTCAAATTTGGGGATAAATGCTGTCGGAAGCCCTTCAAGCTGCGCTGCGCCAGCGCTTTCGTGGCCGGACCGCCCGCGTAGGCCACATCCAGCTCCACCAAGAGTCCATAGAAGCACTCGACGAAGTCATCCCCACCAATCGGGATGAGTAGAATCTCCGACAGCGAGATCGCCAGCGCGGCGTAGCAAGGGAGGTAGGAGCGCGTCCAGTCCGCAGCGGAGCCGCTGCGCTGTTGAATGGCGGCGGGTGCGTTCGCAATTGAGATGGTGAGGAAGTCGCCGCCGCTGTCGCACGTTGAACCACCAGGCACGGCGGATGCCGACGACGCCGCTGGAGGGTCCGGCGAAGGACTTTGCTGGCCTAGTGAACTGCTCTTCGAAGAGGTCGGCCTGACGCTGCGGAGTGCCGCCGTAGCGCCCCGCTCCGCAGGCAGCCGAATGAGGCCCGCCGTGCTGTACTCCAGCCGATCCGTCGGCAGGCACGTCTGGGCGATGTTGAAGTACTTTCCGATATCGGAGAGATTCAGCTGCATTGTGTTCATCCACAGCGTCCCCTCCTCGCTGTGCAGCTCGATCAGGTACTCGAGAAACTTGACGCGCTTGTTGACGGCGAACTCCGTCAGCGCGGTGCGGCCCTCCACGCCTTTTATCTTCAGCACCTTCTTTAGCATAGCGCACGTACACTCACACAGAGAGAGAAAGAAAGAGAGAAAGAAACGGCCGCGGTGCGACGAGGACGGTGTGCCGCTCGAGGTGACACAGCCGTGAGGGACGCGCAACGTACAGCAGGAGAAGCAGATGGTGCTCCTTCTTAGTTCTCCCACGACAACGGTGCCGGTGCTTTGCAAAGGAGGTGTAGCGACTGCCTTACGGTGGGCGGCCAGCACAAAGAGAGAGTTGCGTTGCTTTGCGCGTGGCATGTGGAGAAGGGGATGAGAGAGAGAGGGAGGGGAAGTTAGGTGAGACACAAATGGTCGATTGAGTATACAGATGTCGATTTGTCCTCGAGCAACGGATACAGTCGGCGATAAATCGAAGGAAGGGTCCACTGTTGCTGAGGTCGACAGGAACCACGTTTGCACCACAATCAACACCGATCTCAAAACCGATCTCAACACACAAACGCCGAAGCACTGAACACGCTCAGTCCTTCCGATGCACTGCCGACATCGGCTCTTTCTTCCCCCACCACGCAACGCTGCGCTTACTCACCGTATGTACGCATTAGATCGTTGCTGTGCTTTCTTTTCCGGAGAACCGCACGGACGGAGAAGCTACGTGTAACGTGCTTAGCTGGTTCGTGCGTTCCGCGTGACGAGTCGTGGGAAGGAAAAAAAAAAAACAATGATAAAACGGATTAAGTCAATGCGATCGCTCAGAAAACAAAAGGTATGAAATGAAGGCAGCTGCAGCGGGTTGGCTCCGTGTTCTACGTGGATGGTGGCCGCCTCCGCACTCGAGGTTCGCCGCACGTGCAGATAAACGACGTTGCGAGCACAAACAGGGAAAAGAAAAAAGACAGCAAAAAACGCAAGACAGTTGGATGAAGAAAAATACGGTGACATAGAAGTCGAAAGAGACCGAACTGTTGCTACATCATAGGCGTAATTCATAAAGGAGAAAAGCGGGGAGAAAAAAGATATCGATTCGTTCAATAAGGAAGACCACTCAACGGGAACGCATAGGCGTTATGGCTGTTAGTTGTCTCCCTTCAGGCGCACACTGAACTTTTCTTTTGTAAAGCTCCTGCGCGAAGAAAAGAAGAAGAAGAACGGAGAAAGAAAATAAAACTGTACGAAGGACCGAAGTAACGTCGCACAAGTGAGACAGAAAGTTCGTATCTTTCCTTTTAAGAAGGAATCAGTGAATCACAACTTCCACCTTGCGTCACATGAAACAGTGAAGTCGATACGCACGCGGTTGTGACCTCCAACTTCTACGCCTCGAGACGAAAAGGGAATTAGAGGTGAAGGAGAATACTTGCAAGGGATAAACGTAGAAGAGGATCGGTGCCTTGCGGGATTCAATTCGTTGAGGTAACGCCCTCTACACAGTTGGCAACACAAATAATCATAATCATAATCATAATCACACTAAGGTGTCGGAGGGACGCGTTGAAGATGCGTCTCCGGGTGTGGATTCGCACACGCCGTTATCGTACGTGTACGTTAGTAAAATAGAGAAAAAACGGTTTCGCTCTCTTTGTGTGTTCTCCGCTGAGCGTCAGGACGACTCCCCGCAGAATAAATGCCGATGTGCCACAGGGCGACGCGACGCTGAAAGAAAGAATGGAAAAAAAGAAGAACGAGAAAGCGCGCGCGCACACACGCGCGCCGTAAAAAAAAAAAACAGGTCTATTTACGCCGCACCGTTGCGAACATTACTGACCAGGCAAACACCCCAATGCCCAAACACGTGCCACGTTGTTCTCTCTTTTCTTTCCTTTTCATTTCTCTTTTCAAAGAGATCAACAAGCGAGAACGGCGGCATCTGTGCGTTCGTATTTCTTCTTTCAGTGGCCGTTTTACATACCTCTCACGGTGCAATGGACGCACCAGCAGGTGAAGTGAAAGCAAAGAAGGACGGAAAGGAAACACTCGAAGTTGAAAACGAAACAACGCAAGTAAGAAGAGACACGACGTCTTGGTTATTGTTTTACTCATTTTGATAGCGCTAGCAGTAGAAGAATGGCATGAAAAGCAGCTCCTCCACGGTGGCCCGCTCCGCAGGCTCCGCGCGCAGGCATGCCATGGCCACCTGCTGAGCCTCCAGCGAACACAAGCAGGCTGGGTCCACCTGCACCACGATGTCTCCGCGAATAACACCTCGCAGAAAGGCGGTTGCAGAAAGCGTCTTCAGGTCGGCGGTGGTAGTGGGGGACGGCGTGGAAGCTGCGGTGGCGACGGGCGGTGTCGACCCAAGCGAGGCGGCGCGTCCACTCGCCGACAGTCGCCCGAGGGACGAGGAGACAGGGGGGGAGGCGCACGGCAGCAATGGACCGCGGTTGGCGCTCCCGCGAACATCGCTATGGCAGCTGCAAACGGAGACCGGCGGAAGGAAGAGTGAGGTGTCATTGCCGGGCGGTGCAGGCGTGACGGACTGCCGAAGGTGCTGATGCGGTTGTCGCCGCGGTGTGTGGCTCACAGTCGGCCGCGGTGCTTCCGGCGCGGGGTAGACGGTCGCCCCGGTGCTGCGCCACACCCAGGGCAGGCGGCCCGTCATCACCTCGTAAAGGCTCAGTCCAAACGACCACACATCGCTCTTCATCGTCGGCGGCTCGCCGCGCGCCACCTCCGGGCTCATGTACAGGGGAGTCCCGCGCAACTGCGACACGTCCCCCGTGCAGTTCAGCAACGCGCTCGACTTGGTCACGCTGGAGCCGAAGTCGCTGATGCGGCACCCGCCGTCGGTGGCCAGCAGCATATTGTGCGGCTTGACATCCGCGTGTACAATGCTGTGGCGGTGCAGATACGAAAGACCGCGCAGCACGTCGGAGGCGTAGCGCCTTCCCACGGTGTCGCTCAGCCCGCGCGGAAAGTGGCGGACCAAGTCGTGCAGCGAGCCCCCGGCAAGAAACTCCATCACGATAAACAAGTACGTGCCGACGTGCGACCACGAGATGCAATTCACAATGTACTCACTCCACAGCTGGCAGGACGTGTTGACCTCCTCAACCACGTCCGTCATGCGCACGTCGTGGCGGGCGAGCTGGATGCACTTCACAGCCATGATGACCCCGTCCGATGAAACCGCCTTGTACACCTGCGAGAAGGCACCCCGGCCGACGCACTCCGGCACGAGGGTCCACTGCTCTCCTTTGGAGTCTTGGAAGGAGTGCGGTGTCGGGTCGCCGCAGACGAAGTTATCCGTCGCACTGCTCGGGAGGGAGCGGTCCAGCGACGCGCAGGAGCTCCCGCTCAAGCCTCGCGCCGGTCGCTCGTGTGCAGACGGCCTCCGCGTCGGTCCTGTCAGGCCACCCGACGACGTCGCCGCATTCAGCGCGGGCTCGTTGGCAGACAGAAAGGTGATGCGTGGCACGTGCGGTTCGAGGTCGTGCACGAGCAGCGGCTTGTAGGTCTGCTGTTGTGCAGGCGGGGTGACAGTGTAGCCGAGGGTTTCGAAGGGCGGCAGCTCGAAACGGCAGTAACGCGGACGCCGCGGCGAAAGAGACAAGAGCGTGTGGATTGCATCCGTGAAGGCGGCGCGCAGCGGTGGATCGAAGGAGGGCAGCGGCCGCAGCTGCTCGAGGGCCACCTCGTACAGCCCGTCCAACGCACTCACAAAGACCTCATGGTAGGCGGTGATGAGCTGGCGAATAGCAGGGCAGAGGCTCTCTTTCGGAAGCAGCAGAAACAGCGTGATGGAGGTGCGCGGGGCGTCGAGGCCGCCGCGCGGGACGATGCTGTCAAACGGCAGAAACACGTACTTGCGCGTGTGCCACGAGAGGACAATGCTGTCCGTCGTGATGATGCGACCGAAAAGCACGCTGTGTTGTCGCAGCCGCAGCACAAAGTCCACGCGCTCCCCCGCAATCACGCGAGCGTAGCGATCGTGGGCACCGCACGTGCCGACGCTGACGTTGCCCGTGTCCAGCAGCAGCGAGAGGCGCTTCTGCTGTTCCGGCGTGAAGCGAGAAAATATGCGCACGGCGCACTGCAGCGCCCGTTTCGTGTGCAACGGGTCCTCGCGGTGGGCCCCGAAGGAGACGACGAGCACGTCGGGGCGGAAGACCTCGACGGTGCCGCTATGCAGCAAGATGAGGTCCATACACATCTCCATAAAACGACGCACCTCGCCGCACGCCAGCTCCAAGTTCCTCGCTGCGTATCGGTAGCTGACCGTTAAGGTGGTGCAGTTCACTGTACGGAAGGATGTCGTCCGTGGGAGGGCGGGGAAGTCGAGGTGCATGACGCCTCCATGCATCACGGCGGTGTAGGGGGAGAGAAATGAGCTGGTGGAGGTTTCTGACGGACGGTGCGAGTCGCCTGACGGCGGGAGCAGCGGCAGGGGCAGCGGCGTGAGTTGCTCGCCGGCGGTCGTCTGGCCTCGTTCCAACGCCGGCGAGGGAAGGAAAAGAGGCGAGAAGGTGGGGACCGAAGTCGACTGCGCTCTCGCGCCAACAGGCGCTGCCGCTGCGGAGCCGCGAGTGCTGTGCTCCTGGTTCAGACGAGCACCCCACGCCATTACTCGATCGGGGTATTCGCCCAGCACCTGCGCAGACGCCTCACGCATCATCACCACACCATTCTGAGGCCCAGGAAGCCTTTCCGCCATCTCCAAAGACGAGGAGGAGGACAGAAGAGCTGTTCTCTGCGTCGCCGCTGCAGCGACTTCGTGCTCCGTCACGAACAAACCCTGTGGTGAGAAGGCCTTTAACTCAGACAGCGCCGCGCGGAGGCTGTTGTACGTCTCGTAGAGGTCGAGCACCTCCCTCACCCAGAAGTTTCCTCGTCGGGTGCGCTCTCGCAGAACGCCGCGCTCGCTCTCGGAGCCTTCGTCGTCGATGATGCCCATCGTTGTCTTCTTCATGGAAAGACACACGAGCTGCAGGGGACGGGACACGCGCCACCACATGAAAAAGGTAAGGGCCGCCACAACCGTGAGAGCCACGGCGGCGATGACGACGCTTGACACCAGGTCGGACTCCGAGGTGGGGAAAAAGAACGAGGTGGGGGTGAAGTCACGGTAGGCCATCACAACGCCGGTGTCGCGCTTTAAGAGCGCCTCGGTCACGACGTTGTCGCCGTCAATACGTGATGTTATCCACCGACCAGGGCTTACCTGATGTGCCATGGGGAGCCGCTCCGCCATGGGCGCCAACGCAGCGACGTGCTCGTCCGACTGCTGCGTGCAGGTTGAATTCTTCACCTCGTCAAGCACGCGCAGCGACTGCACCATCACGGTGGACTCCGTGGTAAGCCCCACGAGGGCGCCCGGATCGCAGCGTGTCACGTCGACCACGGAGACGACGGCGTGCGTGCAGTACACACCGTCGCTCGGCAGCTCCGGATCGAGCGCGAAGCGCGGCGCTTCCGCGGGCACCGGTGCGTACGTGAGGCACTCGTAGTACGCCATGACGTACTCCATGTTTTGGCGGCCACAGGCGACGGCGTCGGTGCGCTCCGTGTATCGCGCCACCTGCGGCGTCCACAGCCCGTTGCCCGCTGCGAACTGCGGCTGCCGCATCATGCGCACGTGCAGACTGTGATACCGCGATGCTCTGTGCACCCTGCGTGCTGCCGCGTAGTCGAAGCACGCGTCGAAGGATGCTCTTGTGACGTAGTCTGTGACGGTGCCGTTGGAGCGGAAGCACGTGGTGTCGTCGCGGTAGCAACCCGCGCTAAGAAGCGCCGTCTCCTCCGCACTCCACCACACTTCTTCCTGCGCCACGTGCGAAGCGACGGTGGTAGGCGGTCGCAAGAGTTCGAAGACGACGTCGAGTTCCACCAGCGGAGCGTCGAAGGGGACGAGCGAGGCCGAAGCTGTGGTGTGCTCCAGTGTGTAGGCGATGCGCGAAGAGGACATCTGCAGTGCGTCGTGCGTCTGCGCCGTAGACTCCACGTACCGTGCGAGTGTGCTGATCGACAATTGTAGCGCCGTCCTCGTCGTGGAGGCACTCATGCGGACGCTGAGCACAGCGCTGCTGCTGAGGAGCGCAATGCACACCACCACCGCATACCCCGTCAGCAACGCCGACATCGGCAACAGCATCTTCCCTCGATGTGGAGTTCTGGGTTTTTGGGGAGGGGATTACTGTTTACACGAAATGAGAAAATCCAGTTATCAGAAATCCAATAAAATATAAAAATAGAAAATATGCGCTCGTTTGATGGCCTTTTTCCTTTCGGCTGTTGTTATGGTAAGGCCGTAACTCTCGTAAGCCAAAGAGAATTAGTTAAAAAGAAACCCACTGCTCAGGCAGACAGTTGAATTCGCTTAGAACAGCGGAGAAGTACTAAACCGACGCAGGCGATAGGTCGATGGCGGTAGGCGCTGCAATCACTCGCTACCCCAGAGAAGAGAACGATCGTAAAATGAATGCGAAGTGCAGATACGCTTCTATACAACAAAAAATACTGTCGTAAAGTATAGGAAGACAACACCAAAGGCAAAGGCCTCTTACGATAAAGTACAGTAGTAGAAAAAAAAGGGAGGAACGCACAGACCCACACCGACAAACGCACTCACCCACAGAAGCCGGGATGACAAAAGCTTTCTGTGTGGCGGTTGTCGTTTGTGTAGCAGCCGTGCACCGCTTTACTGGAGATAAACAATCAAAGGGGACCGAATTGTTTAACTGCAGATATATAAATATAAATTGATAGATATAGATACTGATATTGATATATCGATTATACAATAACAGGAAAGCAGAGAAAAGAGGAAAAGCGAACTGCAATCAGCAAAGGGTGGATTTGGCGAGAGGAGGCGACTACCACGTGTGAAGGAAGAGCCAGCAAGGGAGTTCAGTAGCGGCACACGGGCAGATATTATTGACAGCACAAAAACCAGAATACAAGAGCCAATTAAATAAAAACGAAGTTTGATTGGAGGTACATACGCTTTCAATACTTATAAATACGCTTCACATTATCCGCTTTCGTCGCTGAAGTTATGAGATGGTTCAGGTGTGTGAGCTGGAAACTGTTGGCTTCTACGTAAGCGAACAGCAGCACCGTTAGAAGTCCAAAGTTTGGTTTCTTCAATAGAGGAACAAGTACAAACAGTGGCAAACTGACACGATTGCTCGCTCGCTGAACGAAAAAAAAATTCAAGGAGATGAAGAAACACAAAGCTGGACCGCCCTCCCACTGTTCTTGGCGCGAAAACCGCTGAGTGGAGTTTCCTTTCCCGTAAGTGAGCGGTAACCGTAAAAGAAAAGGAAGGCCGAATTTGCACAACAACAAAAAACCGGAAAAGACAAAAAAAAGGATTTTTAGGAAGACACACGTGATGCGCGGAGCCGTACAAAACAAGACATATGGCTTCGCTTTCACAAGTAATGCTATTGGAGAGGGAGAGGGAGAGGGAGACAAAAGAAACACTACAAAAAAGCACCTGGAAAGGGTTTCGTGCAACGCGAAAACACCAGAAACTTATTAATTCTAGGGCGGGCTCGATAAGGCACGCCGCCAACCCACCGACTCAGCGATTAACGAGGAAAGGGAAACTGGAACGGGCGAAGAAGAGGGGTGCACGAAACGAAGGGCCGAGTTGCAGTACAACAACACGCACACGCAGAACACACACAAAGTAAACCCAAAGGGGGACCAATTAATTTACGCTCAAGGTCCGCCGTATGGTTTACTTCTTTTCTGTCTCTGCTTTTTTTTTAAAAAAACAAATAATAGCAGAAAAGATTTTTGGGCGGTTTGGCAATGGGGTCTGTTGTATGTGCCGCGTTTCTAAGTTACAGTAAAGCAAGAAACAAAGCTGACCTCGCGCAACCGCACAATGCAAAGCGCAGCTGAAACCAGAAAATGAAAGGAGTGGGAGGGAGCGGGAATACAAGAATAAGAAAGAAGAGAGACGAGGAAAGAGAAGAAGGAAACGTCACAGTGAAATAGAGAAGTACTTTTAACGTAATGAACAACAAAAACTTCAGGCGGCGCGTTTGGTTTGATTTACCGAAGAAGAAAGAAATAAACGGCAGTGGCGGACCTACGCACCGCCAAGCACGCCAACGCCGCACCGCACAGAAAGAAAACCAACCTCTGCCAACCAGGCGTACCGTCGCACTCAAGCACAGAGAGGGAGAGAGGGAGAGGCGTCGTGGAGGTGGCGAAACTAGAATTTAAAAAAAGGAGAAAACAAAGAAGGGTGGAGATCTTAAACAAGACGCCGATGCATCGATCAGCGTCAGCGGCGGGCCAAACTTAGGAGAGAAGAAAAGCGTTTTACAGCTGCTGAAAGCACTCGTTCACGTGTTGTATAAAAGCGTACGAAGGAAAGATATATTTATTGAAGGCGAATAAATATATATCTTTATTTAAGTATAGCGGAAATGCTGCATCAGAGCTGACGAGGCGATGCAACTCAACAGCACGAGTGAAGTGACGGATTTGGCGGCCTGTGTGTATTCGTGTGTCCGCAAGAAGAGAGCGCGTCATTTGTTGTTTGTACGTGTCGGTGGATGCGTGGGTGTTCGAGATAGAAACACAGAGGAAGGAAGGAAAAGAAGAATGGAGAGAGATGCGCCGGGCAGCATGCCACACAATGAAACACCGTCGTCGAGCACGAAATGCCGATAATGCGCAGACCTTCTTTTCGAACGGCATGAGAGAGCAAGTGCAGGTGTATGCATATATGAAAAAAAGGCACCACTTTTCTTTAGTTTCCGTGCCAGAATGCACCGCGGACACGGCACACCGGCTTCAAAGCACTAACACCGCCAAAAGAAAGAAAAAGGATGAGTATCGACGTGCGTGCGTGTGCGTTTGCAAGCGCACCGCATACAACCATCGAAGGACATCCTCCGTTAGCGCCGGTGATGCGCGCCTTACCCCGTTTCTGCAGTCTTTTTTTCAAATACTTTTTCGTTAGTCCTCCGGTCCACCTGCAGAGCAAATACATGAAGTAAAAAAGAGGTCATACAAGAGAAACAAAAAAAAAAGAGGAGAACAAGGGAAAGAAATGGTTAGACATGAAACGTTCCCCAGTTACGATCACCAAGGTAGAACGGCAGATGGCGCCGACGTCACAGCGAAAGAGAAGCGAAAGCGCTCTTCAGAAAAGAAAGCCAAAGAAAGACGAAGTGCGAAGAGAGAGAAGAGCGAAGACAAAACAAACAAAACAAGAAAAAACGGCGCAGTGCCATGTATAGCGCAGCTGAGCCGATGAGGGCAACTTAAATCGAAAGAAGGATCACCGCGTAAAGGAATAGAAAAGGAAAAGAAAAAAAAGGGCGAGTCATACCAAAGGGCATGCGCGTTACGGCGATGCGGCATGAGCACCGGTAGAGACAGAAAGATGTTAATAATAATATATACAGATACCATGTTTACAATCCAAAAGACAAGTTCAAAGAGGGGGAGGGGAGGGAAATGCATTAAAAGGACAACGAGAGAGAAAACAAAAGCCAAAAACTATAAAAGGCACACTCGAGAAGCACCGCACAGAATACCTTCGATGGTGTAACACGTACATGTACGCCTCACGTGCTCAGTAGGAAAAGAAAAACGGGTGATCCACAACTTCCCATGAAATGGGACGACGCTGCGGAGACTCCTGCAGACACGCGTCGATGAGCTGATACGCCTCTAACGTGGGCAGGTCCTTCTGTTCCACGCGCACCTGCACAGTGCCGTTGGCGATGCCCTGCACGAGACGCGCGTCGGATAACCCCTGCACCGGCACCCACTCAACCTCCGGCGTGTCTGCCGCTGCTAAACTTGGCACCGACGTCGTGCGCGGTGCGGCAACGACGGAGCTGTCGACCGCGCTCGAGTGACTACTGTTGTTGGCGTTCGGGGTCTTGGGTGCGGTGCTCGCCGACCCGTCAGCGGCGTTCTTCAGGCCGTAGACGTCGTGGACGGCGTGGAGCGCCGCGTTTTCGATCACGGCGGCCGCAGTGGCCGACTCGGAGGCCACCGCCACCGACGCAGCAGCAGGACTGTTGCCACTGCGGTTGTTGCCCGCACTGGCGAGAAGGGATCTACCCGGCACGGCAGGCATCCCAGCGTTCTTCTTCATCATCCACGGCTGTCGTCCCGTCAGCAGCTCATACAGTGTAATGCCGAACGACCACATGTCGCTCTTCATGCTCGGTGGGTCACCGCGGGCCACCTCCGGGCTCATGTACACGGGTGTGCCGCGCAGGTGGAAGACATCCCCACCGGAGGACCGCGCATTTGCCTTGGTGACGCTGGAGCCGAAGTCGCTCAGTCGACACCCGCCATCCGCCGCGAGTAACATGTTATGCGGCTTGAGGTCGGCGTGCACCACGCCGTTGCGGTGCAGATACGCCAACCCACGCACCGAGTCAGACGCGTAGCGCCGGGCGATCTGCAGCGTCAGGCCGGAGGGAAAGGCCGACATCGCGCTGTGCACGCTGCCGCCGGACATGTAGTCCATGATGATGATCATATACGACCCGACGTGCGCCCAGCCGATGTGGTTCACGATGAAGTCGCTAAAGAGCTTACAGGCGGTGTTGACCTCGCTCACCACATCCGCCAGCTGCACGTTGGTCGCGGCGAGGTGGATGCACTTGAGCGCCATGAGAGAGCCGTTCTCCGAGATGGTCTTGTAAACCTCGGCGAAGGCACCGACACCGATCATGTGTGGAAAGCGATGCCAGCGCACGCCTTTGTGGTCCGTGAAGACGAGCGGCAGTCCTTCTTCGCTGTAGTCGGTGCGACCTGTGTCGCCAGCACGAGAAAGGTTCTCGGTGTAACACCGCCTCCGGTCACCTCGCTGGACACGGCTCCACGACTCGCTGCCGGGTGTGCGGTCCGTGCCGGAGCCAATCGTGTCATCCGTGATGGCAAAACTGCGTGCGGCAGTGGTGCTGTCGCGGCTAAACGCTCGGCTGCGCGTCCGTACCATCCCAGACTGCGTCCCCGTCGTCTTACTCCGATTCGCATCCACCTCCAGGGTGCTGATAAGGTTCGGGTGCATGCTCGCGTTGTCGCCGCTGCTGCCGCCATCGCCGGCAAAAGCGTGTGACCTACTTCGGTCGCCTTCGTTGTCGACGTTCGGCGCCGTGCCGGAGCTGCTGCCGCCACCGAAGCCGAAGTTGATGGAGACGTGCTCCTCGTCCTCGTCCTCGAGTTCGTTGATGTGCAGGCGATCGTGTTGGTACTTCGGTTCCTTCAGCTTCACTATCACACCGAGAGGTTCGAACAGCGGAAGTTGGAAGCGGCAGTAGCGGGGGCGGGGTGGGTTCATGTTGAGGAGGTACTTGTACGTCTTGACGTAGCCCGCGACGAGCTCCGGGTCGAACTGGCCGCCACGTGCGACAATCTCGAGCGCTTCCTTGTATTTGCCGCTGCTGGCGAACGTGTACGCCCGGCGGAAGTCTTCGACGCTCTGGCGGAACTCCTTGTTGTTGCGCTTCGCCGGGTTCAAGACGAGGAAGAGCTGGCAGCCATGCGCGCGATCACTCTGCGTGATGACGTAGTCGAAGGGCACCACAAAGTCCCCCGGCAGGCAGAGGGCCACGCGGTCCGTCACCACAAGCCGGCCTAAGCCCAGGTCGTAGCGCAGCAACTCTACCGCCCAGTCAAAGCGGTCACCGAAGATCACAGGCGAGACGCGGCCGTTGGCTCCGCATATTCCGCAGTAGAAGGAGCCCGTATCCACAACGAGGCGAGTGCACGCCCGCTGCGACACGGTAAGCTTCTTGGTTATCGTAATCGCCGCGGCGGTGGCCCGCTGCGTGTGGAGGGACATCACCGCGTGGGCGCCGAAGGAGACGACGATCACGTCGGGGCGGAAAACCTCAATCACGCCACCGTAGCGGAGGATCGTGTGAATGAAGATGTTCATGAGTCGGTTCACCTCCCCCTCGAGGCTGTGTTCGTCGATGTACTTGAAGGAGTAACGGATGCAGACGAGGGAGCAGTTCACGTTGCGGAAGCGGTTCACGTCGCTGGTGTAGACGGAGCGGTTGAGCCGCAGCGAGGCACCCTCCTCACGGAAGGAGGCCGCGTTCAGTGAGCTGACGCCACGGCGGAATTTAACGTGTCTGGGGCTCGGGCTCTCAGGGGGGTTCTGCTCCCTCATCTGGCTTGATCGCCGTCGTTGCGGCTGCTGCTGCTGCTGTTGCGGCGGCGGCGACAGGGGAGGTACGCCGGCGCGATCGACATCGTAACTCTGCTTGCGTGAGGCATCTTTCGCCACTGCTTCCGCGTTCAGGGCGGCATCGCGAGCGAGGGCGTCGTCGACGGTGCTCACGGCTACGACGGAGACGATGCCCTTCGACATCAAGCAGTTACTGTTCGGTGCCGTGCTGCGGCGGTGATGAGTAGGCGGTGGAGAGTCAGGCACACTGTCCTCGTCGGCCAACGCAACAAAAGAGGGGCGGACGGCTTGCGGAGACAACCGCCGTGGAGCTTCGCTCTGGGGGGTAAAGGTCTCGCCAGAGGTGGTGGTCTCAGGGGAGCTGTAGCCGCCCGCTCGACCAGCCGCCTCCTGACCTGCCTCGTTGCCGTCATCCGTCTCGTCGTCGTCGTAGTCTTCGTGGTATGCCGATTCTTCCTCATCGCCGCTGTTGTACGGCCCGCCGCTCATCAGAGCAGATAAGAGAGAGGTCGTGTCCATGGGATCGCTAGCACCGACCAGCAGACCCTGCGGCATGAACGACTTCAAGTCCTTCAAGGCCTGGCGCAGGTCGAGGTACGAGGCACAGAGCTGCTTGACTTCGGAGATGATGGTGTAGCGGGTGATGGGCGCCATGTGATGCTCGTAGGTCAGATTGGATGCGTTTTTCATGCTGGCGCAGATGAAGCTAATGGGCACGACGATGGAGATGGAGATCACGACGGACAGGATGACCACCACGACGATCATCACAACGGAGATGGCGATTGCAATCTGCTGGCTGTGGTTTATCGCCTTGTAGAAAAAGGAGTGGGGGGCACGATCGGCTATCACGAAGGACAGGCCGTTCGGCTGGGAATACCCAATCACCGTAAAGACGTTCGGCTTTCCCAGCGAAAAGTACTCTGTGCAGTCGGTGAGCAGCTCCGACTTGCACGACTTCAGGAATTTGTCGATGGCGTCGGCGATGTCCGGGTCGGGGTCGCACAGATCATTCACGTTGTCGACGACAAGCGTAGAGGTCAGGAACACGGTGGACTGCGAAATGTAGTTCCCTTGGTCAAAGGTGTCCGCCTCCGTCACCTCCACCGTCACCCCCACCAGCTGCCTGCACCGTTGTTGATTACTGCCGTCGTTAAGCGTGTACACGTCGGTACAGTAAAAGAAGTCTGTCGTCTTCGCCACGCGGACGCCGTGGCACAGGTGCGTCGTGAAGCGTTGGGCGTATTCGATGTACACGTGACTCCACCAGCCAGGATCATCCGTCTGTGGGTAGAGGTCCATCGACTCGAGGTAGCGGGCGTACAGCGGGGGTGGGCCGTTGACGGAGAAGACGGTGGACGGGTCTATCGGGTTCACCGTTTGTCGCCGTTTATATTTAACGTACTGCGTCGTGTTGGCCGCAGCATCGTAGAGGGAGCACAGCTGTGTCTCACGATCGCACCCGGTCATGTACCACAGGTTCGTCGTCGTGTCGAGCTTCAGGCTGAATGTGCCCAGATACTTGCTGTTGATGTTCATCTCCGGCATTGTCATGAGCTTCCACGCCGGGATGAAGTCGTTCACGTTTTGGCTGGTAATGTCCGTGAAGGGCGTGAGGTACAAGCGCTCGAGCAGCATCGCGAGGAGATAGGTCGTTATTTCATAGTGGGAGATTTGGTCTACCGCCGCTTGCTTCAGTGACGCCATCGACGCGCGTGCCAGCCGGAGGACTAGTCCATTCATCGTGTTCCGCGTCAATACGGAAAACACCACCGTGATGGTGACGAGCGCAGACGCCACCAACAAGGCGTAGAGCACCAGCACAATGACAAGTCGAACAGAGGCCATGGTGGAAAACAGGAATAAAAAGACGAGCAAACAACTTAAGGGCAAAACAAACTGGAAAAGTATTTATAAGCACACCATTCCGATATAATATTTATATATTTATATTTACATTTAGATGTACCAAACGCCGTCGCACAGGTCTCTTTAAAGCAAAACTGGAAGGAAGAAACGAGGAAGAAACGAGGAAGAAGGAACCACAGAGAGATTTATGCAGCACTTCGAAGTCACATTAGCACCTTCGCACCGCAACCACCTCGTCACCACACTCGCAACACAGCTCTACGAATCAGCAGCGAAGGAAGATAAGAAGAGAGCAAAAACAAACAAAAAAGAAACAAGTTATACAACGGCGCCAACTGTCTTTGTACGTGAGTGATTGTGTGCTTAAACTTTGCGAGGTGTCGCAGATCTTTGCTGACGTAAAGAAAAACGAGTAGAGAAAGAAAAGCAATGTATCCAGTACTCTCAGCACACGCATTCACATAAAGATTTATGCACGTATATATATATATATATATATATATATACACACAGACCAAGAGCAGAGGAGTGGAAGTGGAACAAGAGGAAAAGAAAAAACAAGAGGGAGAGGCGAGACACAAAAGCAAATGCAGTGGTACACCTTCTACACGCACCTACACTGGAATAGATACGTACGCGTACGCGCGTCACACGGAAGCGAGAAAACCAGCGGACGGCGAAGCGAATTACAGAAGTAGTCTCTTCACAGTTTTAAACACGGCTGTGACACGAGAAGTAGAAAACGAATTTTTCCTTTTGTTTTTTGTGATGTGTCTCAGACTGACCGTTCATTCGGCTTTGCGTGCGGCGCATTATGTATTATCCGGTGCAGCCGTGATAGGTAAGGTAGGGGGGGGGGGAGAGCGATGCGATGTCGCGAACACGTGAGAGGGGCATTGCATCGATGCCGCGGAGGGAGAAGGAGTAGAAAGAGGAGGGAGAAAAGAGGAAGGTGAAGGGTTTATCACCACCGGAGGATGCATTCTTTCCTTCGCGATACTTTTTGTTGTAGACATTGTGAAAGCGGTCACCGGAAAAAAAAAACACACCGTGTTCTCTTTGACAATGCGCGTCTACTTCCATCAACTCCGCGTTCTGCTTTGGTACCGTGGGGCAATACCGTACGATTGAGTACGTCCCTTCGCTTTCTGCTTTTGATTATGGTGCGATTGCATCTGTGAAGGAGAAGGATTACAGCCTCCGCCATTACAACTTACGTAATTCAAACACACCAAGAAATGCTCCTTCTGACCAGAAAAATAACACAGCACTGGTAAAGAAAGGCAATGTAACACACACACACACACACACACACACAGTTACGATGCTGCATCGTAGAGCAACGATGTGGGGCCACGCACGAGTACTTCCTCGATGCCGCCTCTTTTAGCATTCACCTTCATTTCCTCATCGTGCGCCGCGGCGTTGTTCTCCCCTCCCGTCTCTTCCTTGGCATCGCTGACGGTGGTGTGCACCGCCTCTTGGACGGGTGCCTCAGAGAGGTGGCTATGGTCGATCGCGGCGATCACCGCCTGCCGAAACAGCGAAGGCGACGGCAACAGCGCCGCATCTTCAACAGAGTCTACCCAGCGGGTGAGCCAGTACACGGCGAGCAATACTTTCCTGGGCCGAGCATGATCGCCTTTGTGGTCTGCTGCACCGCGATGTACATCCACCGCCCATGAGTGGACAGGGCACCCCGGCACCGGCGGCACCGGAACCCCTAACAGCTGCGGCAACGGAACGGTCGGGGGCGGCGGTGACGCCTCCGCCGTGGTGGCCGCCGCCGCCGCACCACTCCACTGCAGTGCCCCCTCAACATCCGCCAGCGGACTCAACACGTGCAGCGCGCGCACCGGCGTCGCGGTGGGGATTCCTGCCAGACGAGCAGCGATCGCTTCCTGCAAAGATGCAGCGGTCCTCTCGCCTTTCGTGTTCCACACGCGCGCCGCGTCCGCCCACTCCGTCGCCGCAGACGTCTTCCCGAAGACCTCCTCCAGCAGCATGTAGTCGTGATAGCGCATACAGACCGCCGTTTCTTCGCCGCTGTGAGGGTGCGGACTGCCCGACATCGCCGGGGAGGCCACCGTGAAGAGCTTCACGAAGGACTCCATAAAGCGCTGCTGCTCCGCCAGCGGCCACACCTCCATCAGCTGCCTCCACTGAAAAGAAGGGGGAAGGGTAACGAGCAGCGGCGGGGTGCAGGACGACGGTGCGGACGCGGCAGTGGACGGCGACGGCGAAAAAGGCCACACCGATAGCGTCTTACACCACGGGGAGGTCGCCACCGGTGGGGGAATGGCTGCCAACATATCTCGCACGGCCTGCGCAAGGGGGGACGGTTGTTGCCGCGGCTGGTCCTGCTCCTGAGACGAGGAAGGGGTGGCGGAGGCAGCAAAGCGGCCGTTACCCTCGTCGCTGTTCGTCAGAGAAGGTACAAGGCAATCTGCCCGCCGCAGCACCACCCACAGTTCCTGTAACGCGCCAACCGTCACAACCGACAGCGACGGCGCCACCTTTGCGACGGCTTGGCCGGTGCAGCGCCTACCATGTTCGTCCGTTGTCGAGACACCCAACACGGCGGCGAACTCACCTACCCACTGCTGAAAAATGGCTGCTGCGGCGGGCGTGTGAAGGGACGAGGCGGCGCCACTGTTGGGCTCGTCCTGCGTCACCGAGGCACCGGTGAGTAGCAGCACAACCCGCAAAAAGAAGGTGCGCTCCGCATTCACGGCGGCCGTGCTACGCGTCACACGATGCTGCGCCACGGCGCCGCTCGTGAGAAGATCCAGCATCGCAAACGCAGACGTCATCGGCGGCGTCGCCGCGGTGGTATTCGTGTCGACGGCGCGCGACAACAGCGTCGTGGCCACCGCCGCCTGCACCACGTCCGCCGTCAGTGGAAGCCGAGTCTGCATGAAGCACAGCAGTCGCTGCAAGACAGCGGCAGGGGCGGACGTCGAGTCGCCGGCTTGGGCGAGGCAGACAGCGGCCATGTTTTCTTCCTGCAGCGCCAAACTCCGCGAAGACGGCTCCGCCAGCTTGTTGAAGAGCGCTATCGACCGATTTGCAGCCCTCGCCGCACCGCACACGCGCAGGCAGCCGGCCAGCACATCCGGGTGCTGCACCACCTCCAGCGAGGAGTTCAGCAGCGTACGGCGGTAGAGGTCTTCCAGACACTCCATCTTACTCCGCGACCCAAGCGGCACGCGCGCGAGGGCCAGCAGCAGGGCAGCAAACGCGCGTCGCACGGCGGTACCCCCGTCCTCTGCCGAGTAGCCCACCTCCGTCTCCGAAAGCATGCGACCGTACAGCTGCACCACCATGTTGAAGTGCTCTGCGTTGGCGTCTACGCAGTCCGCAAGTGGCTTCAGGAGTTGCATCGTAACGACGGGGTAGTGCGTCAGGGAGGTGGTCCAGGCAGAGCCGGACGAGCGTGCCTGCGCCGACGGTGCTCTACCGACGTCGGAGGCGTCACTATCGTCCTGGTGCGACAGGAGCGCAGTGGTGGCCGCTCGATGTACGAAGAAGGCGTACGCGCGTGCGAACCCGCCGCTGCCGTGTACGCGGGATGAGTGGCCGTCGCGACGAAGAGGAACAGAAGACGACGACGACGACGGCGACGTGGGGCGGGTGCACTCGCGAGCCACACACGTCATCGCTGCCTCGTACACCTCGGCGCCGTCCGCTTCGTACCACGCCTGAAACGCCTCCACGTTCCGCTGCGATTCCTCCTCGCGTCGATAGTGGAGAGAGGAGACCGTACCTGCGCCGCGCACCACAACATCAACGCTGTTTATGAAGATGTCCATGAGATGCTGACCGACGTCCTCTCCGTGACACGCAGCGGCCAGTCGCAGACACGCGAGCATTACACCGCGCTCCGCCGCCGTCAACAACGCCGCCGTGGCCGTCGGCGTCAGCTGTTCACGGCTGCTGCTGCAGCCACTGCCCTCTTTCCCATTGGCTTCAACAGTGTTAGAATGCGCATCAGCATTCCTTTCCTCGCCCACCAGCCAGGGTGCGGCGCAGCAGCGTACGACGGCGCGTGCCTCAAGAACGCTCTGCCGCCATGTGTTGGACAACGAAACACGCGTTTGAACCGCTGCAGCAGCGGTAGCAGCGCTGTCACCGTCAGCATCGGCCACTGCGGCTTCGGAGACAGCGGTGCGGCGGCGGCGGTGCTCGCTGCGGAGGCCGTCCGCAATGAAGCGGCGGCATCGCTCGATTCGAGCAGTTTCATTTATCAGGAGTTGCAGCCGCACCGGCGAAGGAAGACTCGCCGACCACCGCAGCATCGGCACTACCGGTTGATGACGAGCGTCGGACTCGGTGGTGGAGGCATCACTCGCCCTTCGCTGTGGGGCGACGACAGAAAAGGGGAGGAAATGTGTTGGAGGATAACAAAACTGGACACATGCGCCTGCACACCAGCTTGGCACACGCGCATCAGGTACGACGTCCACACAGCGGGAGACACCGAAGGGGGCCGCGGTGGTGTTGTTGCGTCATTTATTGTTGTGGGTCGAACCTCTGGTGTTGTCGACGCTGTCGTTGTTGCTGGGGCGGGGGTCGCCGCGGCGCGGTACGCTGCCCGGTCGATCACGCCCAGCTCCTTCATGAGCGCGGCGCTGGCGGCGGCGGTGGCGGTACGGTGGACAATCGAAGGCGCCAACGCAGCCAGTGCCTCGTCTTCCTCTCCCTCTTCTTCTTCCGACACGCCCATCACGTTGGCCGCGAGCGGACAAGCGTTTCCGCGACTCCCCGTTGCGCCTGCACTCTGCGATAAACGTAGAGGCTGTGCGTCGTGCTGAGTCGAGGCAGCACGCACCGCCTTTTTGAGCTGGCGTGAGGCATGTATAAACCGCACCCACGCATCTCGGCGGCGCGACTCGTCCGCCGTTGCGGCATCAACGTGACGAGACGACGACGAGGCGTGAGCGACCGCGGTGGTGAGGGCTGACGTACGCCATGTCGTCTCTACCGACGTTGTCCGCTGTGTAGCGAGATTGCTTGTTGAAGCTGACGCTGCACGCAACACGATGGCGCCATGTCGCCTGCGAAAGGCAGAAAACATTCGCAAAGAAAAATACGCTTGACGAAGCAGCTCTCTTCTTGCCGTGGTTGCTATAACCGTGAGTTAAATACCGCTTTGACGCAAAAAGCGGCGAGTAGGTACCTCCGCACAGCGACACCACAAGAAAAACAACGTTCTGCTGTTTTTTTTGTATTTTAGGGGAGGAGGAGGGGGGGGGGGTTTCAGAGCTGTTTCACAGACGTAGAGAGGAGGAGAGATGCGACGAGTAGAGTGCGAGAGCCGCCACGCTCATCAGCTCATTTCGCCAATGTTACCAGACATAACGTGGGTCCGTAGAAGCACCTTGTCGACACCGTAAACGTCAATTATCAAAGCAAACTGCTTTGGAAACAAAAAAGGAGGCGCTTCCGATTCATTCGGTGACATATGCGATGAACTACCGCGTTAGAAAGAGGAGTAGCTCTACAGAGAACTGGGATGGATAGCTGAACGGCGTGCTCTCCTGGTGTCGTTCCTGATGTACCTACGCGGTTGGGTTTACGTCTGTGAGCGCATCCTGTTGAAGCGCAACCGAGTCGCCAGCGTAAATACCCACACATACACACACACACGCCATCTCCGCCTTCATATATGTATCCCCACACCGTTGTGTTCCATAACAGCGGAAACACCAATCACCGCCCGCTACAGCCACCGCTGAAGTCCAGGAGGACAGACGACTCACCTCTCTTTTGGGCCCAACACACGAACGCAAGCCGCCGTCGACACGAAGCGGCTGCCCACGACAGCAGACTGCGTCACCTGGCACACCGGGCTGCCGCAGCGTCCACAGCAGCCAAGAACCACGGCGGGATCGCTGCGGTGGTTCCCATCGCGCAGGCACGTCTCCCGCCACGACTGCGCGTGCTGCTCACTAATCCGACGCCCACGCAGACGGACCAAGTCACCCTCCACCGCCAGCCCACGCTGAGCCATTCCCGCATCTGGCACGTGCACCCGCAACGCCTTCGTCGTGCCCGACGAGGGCGAGTCCGATAAATTGGCGACGACGGACTTCTGAAGCACGGTGCGAAGGCGAACGGCGGAGTTGGAGAGGGGAGCCACAAAGGTTGGCCAGCCACTGCTGTGATGGCCGACACGGCTGCCGTGCACCAAGTCGCTGCTGCAGAAGACAGGGGAGTTGCACCCCCGGCATGCGTAGAGACAGGCGTCCACACTACCCTTCCTTGCGGCTTCACCGTCGACTGGTGTGAAAGGAGGATCGAACATGAAGTGAGTGGGCAGCGCTGCGGTGTGGTCTCTTCGGCGTGCGAGTGAGGAGGAAGACGGTGACGCAGGAGTGCGCTCCGCCTCCAGTGACGGAAGCACCTTCTCCATTGCTGCACCTTGTGGTCCGTTGTGACTCGTGTGAAGGAAGGTGGGCGGCAGCGTTGACGTGCTCCGCCGATGGCCACTCCACAGACCAGCTGAGGTCACACCACTCCCACGCTGCGCTGCGGCGAGCAGGACACGTGTGTGCGCCACGACACCGGTGGTTGCACTCTGTATGGGTGTTCGTCTACGCATGAGCTCGAGCGTGTGCAGCAGCGGGGGGCAGCGCAGCAGACGGCGTGGTCTTCGCAAGCTTCGAGTACAGCAGTTCATGGAGCAGGAACAGATCTTCCATGCAGCGACGATCAAAGCATGTGTTGTGGTGACTCCATCGTAGCATGGGAGAAGAGAAGAAAGGAGGCAGAGACGGCGAAAGAAAGAAGATTCCAGTGCAGCGCCACGGAGTATCATGTCCTGCGCCTTTTCGCTTCTCGTAGACGGTGGACGGCAAGCCGAACCACGACGCACGATTATTTTTTTTAATTCTCTCATCACGCATTACAACCGTTTTGTCGCGAATGGTGGTGCCGTGCAAAAGCACGTCAACCTTGTTTCTCTCTTCACGGCTAAGTGGTGGCTCACAGTGAACAGCCATACAGCCGCAGGTTTGACCTTCTTTTTAATGAGGCGACTACAACGCCATCGGTGGGTGTGCCCAGCGAAAAGATCATCATTAATCCATTAGATACAAAAAGGGAAAAAGTAAGAAGCCTTCCGGTGTCCGAGGCAGCAGGACGAAAACCCCGCGACGGATCCCCGCACGCGACGCCCCACCACCTACACCCCCCGACAAGAGATGGTGCAGAGGAAACCCATGTCACACCCAGCACGAATCGACACACGACGCAGCTGCTCAGTCCCATGCTGTGCCGTTGTCTGTCGTTGATCAACGGGCCGCAAGTCTCGTTGTGCACGCTTTTATCTTTCTTTCTCTTTCTCTTTCCTTCCTCCCTCAGGGCGAGGACACCGTGTTAGTTAATGAAACGTCGCTTGACCCACAGCGAAGACACACACACACACACACACACACACACACACACACCAACGGACCAGCGTCCCAGCAAACCAAAGAGTCAAAAAAAAAAGGGGGAGCGTCGTTTGCACCCAACGACGGTCCCTCTTTTGCCAGAGGAACACCACTATTTTGTTGTTGCTTAAAGAGGGGTGGGGGTCTTCGCCTCCTCCCTCCTCGTCGTCGGCAACATCGCATGTTATCGTAAAACGCGAGGGATGGACGAGTGCGCAGCTCAGCGCTTTCGTTTCTTCTTGGAGCTATGTGCTGCACTGGCGTTCGTATTGGCGACGCTTTGATGCCCCTTAGAAGCAACACCGGCAGTAGCACCGCCTTCCGGCTCCTCAGCTCCGCCACGCGGCAGCCTCGACCCCGCCAGCTCCTTACGGAGCACCTGCCCAATGTTCGACTTGAAGTAGTTCACCGCCTTCGCCGTGCTGAGAATCGCGGTGTGTTTGTTCCGTTGGCTGTCCCGCAGGCGCACAACACACTTCGTCGGCGCTGCATCCACACCGCCGCCCTCCGTCGGCTCTGCCGTAGTAAAGTGGTACTGCTGCTCCCGTGCGTGTTGCTGCTCTTTGAAATAGTCCTCGGCGGATGCGGAGGGCGTGGCGCGGGTGCGGTAGCGAAAGAGTATCGCAGCCTCACGCGTGCACACGTCCTCCCACTCCCCCCGGGTCAGCGCGAAGTCGGGGATTTCGCCGGGCTTCTTCTCTTTCCCGTCCGCAACCCCCCCGCTGTGCGTTTCGACTAGCTGATTCAAGAAAGACCCAACCGGCGCAGGCGCTAACATCAGTGATGCGGCGGCATACTGCTCGGCCAAGTACGCATCACCTTCCTCCGTCGGTGTGCCGTCCGAGTTGACGAGCTCGCCCTCTCGCGCTTGCTGCCACGCGCTCTCCACGTATGCCTCGGCCTCTTTCAGCGCGGCTACGCGGCGCTTCTCTGACAGCACCGCTCGTTGCTGCGCACGGGTGCGTACGACAGCCGCGTTGGTGGCGAGAGGCACGCTGCGTGGGCCGAAGCCTCCTTTCAGCACCATCCAGATGGAACCGCCCTGCTGACTGCGGCGCTGCGAGCCGCGGCGAGTGTCCTTCGCTGGTTTGCGCGTCGACATCTTCGCCGGCTGCTTGTTCGCTGTCGGTGCAGCAGCAGCAGCAGCAGGCGAGGGGGTGCGACGGACGTTGTGCTGCTCCTTGTGCTGAGCCTTGGCGACGTGGAACATTTTAGCCAGCTCAGCCAGCAGGGCCTTCTCCTCTGTCGGCTTACGAAGACCTCCGTTTCGTGGCGGCATGGCGGCGTCGGAGACGATTTGAAAAGAAAAAAAAAGGAGGAGATTCTTTTTTTGGCTGTTGTGGCGGTGGTGGTGGGAGTGGATCGCCGTTCTCCGCCTTCTCACCTGTGTACTGAGGTGTCGTTATGCAGCTCCAAGGTGAGGACGCGTTTCCACACAAGGGCACAAACAGAGCCGAAGGAACACCGTTGATGGCGACTACGCAGTCCTCCGGCAGATCGCGTCTCAAGTGCTCTCTCTCTCTCGAGCGCTCTCAGTTGTATGGAGGAGAAAAACGGTGCCTCTGCCCTTTTCTTTTGAAAGTGGTGAAGGGAGGGGGATGTGAACTTAGAAATACAAAAAAGGGGAGGCCAAGGAAGGAAAAAATATATAAAGGTGCGAGGCGTGCGGTGTTCGTCTGCCCTGCGTGCATCGGTGTTTTACGCACCTTACCGTCATAAGCGGCGAGCAAACAGATAGAAGCTAAGGGAGGGGAAGCTAAACACGCTTCGTCTTTCTACTGCGGATATCACAGAGTCGAGGTCCTCGAGATATTTTCGCTGCTTGCTCCTCTTTCTTTTTCCTCCCCGCCGCTCCGTTGGGCTGCGAGAACCAGCAGTGCCTGAACCCCATCACTTCTGTGTTCCCATCCTCGGTGGTGCGTGTGAAAGGCAGCGGCGTTCGCAGTGGAGGGAGGAGGGGAGAGTCAGGACTCGTAGCATCGTTTGCGCGTGCGTGCATTTTTTTTTGTCCTTTTCGCGACAAATAAAAAAGACCCACATCGAAGATGTACGCGGTGACGCTGTCGGAAAGATTTTTACGGTCTATTAGCGATGTCCGCGGCTGCCCCGATACATTTTTTTTTGAAGTGCACCCCGCGAGAACGGCCAAACCACACGACAACTCCTATACAACAACAGAAAAACCGATGCGGAGAAGAGCGAATACGAAGAGGCGGCGCGCCGACCGCTACCAGATTTAGCGGGGGTCACAATGCCCACATAAAGGCAGCAAAAAATATATATACACGAAAGAACAGAAATGAAAACAAAAAAGGCTACGCGCTTTCCGAAGCGCATCGACGGCACACCACATTAACAAAGAAATCGAATCAACGAGAGAGAGAGCATATTTTAATATCTTAATTTTGCCTTTCGTGGTGTCCGTTTTTCGTTCTACAAAAAGAGAGGGGAAAAGGGGAAAAAGTAATGAACAAAACGAAACAAAGAAAGAAGAAAAAGGGGAAGCTGACGATACTTCAACGCGTTCCCCTAAACATCATCATCGGAAACGTTAACGGAGTGCGAGGGACAACGACGCAGTCGGAGAAAAGGCAAGACAAAAAGGAAGGTAGTGAGTGAGAGGAAAGAGAAGAACAAGATATCGTAAAAACGGGAAAAGAGGAAAGAGATATGAAAAGAAAAAATCAGAAAAAGGCCCCGGAAGATTCGCTCTTTGAGGAAGACACACGTGTTCAACAGCGGCTAACTCTCTCTCTCACACACACAGACACCCAAACACATAGCAAAGCTACTCCACGAGCACCTTCACGCGGGCGCCAACGAAAACAAGAAATGATTAGGAGCGCGACAGACGGGTGTACCGAAGACACTGATAATACGGTAGTGGGGTTGGAGCAACAGAAACAAAAAAGAAGATGTAAGAAAAAGAAAGTAAAACAAAAAGATCGGGGAAGACAAGTACGATGAGATATTTTTCTCACAGCTGCACTTCGCGAGGTCAGCTTCAGCGTCGCTTCGTGGGTGTGGATCACACACACACACACACACATGCATACATTTACATATCCACAGGTGGAAGAACGACAAGCTATTAAAAGAAAGAGAGAAACAGAAACAAGAAGGCGTTTCCTCAGCGTCGAGCAGTCCTGTGATCAAAATCCCAGATCTACCGAAGCACAACCGGTGGGAGGGGGGGAGGGGGGGGGGGGAGGAATGTGTAAAGCAAGGAACAGCTGCATTACCCTAAACTGTTCCGATGCAAGCACATACAGAAAGATAAAAGAAAAAACGAAAGACGCTTTTTAAAAAAGCTCGCCCCACGTATACACGCTTCAAGATAAATATTTGCTAAAGAAATGAAAAGAAATCGCTTATTACGCGGCAAATGATCGCGACCCTACCTGGAGGGGTGCTGTTGTCTTCCGCTCCCTTGGCACCTACTGCACTCGATGGCAGATATAGGAACGATTTGAACGTTGATGCTGTTGTGTTGAGTCAAGAATGAGTGGAATAACTTACGAAGGTCGCTCAGCGCAGGATGCACGACATCTCGCTGCGGAGATAAGAAATCATTTTTTTAAGAGTGTTCGCGAAAAGGGACAGACGTCCTTCAACGGTACGACGATGACGACACATATACATGGATACCCGTCCTTGAGAAACCACACGAATGCTTTTGCTCATTAATATTATATCTTCCCACCAGGAAGTGTGTGTGCAGTCGTTGCCTCCTACTTCTTATCCCCTAAAGTTGATCCGCTGCCGTCAAGTCTAACAAAAAAAAGGGGGGAAACAAAAGAGAGAAAGATCGGTTACACAGAAAACACAGAGGCAGGATGAAGTGCGTTATACCGCAATCGAAAAAGCGACTATAACGAAGAATCCAGCGTGCATCAAGCAGATATATACATATACATATGCATATGCATACACATACACATACATAGATACATGCACACACGTCGGCATACTCGCATTCCATCACTCCTAAAAAAAAAAAAAACAGAAAGGAACGAAAAGAAAGGTTACGGTGCTATATTCGATTGTCGATACATGGGAGATGTTCTTATGTATATCTATACATAGATATAGATATAGATATAGATATAGATATAGATATATACATGTTCTTCTCCTCGTCACCAGTGAGAAACAAACAAAGAAGCAGGCATATCAAAAGCACTGCTGCTGCATGGAAGGCCGCGGCGGCGGCGGCGACGACACAGAAGCGTTCCCGTACGTCGTGTACCCCTGCGGGGTGAACGGAGCAGCAGACGGCAGTCCACACACCCCATTCGCCATAACAACTCTATGCTGCTGTTCAGCGACCGACGGGGGCCGATCACCAGCAACGCCGAAGGGCGCCACGGCCGTGACCGGCGCCGCATACAGGCTCGTGTTTTCTGTGTAGCTCGTCCCCCACCCTGGGTAGGCGGTCGGTGTGGGCGCCGCGTCGTACACCGCTGTTGAGCTGCCCGCCGTGGTGGGCATCTCGCCGGGCACGTTCTGTGAGTAAGAAGCGGCGAACACCGCACCCATCGGCGTAGATGCGTCCACCACGGAGATCAGTGATGAGCCGGTTTGATACAGTGCTGGCTGTGACCAGGGTAGTGGAGTCGTCGTGGAAGCGCTGGACACGACGGGTGCCATCGCAGTAGTAGCCATGCTAGTACTAGGATTGTTGCTGCTGCCCATGTGACACTGCATCGCGCTGTTGCGCCGTGCAGGCGCGGGAGTGCCGCGGCCCTGCCGATCACCACCGCCGCCGTCGCTTTGGGCTGGAGGTGGCAGCAGCTGCGGCAACACGAAGCCCGCGGTGCGATCGTCCAGCGCCGCCACATTCACCGCGCAGGGCAGCGGCGGTTGGTTCACCATCCCCTGCACAAATGGGATTAAGGTGTGTATGAAATGGCAAGCAGCACCGAGATTGCACATGCGCTTAAACTGGAAGTGCGCGCAGTGGCGCGGGCGGATGATCGGGGCATCCACGCCGTTTGCGTTGGTGAGGCAACGGCCACTCCCGCCACCGCCGTTCCCATTACCCGTCACAGCTGCCGGTGGCTGCTGCTGCTGCTGTCTCGCGGACGTGCGCCCCTCGCCCTCCGCCTCAGCGCTCAGTGTCCGGTACGTCTGCAGCGCGCCCTCAGTGACGAGGATCATTTCTGATGGAATGAGCTGCGGCGCGCTGTTCAGCTGGTTCGGCGGGAAGACCGCGAAGACCATCCCCCGCTCCATTGTTGGGTAGCCGAGGAAGTTGTGTCCACCAGCCAGCTCTGCCGTGTTCATCTCCCGCACCCCGCTCGCCGTGATGCCGTTCTCATTCAAGTGCACCTGCGTAGACTTGGAGAGCACGTGGCTGTGGATGTACTGGCACTCCAAACCGCTGGTGCAGCGATGGTGCAGGTAGCGGTTGCACAGCTGAAAGCGGAAACGGGTTTGGTTACCGTAGCGCGCGAAGAGAGAGACGTACTTCACGGCGCCGCGTGTGAGGGCGACCTCCTCGCTGGGGATTGAGTAGTGCTCCTTCATGCCAGCATCGTAGACGGAGAGCTGTGCCCCGCCGGGGCACCACAGCTCCTCGATGGGATCGCCGGTATGGAAGCTCCGTATGGCAGCCTCCAACATCGTTGTCAGCTCACCGGCGGTGAAGCCAGGCCCACCGGTGGCGACGGCTGCTGGGTCAGGGGGTGCTGAGGTGTCAGGAGAAGATGCATCGTGCTCCTGTGTCGCCGAGGGACGAGGAGGCTGGGTGGTGAGCAGCGGGTTGGGTGCCTGGTCCGTATAAACTTGCTGCGCATCCTCTGCTTCTCCCACACTCTTACCGGCCCCTGCGTTCTGATACGACGGTGGAGATGACCGCTGCTTACGCTGCTTTGAGCGAGATGTTTTGTAGTCCGTTGAAGAGGAAGACTGGCGACGCTGCTCCATCGGCTGCTGCGTCGTGCGCACCGGTGAGGTCTCACGAGCCGCCGGCACCTTTAATGCCTGCGGTGTTTCTCGCGCGACATCCATTCCCCGTTGCAGCTCATATGCCTCACGGGTCGGCTCGCACACGGCGTGTAGCGTAGACGGCAGCGACGCGTCGGTGTAGCCGGCGGAGCCCGAGAAGAGCGGCGTTGCCCTTCCCGCCTCTATTGCCTCCTGCTGCCCGGATGGCGGCCGCGGCGCCTGATAACCAAACGGCCTCTCTGCGGTGTAGTAGGGCCGCTGAGGCTGTTGAAGCTGTTGCTGCGGCGGAGAGTCCGGTGGATAGCGGGGAAGGGGATGCGGTGTGAAGTATGGATGACGCACCTCCTGCGTCTCGGCCGCCTGCTCCTGCATGCGCAGGTTCTCCTCATACCCACCGCCCTCGAAGTCCGTCGGCTCGTTCGAGTACAACTCAGCGCGGCTGTATGGCGGCATCATCTCCCCGGTCGCAGAGGCGTTGAAGCGAAACGGGTAGTAGTGCAATAAGGCTGGGGAGCTCATCGCGCCGCCCACCACGCCCCCGCCTCCATCTCCGCCGGCGCCACCGTCTACGTCGCAAAACTGGCCCCCACTGCCGGGGCGGCGGGTGCTCATCGTGCTGGCGTCCGTGTCCCGCATCGAGAAGGTGCTGTGAGAAAAGGAGCTGAGTTGCGCGCTGTGGGGGGAGATGTCAAGCAGCGGGGACATCGCCGTCCCCTGCGGCTGTTGCGGCTGCTGTGGCTGTGGCTGCTGTGGCGGGGGTAAGCTCAGCGGCGGGGAGAGCGTGGGAACGGAGTCGGTGCTCGGGTTTCCACCCTTCACCATGGAGGTGGTGCGACTGACGCGCGTGCTCCCCGGCTGCGACAGCGTAAAGCGCAGGGGCTGCATGGAGAACACCATCGACGTGTTCCGCTTGCTCATCGATGTGGTACGGCTCACCTCCTCGCTGCCGGGCAGCGACGACCCGCAATGGGGTAGCTGCGGCGAGTAGAGCAGCGAGTTATCGCTCGTCTTCATCGAGGTGGTTCGGCTGATCCGCGCGTCGCCGCCCTTCACCATCGATGTCGTGCGGCTCACCACCGTGCTGCTCGTGTGCAGGACAACGTTGACTGGCGGCGGGGAGCGAACGCCGCCGGACGCGGCGGAGGGCACGTTGGTCATGAAGGGGGCGGCGCCGCCGTCGTCTAAGTGCAGCGACTGCGCCGGTGACGTGGCGTAGGGGTTGTTGCGGCGGAACTGCGGAGAGGTGATGGTGCTGCAGCTGCTGTCGGCGGCCACGTCGCCGCTGCCGTCCTCGTCTTTGCCGGACCCGATGGCGGCGTCGTTGTGCAGGTTGTTGCTGCTATTGCTGTCGCTCATACTGTGGTTGTGATCGTTGCTGACTCCTCCGGCGCCGCGAGCAGCCGCCTTTCGCGAGAGGCACTGACGAAGGTTGGAGGAGAGGTGCAGCGTCACCAGTTTCACGTGTGCGCGATCGTCCGTTGTGGCAGGGGAGGTGAGCGTAGGACTGCAGCTGGGGGAGAGGCGGTCGAGTGGGGAGAGCACCTCCTGCTCATCGCGAGCCAATGGATTCGTCTCCGCCACCTCGGTGCCTCGGGCGGTGGGAAAAGCCGTTATAGAAGATTATATTGTTATATGTATATATATATATATAGATAGATGTACGCCAGCAGTAGTCGCAGTTGCGCTGAGGTGAAGGAACGTTGAACTGTATCTCTCCCTCATGAAAAAAGGCAGAAGACACGACGCCGCGCAGCTCCGTCGTCACGTTACGGATGGACGGCTGAAGAACCAGAAGAGAAACAACAAGGCAGCCGGGGGGAGGCCCACGTGATGTACAACAGAGTGATATATCCCCACAACGCCCAATGCCACCGCAGACGTGCTAAAGAGCAGCGCACGGAAAGGTGTGTGTGTGTGTGTGTGTGTGTGTGTAGCACGTGTAAGAAAGCAAATCACAGTAGAAGAGATTTCTTTTTGAAGAAGATATTCACAAAGGAAAACAGAAATAAGAAAGCAAGAGAGTACGCGTTTCGCTTCTCCACAATCGAAACAAAGTGTGTGTGTGTGTGTGGGAGGGGCGGATTTCGTTTCCTCGCGCTCGCTGACGGTGGCAGCAACGCAGCGGTGCACGTAGGAGGAGTTCTCACCTTGTGCCAAAGTGCCCACCTTGCGTCTTAGCTGAATACACAAAAGAAAAAAGCAAAGATGGAACGGAGGCGGTAAGCGATAAGCGGTAAGTGCGCGATAAGCAACGGGCGTCGCAGGGCACGAACGAAACTGACGCACGCGGGAGGGAAGAGGAAGAAGAGCTGCGCGGAGGTGAGGCGCTGGCTCTGTGTAGCAACAGGGAAGTTGTTCCTTCAGCACACAGAAGGTTTTTGCTCTCCCCTTTTTTTTTTTGCCTGTGTGTCCTCTCAGCAAACGTTGTTCTCAGAACCTTCAAAAAGAAAAACAGCTGTCAGCCACAACGGGTAGAACACAAAAGGTGCCAAAAATATTTAAAAGAATCTAGAGCGGATTCCTTTCTCTGCTTCCATTTACGAAGTACGACAACAAGAGAAAAACAGAACATCAATAAAGCATCAACGATGTGTTGAAGAAGGCGGCGGAGCCGAGGAAGAGGGGGGGGGGAGGAGAGAGAGAGAGAGAGCCGTTCAAGGAACGCTTAGAGCAGCTTCACCGACACGCTCGTGGCGCTTCAAAAGGAGCCGCTGCGATCCACTAGCGGACATGGGAAATTTGTGTCGAAGAGGGGCGCTCTCTGCCTCGACTTTTTCTTTTCCAACGGCTTCCGTAGTCGAAACGAAGCCTGAAAGAAGAGGAGGCCATCATTAAAGGCCACTTGCGAGAGTGAGATGCGCAGGCAAAGCGACCCCGTGGACCCTACGAAGTGCCTTTACGCAACGGTCCGCAAGAGCCAGGGGGGAAACCCCCTCCCCAACGTTCACCAGGAGTGCCTCTGCAACGACGGCCGTTGCGTAGAGGATGCCGATGGCCGTATCGCTCCGTTCTACTTCCGTTTCTCTTCCCGTGAGTTAAAGGCAGCATGACTCGTACGTAGCATGTGGAATCCATCCCGCCCGATTTTCGTTTTTTTTTTCCAAGAACAAGGACAGAATAACAAAACATCAACAGCAATGAGTTATGCAGAGACACGTGCGCCGCTCTCTCTCGTCCATCACCAACAGCAAACCGCAGAAGGAGTGTAAGAAAGAAAATGCCATCGTCCGTAAGTGGTGGTGATGCGGCAGTAATCGGCATCCACTGCATCAAGACCGGCATTGTTTTTGGGGGGTTACCCCCTCCCCCTCCTCCTTCGTGGGCCGGAGCCTCTCGGATGCGTCGAGCATCTCAGGCAGAAGGCCCCAGCTGGGACTGCCGCTGCCCCTCATGCACACGTCGAAGCAGTTGCTTCATTTCCATCTTCAAGGCAGCGTTGACGCGTGGTTGATCGCGTATCGTCGTGCAGCAATCCCTCGCCGTCGCGTCGCCCACGTACGGGGCTATGCGCTCGTAGAGCACCATCATTGCCGCGTCGCCGTAGCGCGACACCGCGAGGCGGAATAGCTGCATCACCTCACCCACCAACAAAAAGTTCTTGGCGTCGTCGAGGTCAAAATTGATATCCATCAGCGTGCTCCACGCGGTGGGGAGCGCCTCTCCCAGGAGACAGTCCGTGAAGGCCTGCAGATTGCGCGGCGCCGTCGCAGCGTCGACACCGGCGATGGAGTCATGCATACCGTTGTCCGTACTACTGCTATCGATGGTGGTACTTCCATCGCCGAACGTGGCGAAGAGGGCGGCGGCCTGGGAGGCGACGGAGTCATCGAACTCTTGCGTCAGCTTCTCGAGCACCTGCAGGGCCGACTTGGGGAGCTCCAGCTCCGTCGGCAGCGTGAGCGCGTAGCACAGCTGACGTAGCACGGAGACCCAGCAGGACGGCGGCATCAGCGCAAAGGCCGCCACGCAGCCCCAGGTCGAGACGCTGAAAAGGAAGGTAAAGAACTGCTTGTACACGCTCACCCGCTCACGGGCATTCTCACTCACCACCCCCATCCAGACGACCGGCGAGGCCTCGCTCAGCTCCCCGACGGCGCACAACCGCCCCCACAGCAGCGGCGTCAGTCGCGCCACCGACAGCACGCCGCGGCTGCCGGCCTTGTTGGCGTACTGAAACATCAACCTCAGCAGCTTCGACAGCTCCGGCACCGCCTCCATCCAACTCAGGCACACCGACACGTACTGCTCCACGTAGGGTTGCAGCAGATCAAAGGGCAGGGTGTTGATGAGTTGATGGAAGTACTGCCCGACGGTGTCGCGCACCGCGGCGTTGCCGGCCCACTCGCTCGCCACCTGCATCACGCGTTGCGTCACGTGGAGAAAAACTTGTGCAAGGAAAATGCCCGTCGGCGACACCGCAGCGGGCGCGCCGCAACCGTTAGCGCTGCTGTGGTTGTTGCCGCTGCTGCCCGGCACGGAGCTCGTGTTTGAGCCGCCGGCCAGCAACGTCGGCGTGTGGGGCGTAGAACCAAAGGAGGGACGCCCACTGGCCATGCCACTGTGGCTTCCACTGCCTCCTCCTCCGGCAGCAGCACCGTCGGCGCCAGCGGAGGGAAGGGCGCCGACGCTGTTGCTACTGAGCCCCTTCGCCAGCGCGCTCAGGAAAGAAACGGCGTCCGCCACGGGGTGCTCACTTGCACGCATCAGCCCACCCATCCCTCCACCCACCGTCGAAGTGCTCCCCGCTGCCCGGCTGGACGCACTCGCGCGCAGCATCCCGTCAATCGCGGAGTTCATCACGGCCCGCACCAACTCCGCCTTGCGCCCGAGCAACGTCGCTGTTTGCGCTAGCACCTCGTCGGGCACCGCAGTGCTTGGGTGGCGGCCCGCGGTGGCCGCCGCCAGCAGCGCCAGCGCCTCCGACTCCTTCACGAGTGTTTCCTCCGGAGGCGCCGTGCTGCTCTCCTCATTGCAAATGCTCAGCAATATGCCGGTCGCCTCATAGAGCTCCCGACGATCGCTGGTCTGCAGCTGCGGTGCCGTCGTCACGATGCTGTGCAGGGCGTTCACCATATCCGGCGCGTACATACCCAACTGCCCTTTCAACACCTGGAGCAGGTAGCCAAACAGGTAGCAGATACGCGCCCGGACGCGATCGCTGCTGTTCATCACCCCGCACGGCTGAAGCAGCAGTCGCTGCAGGAGCAGTGGAATGTACACCTGGTGGTACGTGAAGAACAGGTAGTAGCGGCCGAGAACTTCAAAGAAGGCGAGGTGGACGCAGGTGGCGTCGCCGCTTACCACCGCCTCGGTCGTCAACAAGCGCTGCAGCAGCTGTGTGCTGACCTCATTCGGGTCCTTCAGCCCTTCTAGCCGGAGCGACTCACCGATTTCATAGAAGTAACGCAAGGCGGCTTCCAGCACCTCGGGGTTGCTGAAGTCGCAGTCATCGCTGTCCGAGGCGGCTGCTGCTGCGGTGGTGGCTGACACACCGTTGCGCATGGAAGGGACCGCGCCGGAGCTGGTCAGACGGTCAAGCCCCGTCAGCAGCACGCGCTGCAGGTGGTTCATCACCAGGTCCGGGTGGCGGCGATACAGAAGGCGAAGTAAGTTGTGCAACGCCTTGCGCTGGTCGATCACCGCGTCGTCCCAGATGCGGTCTTCGTCGTGGCCAACGCCAGGGATGCGCGTTTGGCGAAACAGTGTCGACAGCAACTCAACTGCCTCCGCCTCTAGCAGAAATGAACTCTTCAAGTACACCTGCAGGAATCCCAGCAGTGCGTCGCGCACGTCGAAGAGGTTCAACTGCAGAGTCAAAATAACTTGCGCCACCACCGCGTGCAGGGCACGCGAGAGCCCTTCGAGTAGTTCGCTTGTGACGCTGAACGGACGGTCCTGCAGCACGACGCCGTCCACCTCGATCGAGGCCACCGGCGCCGCCGCCGCCGTCTCGTGGTTCAGCGTGGAGGAGCAGGTCTCGAGGAGGGAGAGAAATTGCTCGGCGACCGCCACCGTCAGCTTCGCCACGGCTTCAATAAACAGAACGGCCTCCTCCGACGGGGGCGGCAACTCGAAGAGCGAGGCCATCCGCGACAGGGCATCGACCACGTTCAAGGTGCGCAGCGACTCCATCTTCATTCCCGGCATCTGCTTCTTCTCCACTAGCGACAGCAGACACTCGCAGGCGGCGATGCGCAGCGGCGGCACCGTCAGTAAAAAGTAAAGCAGGTTGATCCAATCAGCGGTGATGAAGAGCGCCACGTCGACCCACTCAATGTAGGTCTGCACGACGCTCAAGCACAGCTTCGCCGTCTCCGGCGTCCGCACCCGGGCATCGCTGAGGAGCGTGGTGTACCACATATCCACCGCCCGCGGGATCACCCCCTCTCGCATCGCGTCCTTCAGGGCCATATCCCGTGCTCGCTGCTGCTTGCCGCGCTCTTGGCGGTCCCGCACACAAACCACGCGTTCGTCCACGTACTCGAAGACGCGCAGCACGTACACCGTCACGAGGTCAGCGCTGGGCAGGTAGGGCGAAGACTGCCGGCGGTGGAGCATCTCAAACAGATCGTCAAAGATGGTGGACCAAGGGGAGGGATAAAAGCACTGCAGCCCCACCACCATCATTTGGGCGTGCTTGTTCACGATGAAGTCCGCCGGGACCACCGTCGGCGAGGCAAAGAGGTAACGGTGAATAAACGAAAACAGCGTGCGGTAAAGCTCGTTCGCCTGCGTGGCGTCGACGGTGGTCGCGAGCATCGGCAGGTGGTGCATAATCGTGTTGAAGGCCCAGAAGCAGCGAATCTCGTTCACAGCCTCGTTGCTGATAATGTGGAAGCTCAGGTTCAAGCCCTCCGCACTTTCACGGAGGTCCATCAAGTAGCGTTCGGCGTCGAGGCGGGCATTCTGCGACGCGCTGGGGTCGAAGCTGTGGGTGAGCTGCAGCGCCTCGGTGAAGTCGACCGTGGAGGACATTACAAATCAACGTGCAGGAGGGTACACGCACACACCCGCACACACACACACACCGACACAGCGGTACTCGCCCTTTCTCCTTCTGCTGTACGACGCGTGAGGGGCGAAAAAAAAAACCCTCAACAGGAAGGTGTACGTCGCAGGTAGTCGAGTTGAGGCAACGCGACGCCGCCGTGAGCACGCGCACACCGCACTTCAGGGTTCAGCGGAGCACGCGTAGTTCAAAGCACACACTCACGCACACGCAGCGAGACCTGCTTGGACAAACACGAAACACGAACTAATGAAGGTCAAATGGAGATGCCAGCAGCTTCAGCGATCGCTCCAGGCGATAAAGGAAAAAGAAAAAGAAACCCCAAGTTCACCGCAGCAGCAACAGAAAAACACACGACGACAAGCTGACTCGCCGCGTCGCAGCTACCTCTCCTGTGGCACCGCTGATGTGGAATACGCGAGAACAGCGTAACAACAATACAAAGAAGGGATGGCGGTGGTGACGAACGTGTTCGTCCGCTGAGAGAGAACTAAAGAGAGAGAAAATATGTTTATCGTTTTTAGTAGTTAAGTATAACTTACGATTAGAAGTGGATCCGCTGCGTTACGATGCGAAGCACCGCAGCGAAGGCGGGAACAACGCAATAAAGGGAAACTCAAAAATAACCGCCGTTTCTCGATTCGTGGGAGGGGCCGTATGCAGCGTCTGTCAAGGGCCCGCCTGTTGTATGGTGTATGTGGGAGTGTGTGTGTGTGTGTACTTCAAAGGGAAATATTTTGTGGAGTCTTCCCTGGATGCAATAACAGCTGTTCCGTCTCGATGCGTCCTTCAATGCTCTCCACCGTCATCGACGTTTACTTTTACTTTTGGAGGAAGGGCGGGGGACTGTTATGGTACCTTTCCTCACCACAACTTGCCGATGCTCCTCATTCGAAATGGCAGGCCGAACGTTAAAGAAGAAGCAAGACGAGGATGAAGTGCCGAAGAAACGGTTTCGGAGGCGTTAACACGTCTGCGCGTAAGTCTCATTAAAAGATCGACACGTGCGCCGCTCCGTTGAGGAGACACCACGCAAGCGAAGTCGTTGTCGTTGCTGCTCGACAAGTGATGCCCCCATCAGCCTCCAGGCCACAGCAGCTGCTTTTCAACATACACATAAGCTTGTATTACGTTCAAGACGTCGCACCTCGATGGCTCAACTGAACAACACCACGGAGCACAGATAGCGTTGCGATGGACAAGAATAATAGATCGCCATCACCAGGATCAAAAAAAAAAAATAGTATCTTATGAACCACCGCCGTAGTCAACGCACAGCAAAAACCACGAGCTATCGCAAACTCCTCTACGCGACGCCAACCACGGCAGTCCACTCGCCGCGAGGGCCGCCACTCGACTACCCTACACCCACTGCGACCAGCCGGGGAACATCACGGCCAGCAACTCCACTCGCTGCGCCTCCTCCACGAGTTTGCGCACGTGCGTGGCAACGCTTAGCACATCGCCGCCGTCGTAGCCCTGAAGCTTCGCGTCGATGCGGGCCAGTGTCCGCGCTGCGTCGGCGTTGCTCGGCCGTGTGCGCATCAGGGCCGCTTGACGGGTGCTCGCCTGCAACAGCTGCTGCTGCTGTTTGTGCTGTGGCATCACCTCGCTTTCAGCGTTGCCCTCGTCGCCCGTCGCGGCCGCTCGAGCAGCGCCGAAGGCGTCGACGTTCATCTGCCCGCCGATCGCCCACCGCGCGAGGGGGTCGTGCGTGATGGCGCTGAAGAGAGTCCGCAGTAGATCCCGCTTTTCCCGCAGAAGTCCCAGCGCCGCCTCAGCACACGGCCGCAGACTCCCCTCCGTGCCGCGTACACCCAAGCCGTCGATGATGTTGCGTGTCATGCGAAACGGTACCAGCTCCGGCACCGGCAGCAGCCGACTCTGATCAAACGCAATGCCGAGATCGATGTGCACCACCTCTGCCGTTTGCTGATGCAGCAGCATGTTGTTGATGTGCCGATCGCCCAGTCCTACGATGTAGCCCATCATGCTCGAGGCGGCGACACTCCGCGTGAAGGTTTGCTGGTGCGACACGAACACCTGCGCGGAGGTGGCGTGCTCAAAGAAGAAGTAGTGCAACGCGGGCGTGAACGCCTCGTACAGCTTCAGCAGCGCCTCCGCTTTGCTGCGGGGAGGCGCGTTTTGCAGCTGCAGACGACACTCCCGTGTTGTCGGCTCGCCAGGGAAGTAGCGCTCGTGCGCGCCGGGGTGCTCTTGACGGCCGTGGCAGTGGCCCGTCACGTACTCCCCCAACGGGACCGTGTTTTCCACCCACTGCAGCACGCCTGCCGTTGGCGCCAGCGGCACAACCGCGAAGGTGCGCACCCGCAGCGGCCGCGTCGCCGCCCGTCGGTGGAAGAGCGCATTTGCAGTGGCGAAGACGTGTTCGATCAGGGCGTCCTGCCGCAGGTCGTCGCCGGCTTTGAGGAGCTGCCGCACGACCTGGCCGTCGCTCAGCTCGCACAGCAGCACCTTTGGCACATTCACGCCGCCCGGCGTGGTGAAGAAGGGGCGATAGCGCACGATGTGCGGCGCCAGCTGCGGAGCACACGGCACGGCGTCGCCACCTCCGAGGTAATTCTCTGCGGAGCACGAAGTAGCGGAGGAAGAGAGGAGGGACGTCGGCGGTGGAATCACGAGGTGGTGCGCGTCCTTAATTAATACGAAGTCCGAGGGGATCGGGTAGCGCCTCTCCGTCTGGGCCGCGTTGGCACCGCGGTCAAAGGCCAGCTCGAGGTAGGCGGAGCTGAGCAGCTGGGCATGCCGCACCTGCGTGGCGACCGACGCAGACGTAGAAGAGGCAGCAGCGGCAGCAGCAGCGGCACGTCCTGCATGCCCAGTCACCGTCTTGTGGGAGGACGTCGTCGAGGCCAAGTCCGCGAGAAGCGTCTGCGCCGCCTTGATCTTCGCCTCGTCCACGGCGTGCAGCGCGTTCACCTCTCGTGACTTCGCGAACGTGTGGCCATGGCGCAGGGTGAGTAGTGGCCACACGACGGGCAGCGGGTAGTCGCGGGCGATGCGGCCGACCAGATAGCTGAGGCGGTCGGCATCCTGTGGTCCCCCCAGCTGGGCGGTGAGCTGGCTCGCAAGCGGAAGGAATACAGCGGTGGGAATGCGCTCCACGGCCTTGTCCAGCACCTTGCCGAGTACCTCCCCGCTGCTCTGCTCGATGTCCGCCGCGTTCAACCACAGCTCGACAAAACCAAAGACGGCATGCAGCGTGTTTTCCGCGACATCCTGCGGCAGGCAGGTCACGGCGGGGTGGTCCGCCGCCGCCGGCGCTCCACCACGAACGTGCGCGTGCTGCTGGAGTGGCGGTGGGGACGACGCAGCAGAGGAAGAGGAACCCAGGTGATGGAACTGCAGGAGCCGCGAGTAGGCGTTCAGCGCGCTGCGGCGGTAGAGGCCGTAGTTCGACTTCTCCGCCTCCCACTCGTCCTCCAGCCGTTTGATGTCCCCCGTCAGCTCACGAATGCGTCGGCGAAGGAGGCGTAGCTGCTCGTCGCTCAGCACCGCGACACCCGCTGCGGCAGCGGCAGGAGGGACTTCGTTGCCCCGTCCTGATCGTTGTGGCGCGTCCGCTCGATTCGTACCGCCAGCAAGAGGTGCCGCTGTTGAAGTAGCAGTAGCAGTAGCAGTAGCGGTGGTGGTGATGGCGGTAGTGGCTGCGTGCAGCTGCGCCTCCAGCTCTCGCCGTTGCCGCTTGGACTCCTCGACGCTCTCCTCCAGCTGTCGATGCTCGTGGCTTGTCAGCCGATCGGCAATTTCGCTCGCCAAGGTGTGGCACAGACGCGCTAGCAGGAAGCTGCACGCCCCTGTGTTGTCGGACGCAGCTGCGCGGGAGAGGAAGGGGTCACGCACCAGCTGGGAGGCGGGCACGAGCTGCAGCTCCGCGTGCCACAGCATGAGTTGCTGTACCACACGCGGCTCGAGAGGTGTAGTGAAGGGCGCTGTGACGCTAGGAGTCGTCCCGTGAAGCAAAGAGGAGGAAGAAGCGGGAGGCTGCAGCAGAGCGAGTGCCTCCTGCCACCGTCCGAGCGCGTACGCCACCTGCGCCTTACGTAGTGCTACATCAACACGCCGCTGCTGCGCCGGAAAAGATGGTGGAGATAGGCCCGCTGCGGCGCCGTCTCCTGAGACTTCGCTTTGTCTCTCCCAATCTGTCAGCCAGCGATGCGCCAGCCCTGGTTCGTGGAAGGCAAGCGCACGCTCCGTTGCCCCGATTAAGAAACGATACCATTCGTCCTTGTCACCGTAGATTTGACTCAGCGCGTGTCGCACGGAGTCCATCAGCTGCCACGAAGTGCTGCCTATGCGATGCACAAGACGGGCAGTGTCGAGACGGAGTGTGTGATTGCTGTAGTAATGGCCGTCGTCGCCGTGGTCAGCATCGCTGCTCCACTTCCGCCGGCCACCATCGCCGCTGTTGTTTTCCGCCATCCGCCAGTTGGGCAGCGACGGTGTGCCAGACGCTGCCGTCATCGGAGACGTTACACCGGACCTTCTTCCGGTGCTTGCTGCCGTCGTCAGCATCGCATTTGCGCACTGCCGCACCTCGCGCAGCGCCTCCGCGGCCACCACCGTTGTCACGAGCGACGTCGCGGAGAGCTGCAGGCGAAGGCTGGCCTCTGCGCTACGCAGGTGCGGCAGACACAACAGCGGCTCGCCACTGGAAAGTGCGAGGAAGGAATTCAGCAGGTGCTCGTAGAAGCCGCCCCCGACCCATTCACCAGGCGAGGCGGATGGAGCGGAGTGGAGGGAAGGCAAGGAAGACGAAGGCGAGAAAGGCTGCGCGAGACGTTCCAGCACGGCTGGAGAGACCGCGGTTGCCTTGCACATGCCCGCACGCGATTCTCGCAGGGCCGCTGCTGCAGCAGCTGCGGTGCCTCCAACATTGTCGGTTTGGGTGTGCGCACCGACGGAGAAGAGTCCAATAGATGGACCGCTCGTCCACCGGGCACAGCGCCAGGCAGCTTGCGACAGAAGAGAGCGCAGACACGCCTCGTGATCGGCTGTCCATGGTGCACTCTCACGCTCGGAGACCGTTGCCGATGCCACGGCGGCTGCCGCCTTCGTCGATACAGCTGCCAAATCAAGCAGTGAGTTCGCCGATCCACCATCACTCGAGTGGGGTGATGGTGATGGAAGGGCAGACACCTGAGGCACTGCCCTCACCTGTGCGTCTACGTAGTGTGTGCGTAGGTTCAGTAGGACGTCCATGGACGTTGACGGAAGCCCGCGCTCCAGCAACCGCGCTGCGCGCTGCAGTGCCGCTGACCACAAGTCCCCGTCGCTGCGCGCCGCAGCAGCTCTCCCGCCTTTCCGATCTACGCCCCCGCTTGGATCGTCGCGCACGGCGCGGGACGTTGGGACTTCACCGCGGTTGGAATGCGCCGCCTCTTCCAAATCGCGCAACGTGTTGACGAACTCTTCGTTTGGCATCGCTGCGTCGCCTTCGGTGCTGACGCGCAGCGGCGCGCAACGTCGAACAACGGTACCGCTGATCGTGTCTCGTGCTAGGCGAACAGGGCCCACGCATGCAGCGTGCAGCAGAGTGCTGTTGCTGCTCGTCCCCTCCTCCGCCTCTTCCACGCCATTACAAATGGCCGGATCTGTGGGACGGCGACTGAAGTGCCGCACCATCACCGACACCCCACTCACGTCATCCAAGTCCACCTGCTGTTGCACCGCCTCATACACAGTAAAGATGTGCTGCATGAAGCGCTGCGTCTGCTGACGGACACCTTCATGTCGATCTCGTGCACGACCACCACTGCGCGCGGCGACCTCGGGCGCAGACTTCCCCGCCGCCGCAGATGACGAGCTCGCCGGATAATCCTCGTACGTGGCATAAGGGAATAGAACAGAGTAAGGAGCACTCGAGAGGGCGGCGGCCGCCGGGGCACCAACGGCGACGCCGCGCAGCATGACCGCAGTCCGCGTCGTTTCCATCTCCCCGCACAGCGCCGCGCAGCCCGTGCGGGGGCCGAAGAGGGACTCGCCACTGAGCTGCGCAAAAAGCAAGGCGAGGTGCGGCTCCTGCACAGCAACGGCGGCGCGTGCGAGGTGCGTGGCGGGGATGTCGCTCAGCCAGTAACACTCGCGCATGTCATGCAGCACCGGCACCGAGCCGAAGGCCGCTGGCCAGGTGGATGAAGGATGGCTTCCCATTTCACTTGCGTTGCCTGCGCTGCTGTTATTGTTGTTATTAGTGCTGCTGCTGCTGCTCGGCTTGTCTGCCGCTATCGAGCCCTTCAGGCCGCGTTGACGAGTCAGCCGCACCAACACCACGTGGCACGCGTAAAGGGCGTGAAGGAAGAGCCGGGCCGTGTAGGGGCGTTGGTCGGCCTGCTGCAGGACGTACTTGTCCACCAACTCACTCCATTCCCGTCGCGTTGCCCGCTGTCCATCGCTCTCGCGCAAGCAGAGGACGTGCAGCAGCAGCGGCGTCAACAAACGCGCAGCCACGGAGGCGCCACCTAAGCTGCCAGAGGACGAAAACAATGGCGAGGCCGCCTCAACGCCGCTCTCCTCATCCGTGGCACCGTCCGCCGCGTCGCCTGTCCGTTGCAATTCCTCGTATAGAAGCGGCAGCAGCGAAGTCCACATCGCGCTCTTCTTCAAAATGCCGTAGGTGTTCGCCATGGCGGCTACAAAGCGGCACACAAATGCCCGCTCGATCGGCGGCGATGTTCGCAGCGGCCGCCACACGGACGCGTCGGTGAGATGAGCGGATGAGAAACACGGTGGAGGCGATGGTGGTGCTAGATCGAATGAAAACGGCGTGCTACGCGTAATGGCGGCGGTGTTCGTGGCGGCGGTCACTGAACTGCCAACGCTGCGCACTGCCCACGACAGTCGATGCAGCAGACTCGGGGCGTAGGCTGCACACACACTCCTCCTCGCCTTCGCCACCTTTTCCTCGCCGCCGTGGGCATCGGACGCGGCGCAGGCACCGCACATCATCGCCACCACGGCCGCGTCGAAGCTGGAGAGCGCACCACCAGCGGCGGCGGCGGTGTCTCCCTGTGCACTTCGCTGCAGCGACAACGTCCACATACGCAAGGCACCGACCGCAAGCTCAGAACGACGCGCGTCCGCAGCAGCGGCGAGCTGCTCCAGTAGGTAGAGCTGTTCCACGTAGGCGTGACCGAGGCTAGCGGTGACGAGCTGCTCTGCCGAGGCACCACCACCACCACCATTATTCTTATCCTTACTATCGTTCGTGCCAACACAACCAGTTGAGCTGTCGCCGCAGCTCAGCGTCACTCCTGTGCTGAAGCGGCTGCTCATACGGTCGGCAGACTCGATGGTGCTCGTCAGCGCCGCGGTCTCCCCGGCGTGCACCACGCAGAGCGACAAACTGCGTAGAAGTTCAAAGCACGCCAACGCCTGATCTTCACTGTTCTCCGAATCCATCATGGACACCGTGGCTGCCGACGACACAGCTGTGAATGCTGATGCCGTTGATGCAGCAGCGGTGGTGCTGCTCCAGTCAGCGGTGACCGACCACAGATTTGCTTCGTTCATCGGGCACGCAATGGACCAGCGGTACAGCTGCGAGACGGCAACGAGAAGCGCATGGCGCACCAACATCGCCATCCTCTCTGCTGGGCGAATAGATGTCGATGTAGCCGATGACGATGAAGACCGCTCCTTGAGCAGCCCCTCTGCGCCGGCTCGAGAGCACACCGCTGCTACTTCTAAGCAGCGAATAATGAGCGTGCGCGTGCCGTCCACGCCTGCAGCGACGTTGCGCAGAAATGAAGGGGGAGGCGGCGCTGTCGTCGCAGTCGCCACAGCATCCGTGACGTTGCTGATACGACGCCATTGCGAGTCCTCCACGTCCGCAGCGGGGCGTGCCCTTTCTGTCTCGCTTGAGCCGGCGGCGCTGCTGTCGATGTCATCTATCAAGTCATCGCGGCCGCAGGTATGGTGCAGGAGCGTCACGAAGGTGGCGAGGCTACGCCGCGCTGTGGTACACTGAAGCGGGGCAAGAGACACATTGCGGTAGGCCAGATAGGTCGACCAGTTCCAAGTGTGCATTTCTGGTGGCAGTGCAGTCGCGTGCTGACTTGCGGTGTTGTCTTCGTTGTTGCGTTGCTTTGCCTCCTCGTCGTCGTCGTCGGTGGAGTCGCTGACCTCCACCACTTCACAAGAAGCAGCTCGGCGAAAGGTGTCGTCGCCCCTGCGATCGCCCTTCGCTGATGTTTCGCCTGTGCCTCGCAGGCTGTCCTGCACGTACGCTGCGGCCCGTCGATGCCACTCGCACCTCAGCAGGTTTGGATCGCTCCGACACAACGCCGTCCAGGTCGCGGCGACGACGGGGGACATCGCAAGAAGAGGCTCCATCGCGCGAGACAGCAATACCGCGCACGTCCACAGGTCCTCGTCTACACCGTGAGAGTCCTTCTCCCTTCTGGCCGTTTCTGTCGTTCCCGCGTCGTCTTCCGTGCCTCCACCTGCGGCGCGCTCGGTGTTGCTGACAGCGACGGGCCATACATGCAGCAGCGCGTTGCACACGGCTCGGTACACCTCGGTCGACCCGTCGCGCCGAAGCCAGTGGAGTAGGTACGTCAGCACCGCCTGCAGGGCCGGCGCCTGCGCCAGCACACGTGAGGAGCACCAGCGGGTGCTGATCCACGTGAGAAGGGAGAGCTGTTGGGAGCCACGCAAGACACACTCCAGCGACGTGGGCGCCGTACAGCTGCGATAGGCAATGTGCAGCAGCGAACGGAGGAACGTGCTGTCGCCTAGGAGGAACAGAGAGGAGAGAGCGTCGTGGGAGGACAGCACCTCCGCCAGCGAGCGGCGAGCTCGACTGCCCACCTCTCCATCTCGAGCAACGGCAAGCGCAGCGGTGGTTGTGGTAATAGGCGGCGGCACAAGCAGACGCAAACACCACGCCTGCCACGCGTACAGATCCGCAGGCCCTGTCACGGAGCTGGCGAGCTCCTGTGTGTCCTCCACAACAACGATGACTTCATCCTCTCTTGACTCACCCCTACCTTTCTCAGGATGACGTGGAGGAAGAGGGGAGGAAGAAGCGGCTGTTCTGCCAGCGGACGCAGGTGCGGTGGTGGCAGAGCCCTCGAGCATCAGCGGCAAGGCCGTCACTTTCTCTGCCACCCACGTCAGCACCCATTGCAGCTGCGCCGGAGTGGCGTAGACGAGCTGCGCCGGCTCCGCCACCGTACGGTGCAGCCGTACCATCTCCGACAACATCGCGTCCATGTGCGCGGCGAGAACCGAGTCGAAAATTGGTCGTGCAGTTGGCCACGCCGAAAGCCGCTGTAGATAGAAAACGAGCACCTCCGCTGCGTTGAGGGTGACGGCGGGGCTCGACACGGCGGCCGCGGCGGTGGGCGACACGTCCGTCACGGCACACGCCTCTGAGGGCAAAAGCCTTCCGAGCCACGCCCACGCGCCGCCCTGCACGAGCGCAGCCGCCTCGCACGTGTTGAGCAGCGCCTCCAGCCAATAGAGGCATTTCTGTGCCGCGTCACACCAGTCCGCCTTTGTCGGTGCTTCTGCGGTGCTGTGGTGCAGCCCGCTGCTTCGTCGCCCTCTCTCGCTGGCCTGTCGCTGTCCTGCCTGCCGCGACCAGTCCGCGTGGCCTCCTCCGGTCGGCGAGCTGACGTCCAACTCGGCTGCCTCGACGCCAAACAACGGCACCGGCGCGTTGGAGGCAATCACCAGCAGCTGCACGACAATTGAAGAGAAGTACTGTAGAACAAGGCAGAGGGGAGCAAGCTGTCGAAGTTCTTCCGCTGCTCCGTTCTGCGCATTCTCTGCTGCCGACGCCGGAACTCCGTCCGGAGCGCCGCTTCTCTCTTTCGGGCGCCGCGCTCGCGTGTTCTCGCCTTCTGCGGCGACGGAGGTGCAAAGCATCTTCTCTGTGTATACCTGCAGAAGCTGATGAAATACGCTTCCCTGCGCGTGTGCAGCGGCAGCAGAAGCAGCAGCAGTGGTAGGGCCACCGCCTGACGTGCTCAGGTCCTGCTGCGGGCGCGGGGGCCGCATCTCACGCCACACGACGGTCTCTGCGTCCTTCGACTCCGTCAGCAGCAGCAGTGCCAGCGGCAGCAGTACAGGCAGCTGATCCGCCACAAAGTCGTCCAATGCGGCGTAGCCGAAGCAGGCAACCGGCAGGGCTATGAGCGGGTGCTTGTACTCGCACAGCCACCGGAAAAGAAGAGGGCGGACGTGCATGCGACACAGAGAGGTGTACAGCAGCCGACGCGCGCACGCGGGAAGCGCGACAGTCGTGGTCCACGCCGCATCCTCTTCAGCCCACTCCGCCAGCCGTGTCAGGCACTCGACGATGAGGTGTCGCTGCGCAAACCCGCGCGTCGCCCAGCACTCCAGCAACGTGTAGATCACCTCGACGCGCAGCTCTGGTGCGGCGCGCACCGCCTCCGACAGCGCCAAAAGGCTCGTGGAGCAAAGCATCGGCGTGGGGGACAGCATTCCTTCGCGCGCTTTCACGAGTAGCGTGCGCAGCACCTGCGCGCGACGCATGGAGAAGGTCCGAAAGAGCACGCCAACGTGCAGGGCTGCGTGTCGACGCACCGCGAAGGGCGTCGACTCCGACAGAAACTCAAAGGAGAACCGGCCGAGTACCTCCGCGACGGCCGGCTCGCAGCGCACGAGGACGGCAAAGGCGGCTTGCAGCAGTGCACACTGCCACTGCGGAGTGCACACGGGCATGTCCACTCGATTTGGATCTGTCAGCTGCGCTGTCCAGAGCTCTAGTAACCGGCCGCTTTGCGTGTAGCACAGCGCCGCTGACGCCGTTTCGACTGTCCCAACGCGCCGTTCCTTTGCGGCGGTGTCCTCGCCCGTGGAGAGCGTCGTGTTGCCGCTGTTGGGCGTGGAGTGCGCGGGAATGCGGAGGAGGCCTTCCACGTCCGCCAGCACCCCACCCATCACTTCACTGCACAGAGCAGGTCCCGTCTGATAGCGATAGCGAGCGAACAACACTTGCAGGAGTCGCACAAGCGTACGCCCATCCACAAGTGCAGCGAGTGTTCCCGCTCTGCCGCCTTTGCTTCCTGCCTCGCCTGCCAAAGCGACATCGGGCGGTTGAGCCGTGCTGAGTACCGTAAAGAGACGCAGCAAGGCGGGGAGCACGGGCAGCACCGTGGGTAGAAATGGATACTTCTGTGTGAGGAGGGCATGCTGGCTCGGCAGTAGCACGTCTTCGAAATCACCGGATGCGGAAGTCGCCGCCGCTTCTGCCCCTCCGCTTCGTGTGGTGGTCCAGGAAGCGCTTCCCTCTGCCAAGGATTGCTGCTCCAGCAAGCGTAGGAGCGCTTGGCGGAGGTCAGCCACATCCATAAGCGGGGTCGCAGCATAGGCGTGAATGCCCGTACGTCGCGCCGCCGTCAGCACAATGCGCAGTGTGTCCAGGGAAAGGCGCAGCGCACTCGTCACCGTGAGAGTTAATTCGCGGGAGTGCGGGTTGGAGGGCCGCCACCGCGACAAGGGCGCGACGCCACCGTAAAAGCACCTCTGCGTCACCGCGGCCGTCAGCTGCAGTATCGTTTGGCGAGGATCGACGCAGGCCATCGATGGGTCGAGGAAGACCGAGCCGACATCGCGATAAAGCGCATGTAGCGCCGCCCACAGGGGGAGCGTCGAGAGGACATCCATGTCTGCACGGTGGTGGCGTTGCTGCTGTAGCCCCAATAGGTGGTGACACAGCCATAAAACGGTGTAGTAGAGGCGGCCGCCGCCACGAATGGAGAAGCGCGCCAGCATTGACGCGGGACTGTCAAAGAGGCGGGGCGAAGTCGCGAGCACACGCACATCAGCACGCGCCGCTGCGTCTGCGGTGATGGCGTTCGTAGTAGAGTGCGGCTCATTGAGAAACGGTTGTGGTGGTCGAGGTGGTCGTGGCGCGTCGTTGTACGGTGCTTCTTCGTTGTCTTCGCTGGTTCTGCGAGTATCCGTTGAAGCCGCCCTCCCGGCCTCGGCGCCGGCATTAACAATATTCTGTTCCGTGGTGCGTTGGGCCGCCGCCGCACCATCCTCCTTGACCTTTGTCACTCTCGCGCCACGGTTCTCGCCCCTCTGCTTTATGTTGCCGGCTGTTGTCTTCGTCGTGGTCGTTGCCGCTGCGGCGCCTGCTGCTGAAGTGAAATCGCCGCCTTCTTCCGGCGGGAACCACAGTCCCGCACGGCGCCACCGCAGCAGCAGATGGAGCAGCTGCACGCACTGCACGGAAAGCAGAAGCACGGCGGACGAGTGGGCGGCGGCGAACTCCGCGTTGTGGTCTCTCAAGACAGCACCACCGCGCACCTCCTTTGGGGGGACCCCATCGACCGAAGAAGGGGGGGAAGGTAAGTTGGCACCGGCGTCTAACGCTGCAACACGCGCGTTGACGCTCTCCAACAGCTGTGACCGGCGCATCAACCACGTCACGGCGCCCTGCACGGACGTCGCCAGTGCAGTTTGAAAGGAACGCGGCAGTGACGGACGCGGCGCCACTTCGCCGATTGAGGGGGGCAAAGGCGAAGCATCCGTCGCCGCCGCCGGTGACTGAGGGCTACAACGCCGATGCTGATGACGATACTCCTCCATTTCTTCATCCTGCCGGGCAAGCGAAGGCGGTCGCTGCGTGACGGCCTGTCGATTGCTGTGTGAGGACACGCGCAACATCCAGTGGCCTGCTGCGGCATCGTACAGCACCGCCGGCACGTTTGCTGCCGGGTCGGCGGCTGCCTCCTCCACCCCCGCGCACACCTCAGCGAGGTAGCGCCCCACTCCGGCCCGCAACGGTCCGTGTAAGGATGACGCAACAGCCGCCGCACCGGCACCGCCTTCGTGCCTCATTGACAGCACCGCTGGGCCGTCCCTCGCCATGGGTACGCGATAGAGCTGCTGCTGTGAACGCTGAGCGATTTGCTGCTGTGCCCGGCACGTCCACAGCACCGCACACGCGTATTCCTCCGCCGCTGCAAGCCACCCCATGAAATCGGCGGGCGAGAACAGCAGCAGGAACGCGGCCCCGGAGGCACTGCCGGCAGCGGCCGACAAAGACGTCAGCGAAACCGACGCGGCGTTGGCCGCGTGAGCACTGCTGCTCCGGTCGCGTGCGAAGGCGGCGACGCCGGTGGTGGTCTCGTTGGCCTTAGTGGACAGCTCATTCGGCTGTGGGAGAGGAGAAGAGAGACGCGGACTCGTGCGACGGTTCCCAGCCGCCACGCCAAGACGGTGCAGCAGGGGGACGTCGGCGTAGAAGTCCGCGCCGTGGGCCACCACCAGTGACACGAAATCGAGACCAACACCGCCGCTGATCAAATCCACGCCCTCCGCGAGTTTGCTTGGGGCAGCGAGTTGGCTCAAACGCACACACTGCACGAGCGTCGCGAAGCGGGTGAGGAGAAGCGCGAGCGACGGAGACAAAACGGGAGCGTAGGAGAGCGAAGGATCGGCCGAGGTGGGTGCCAGTGCTGCTGCGGAGGCGGCGGCGGCGGCGGTGGCGGCCGAAGGGCCACCCTCCGCATCAGCGCCCACAAGCGGAAGAGCCGCTGCTTCGCCCGATGAGATGCCCATCGCACGCACCTCCCGCACTCGCCGGACGGCCTGTTCGAAGGCGTGCAGCTGCGACTGTATGCGGGACACCGCAGCCTGCAGGTGCGTCTCCCACCCCACGTGTACGTCGTCCAGCGGAGGTACAGCAGCAACAGTAGTTTCTGCCGTTGCAGCCGACACGCTCACGTGCGAACCATCCACCGTCGACAACGAACGCCAACTCGGAGGACGATGCCGGCGGTCATCATCACTCAAGCGGCGTTCCAGCAGTGTCACTAGCACCCGGTACATCGGCTCCGACGGATTCACAAGATCCTCCCGCACTGACGAGGTCACCACCACAGCGCCAGACCCCGTGCCGCTAAGCTGGGCGGGGAGCGATCGTTGGGCGAGCTGCGCAAAGGCAAAAAACTGCGTCGTTGCGCTGCAGCGGGGCACGACGGCGCGTATCGCGGCCAGCAGCAGACCCATGCGCAGGCCAAAGGTGGCACTCAGCGGAAGCAGCACATCCTCGACGAGTGCATCGGCGATGTGCGGCGGGCAGCGCATCGTGGCACAGGGCTGCGCAAACAAGTGCAGTAGAAAGAGGGAGCGATCGGACATGACGTCTTGCAGGGCGGCGCTGTTGGTGCGGATGCCGGCGGTGCGGATGATGAGAACCAGCGGCGGAGCGGCGCGGCTGCGGTGACGACGGCGGGCGGTGGTGGTGGGAGGCGCCGTCGGTGTTGCTGCGGTGGATGGGGATGCGGACGGTTGAAAAAACTCATTCGTCAGCGCGTCACAGAGCAGCTGCACGGGATGCGGGCTTTGCGATGCGACATCGCGCGAGGGTGCTTGCAGATCGCCTTCCGCGTTTCCGACTTCGCCTTCTCCGCTGTCGGCACCGTCGTCGTGACTGTCGTGTGCACGCCGTCGCTTCCGCTGCGGCTGTCGTTCCGCCGGCGTACCACTCGCACCTCTGCGCTCCGCGTCGTCGATTTCCGCCACACCGCCCGGCACGTCGCCCGCTCGACTCGCTGCCCCACGTATCCCTCCGTACATGGAATAGGTCGCCGAGCACAGGTACAGCACCACCGCGCCGAAGTCGAACACCTCCTGCAGAGGACTGCAGGGATAGCTGAACAGCTCCCGTCGAGAGGTGAAGCTGTACTCGTGGCGGTGCTGCGTGAAGATGCGGCACATCGTTGGGTAGACCGTGTGGTGCAGAAGCGCCAGCACCTCACGATGGGACTGCAGCTGTCGAGCAGCGTCAGCGGTGACCTCTGCTCGCTTCACATTGAGCACCTTCACAGCACCGTCTTCTGCTGAGTCGCCTGTGAACGCATTGCTGGCCTCCCACTTCTGTGAACCGGCGGCGTGCAGGTCGCTCCAGAGCTCCTCCGCCACGAGGTCTGCCAAGGTGTAGGACAGCACCGTCGTCACAAACTGCATCACCTCCAGCCGCCACACGTCGTGCCGGGGGGTGTGGTGCGGGAGGAAGAAGAAATTGCAGAGCAGCTTCACCACCTCGACCGGGGCGCGGGCGGCGGCGGGGTGGTCGTGCTGGAAGCGACGGCACAGCTGCCGCAGCGCGGCGACGATGTACGCCTCCAGCCGCAGGTCGGGAGTGGGGATTTGGTGACGCGCCCTTATCAGCTCCATGAGTCGGCGGGTAAGCGCGAGAGCATCACTGCCGCCACTGCTGCTCCCGTTGTCAGCTCTAGTGTAGTTTGTGGAGGCGGCTTCGGTTCGTGTACTCTGCGCAGCGGCCGACGGCGGGTAAGCGGAGGTTACTTGAGGGAGACTGTACAGCCGCACCAGCACCTGCGCATACACGCAGGCGTCATCGGCGCTCGGTGCTGCGGCCCACACCCGGCCACCGACCACCTCCTGGAGAACTAAGTTTGGCGAGACAGCCGTCACTCCGCCGTCATTGCCAGCGCTTGCGTCGGCTAAGGAAGGACTTCCCAGCGGCACTCGCTCAAGCAGCCCTACCAGGCAGCCGGAGAGCCGAACCAGGTACGTCGGCGTGACGAGCCGCGCGTATCCGCCCCACCGCAGCACCTCCAGCAGCAGCGCCGCATAGTCTGCGCCGACCACCGCGACCAGCCACTGACTTTCCAGGACCTCGAGGATGTGGTTGCACAGCAGATTGAGCGGGGAGGCACTCTTCCACAGGAGAGGAGCCTGACTGAGGGATTGCGCGAAGGCAACGGCGGAGGACAAAGAAAGGGCATCCGCCGCGTCAACGCCGAACACGTCTCTCGTGTCAGCTGAGGTCACGGTGGATGCGTGCGGCACAGCCTCCACACCCGTTCTGTCACTCACCAAAAAACGGCCATTGCTGCCGCTAGCTGGATCGAGGCCTTTCTCCCACGCGACACGTGCCGCATCCCCACTGCCGGTGCCGCTGGGACTGCGCTGTTGCTGCTGCTGCGATGTCAGCGGCTCCCCCTCCGCCATCAGCGAGGCGTGCAGACCCTGAAACAGCTGAATGAAAGGGCGAATAATGTCACCGCGCAGACGCCGCCGCCGCGCTTCCAATGCGTCTCGCCGTCCAGCAACTCCACCCGTGTTGGACAATGCTGGATGCTGCGGTAGCTGTGATGGCTGCCGGCGTCGGCCACTCGTACTCGAGTTGCTCTCTATCGCAGCCGAGGCGTGCTTCTCGACCGCGCGGCAGTAGGTGATCAAGTTCGGCTTCACAATGCGTTCCAGCACAAAAACAAAAACATTGGCCGTAACGTGCTGGCCGAGCACGGCGTGCGGCGTCGCGCCGTACCGCTCCGCGCAGGAAACGAAGAAGTTCGTGAACTCCATGATGCACTGCCCGGCCTCCTCGGTGCCTTTGGCGGAGATGGAGGCGGTGTCGGAGGTGACCGCATTGACGTCCGCCATGATCTTGTTCAGCTGCGCTTTCAGCTGACCGCTGTCCACCTCCGACAAGAACGATTCCATCGTCGTTGTAATTCAAAAAGAAGAAGGAAGACCGAATCTGGTGTGCGGGTGTGCGGGGGAGAGGGAGGTATCTGGTATAGATTGTAAGTGTATGGCAATGGAGAGGTAGGTGTATGCGAGGACAAAGGCGAGCAACAACGAAGACGAAGAGCACGGCAACTGCTCAGGCCTTTCTATTCTTCTTAAGAATGCCGAAGGCGAATCTGTGAAGTTCAAAGACCTTTTTGTTTTCTCTGGTTTTATGATCTGGTAATCGTATCGGTGTCCGGTCAGTTGGATAGGCCCAGTTGTGGTGCCATGACAAGCACGACGTCGGTGGAATTGCAGCGCTACCAAGCACGTTTACGGTGCTTTACATCAGCGTCCCGTGTAACGTTGATTTGACGAATCCCGAAAAGTGAGAAGAGCATAACAACACCAAAACGATTGGGGTTGGAAGGGGGGGGGGGGGTGGGAGAGTGTATCGAAGTGCAGCCACCGCCGTTTCAAGACGCATCAAGCAACGGACAGAGGGAAGAGCGAGAGGGAGGGGGAGAGATGAGAAGAGAAAGTTAAAAGAAAAACATTAGGCGAGTGCTCTTACTGCTGAGGAGCTCGTGCAGCAAGCACAAAAAGGGCAGTTCTGCCACGCCCACAGGAAACTTCATTGCCCGGCCAAATGAAGAACATCAGTCAAAGAAACCCAAACGGGAAAGCCGGCTCATTTGCTTTTCCCCTCTTCGTAAACCCTCCCTTCAATCCATCCTTTACGCCCGCTCGATTATAAAGTTTGTTCATTTTTTAGTTTGTTTTCTTATCTGACACGGGCCCCCTTTGGTGCTTCCTCGATGCCGCTTCAAACGCGCCACCTCCACACAGTTTGGACGCTCTTCCTCTTTTCCTTTTCTTCCAAAGGCCGCCATCACACACACACACAACAACAACAACAACAACAGAATATATCCATCTATCACAAGTCAGGACTGCCTCTCGTGCCTCAACGACTCAATACGAAGAACATGGAGTACACCTTACGCAGTGGATCCCACGAGCACAGGTAGGCCTCCGAGTAGCTGCCATCCGCCTCCTCCAACACCTCCCCACCTTCGCTGCGGGTCGCCTGCGCCGGGAACTTCAGCGAGATCGTCGCGTAGCCCTCACACGCGAACAGCAAATAAATGAAATAGTCATCGGGGGGCTTCTCCATGTGCTGCTCGCGAGCCGACAGCCAGCGATGAAGCGGCCGCGTGCCATCCTCGGCTTGGGTAAACATGACATCGATCCACACCTTGGTACGGAAGGCAACGTCGTCGTGCTCCGTGCGAAAGGAGTACAACGGCGTGCCGAAACGCGCGTTGGCCGCCGCGGCCGCCGCCGCCGCAGCAGCGGAGGCACTCGTCCCTCCTACGACAGCAGCAGCCGCAGCAGCTCCGGTCGCGGACGAGGAAGCGGCGGCGGCGGTCCCCGTACTCGACTGTCCGGCACTCAAGGCAAGCAACGCCTCCTCCTTCCGGGCCCGCTGCTCCGCCTCGACGTTGCGGCGCTCCTCTTCCTGCTCGCGCAGATGGCGCAGCTCCTTGTGCTGACGCCGCTCGAGCTGAAGTGTATGCGTCTTACCCGCAATGTGCTTCAGAAAATTGTTCTCCTCCGTACAGTAGACGTTGCACAGAGTGCAGGTGACCTGGCCCATGTGATTGCGTTTGAAGTAGGGGTTGGCCCTGGCAACCTCAATGGGGTCGTATATGTTGACGCTCCCTGTCGGTGACGACGTCATCGCTGCCGCAGTGGGGAAAGGGGAGGAGGGAGGGTGGTGGTGGACTGAAGGCTTCTAAGAGGGACGCAGCTTTCTTTTTCTTAAGGTGATGTAGATCCTCACAACAGTAGAATCATCATGCTCCTTTTACCTTTGCAAAAAACAGGGAACACCAAGAATGAAAAGATGGAAAGGTTAGTGGAAAGGAAAGTCAAGAACGACAGAACCCCAACGCCTCACGCGCACGCACAATTCGACGGCTCTGCATCGCTCCCCTTCGCGAGAAAAAAAATCCACCGTGGAGTGCAGCGCATCCCTTGAGGAACGGTGATTATCAGTCGAAGTGTTTGCAGAAAGGGGGAGGGGAGGGAAGGGAGTGGGTGGGTGCCTTGGACGTAATGAGTTTCCATAGACAACTACACGCACAACTGAAACGCTGACTTCTTTCTGGGTTCTACAGCTACGGAAGACAGCTTTTCGCGATGCTATTATGATTATTTATCTATTTATATATATAGTCACCAACAATGAACATGGGAAACCAGAAATCAAGAAATCAACACACATACACACGCACTCAACCGGCTGGCAGCGGTGGGTATAAACGGCAGCGCACAACGAGCTCAAAAAGCCAAATTGATGTCTCACCAGCACGCACAGATATAAATGTATTTTTTAGAGAGAGAGAGAAAGAGAGAGAGAGAGGAGAAGACCAGTCATCATAAGCTTACAGCAGGTGCTACCGCCTTTCGCGATGCCTACGCCCAACAACAACCAGAGTAGAGGAGTCAAAAATAAAAATTAATAAAATAACAAAATTAGCAAAGCTAGCACGGGGAGACAGCACGTCAGGACGCGTAACGTCCTGCCAACGCAGCGGCGTGGAGAAACCGTGCAGCTCTACCGCGAAGCCTTCCACCGCGCCTGTCCCAACTACGCTGCTATCTTTTTTTTTTTGGGGGGGGGTATGTGAGTTTCGCTTCCTCTACTTCCCCTCCTTCTTCGCTCGCCCTTTTTGTTGTTGCTCTAAAGAAACACGTCCATCACGTTGCGCACCGCGCTGCGGCACACGGGACAGGCAAAAACCTCCTCTCTACAGTGACTTTGCAGACGCTGAACGCACAGCCCGCACAGGCCGTCGTGTCCGCACGGCTGCAAGAGCGAGCGAGTCTGCAGCTTCTGATAACAGTAAAGACAGCGCCCTGCCGCGTCCTTGCTCGATGCTACAGCTGTGGCGGCCGTACTGCTTTGGCTCCCACTCTGACCTGACATCGGCTGCGGTGACTGCGTCGTCGGGGAGGTGAAAAACGTGTCCAGCGGCGACGCAGCAGGTGAACGCTCTGTATTCGCCGGGGCACCGGAAGCGCCGCCGCCGCCCCCGCGCCCGTGTACGTCAGCCGTCGCATCCGAATGCTGCGCCGGGGCCGCGGCCGGTTGCCTGCCCGCGTAGCGGATCGCAAAGGACTCCACGGCATCCCGCAGGACCCGCTGCAGCTCCACCAAAATATCATACACCGACCCTTGCGCGCTCCACGACTCCTGCGAGAGCCTAATCGTTGCTGGTTCGACCTCGCCGGTGTCGCGATCGCGCAGAAGGCTTGCAAAGCACGGACCGGTCAGCGTGTTTGGCGTCGGCAGCGACGACCCGCGCAGCTCCACCGGCAGGTTCGCCGCCGCGTCGACTAAGTAAATGCGCGGCGGGTACGCGTAGATGCCTCCGCCCACCTCCTGCCCGTCCACCGCCGCGGCATCTGCCGTGGCCGCTCCCGTTCCTGTGGTCGGATGGAACTGGATCCACACCCGCACCTGCAACTCTGCAACGGCCTCTACCGCTACCTGCTGTGTCACTGCTTTCTTAGGACCTCTGCCGCTGCTATGAGTACTAGAACTAGTCGCATTCTTGTGGTCATCGGCATGCATCCCGGAAGGATAGGCAAGAGACCTTAGGTCATTTGCACCCCCGCCAGGGGACGCCGGCATGGAGTACTGATCGACGGTTGTGGTGTAGGGCCGATCCTGCGGCACGGCGAGCACGGCGGCCTTGTGCTCGCTAAACACAGGTACGTAGACGACGAGGCGGTGGTGAGCAGGGAAGTAGCGGCCCAAGCCGTCGCCGAACCTCGAGAGGTCGCGCAGGATCGTCGCGCAGCGCACGTGCGCCGCGGTGCGACTCGGCAGCGCGTTCCTCATGAAAGCCGGTGCGTTGTGGGAGTGGTGGTGACGATACGGATCGGCGTTGTCCGCCGCGCCCAGCTGGCTCACGTTGGGTCGCACGGGGAAGGCGTAGTTGCTCGTAGGGGTGATGAGAGGCGGCACGCACTCAAAGCTGCGCACCACGACGTTTCGTATGTACGCCGTTAGGGTCTGGTACTTGTCGTCACCCGGCGCAGGGATGATGGCACCGCTGATGGGGTCGATGTACTCCGCCTTGCGGCTGACGGCGAAGTCGTTTAAGCTTTGCATGTTCAGGCAGACCCGGTAGCGGCAGTACACCTCAGCCGGTCCGCCCGTGCTGTCATCCGGCACGCTGGACTTCTGTGAGGCGCCCGGTGCACCAGGCGGGGCGTTCAGATCGGAGGCGCTGCCCGGAGTCTCCCGGCCACAGTCAGCGGAAGCCGCGTTCGTGCCTGTCGGGGTGCTGAGTGAGTCGTTCGCCGCGCCTGGCGCGTAGACGGAGATAATCACCGGGGTGTAGTAGACCGTGCCGCGGTACGTGTAGGGCAGAATCCCACGTATTTCGTAGTGGTCCCTGCACTGGATGTACTTGAAGCCGTCCCCGTAGGCGGAGCGGAAGCCTTGCAGGTCGGGGTTCGCGAGGATGCGCGATCGGGAGATGTCGTACTCCTTGCGTGGTCGCACCGGCTGCGGCAGCAGTGGCGCGGATGGCGTCTCCGCTGCGGCGCCGACAGATGAAGTGGATTCCCCACAGCGAGAGCCGAAGGAACCTAGCTTCGGCACACGCTTTGGGATCTTCGGCTCCTTACTGTTGCCACCGAAGGAGCCCCCGTCACCAGCAGCACTAACGCGTGAGGTCGGAACCTTGGTAGGCGGCAGAAGCGCATGCCCCATCTGCGGGTTCGACGAGTGCGGCAGCGGCCCCAGCGGCGCAGAACGTGGCACAACAATACCGTCGGACTGCGGTTGTGATCCAACGCCAGTGGAGTTCGCCCGGTGAAGCTGGCAGGGACGGTGGTCGTTGTTGCTGCCGCCATGCAGGTGTCCGTGCTGCTCCGCGTCGTGGTCGTCATCGTCGCTGTCAGACACCATCATGCTCTGGAAGCGCGAGGCGGCGTCGCCGCTGTTGGCACCAGCGGAGGCGGCCACGAGCGCCGTGGGGGCTGCGGCAGCGTTGGTGGCGACGCGGTCGCGCTGCGCGGCGGCCCGTTGCAGGATGCCGACGCACTCCGCAAAGCCGCCCCGCTCCGCCATCTGCACCGGCCGCTCACCAAACACGTTCGCGCGGTCAATCGGTGTGTGCAGGACATCCACGAGATACCGCACGATCTCCGTCTGTCCAACCGACGCGGCGAGGTGCAAGGCGGTGTTGTAGTTGCCGCCGTTGGGGGCCAACACGTCTGCCTTGTACTCCTCACAGAGCATCCGGACGGTGTTGAGGTAGCGAGAGTTGCCGGCCTGTAGGGAGGCGAGGTCGGTGCGATTGGCGTTGCTGATGGTGGTGTAGAGGAGGGTCATGTTCGAGCCCTGCGCCGGCACGTTCACCCGCTCCGGGTGCGCGCGCAGCCACTGCCGCAGCTCATCGGTGTTGCCTTCGGCTGCGAGGCGGAACTCCATCGCCTTCTCTTTGCTGTAACGGAGCAGCAAGACTTTGGTTCCTAGACAAGCAGCGATAATAGTTTAAAAAAAAAGAAAATCGCGTTCTCTTAGGCACATATACATGTATATAGAAACGACTACGACACGTCGATGGGAGCCGGGGCGTAGAGCAGTGGGTACCGAACAGGAGGCAGCCGACAGCAAACAGCAGCAGGATGAGAGAGCGTCAGAAATCCAAACGAACAGCAGGCAATGAAAGTCTCAGACGACAGTCCTCCTGTCAGAGGTGAGAAAGAAAAAAAAGGAATACCAATCGTGGTAACGGGGACTGTTTACCGCGCAAATACCATAACAGTCGGTTTCCCTTCTGTTACACAGCTCGCATTGTTAGAGACGAAGAGAGGAGCAGTGCGAAAGTGGAGGAGGAATGCCAAACAGACGGAGGACGCGTCGACACGGACCGACTCGTGCGGCGGCGCAGAGACACAGGATCTCGTGCATGGAGGGTGCGAAGCTGCAAGGCACGTCACCGAGGACCCGACACACTCTTTCCACCGAGAGAAAGAGAGAGAAATCCATTGAAAGCGCTGAGTCCCTTTTTTTTTTTTGAAAGGATAAAGTTTTGGCTCGTCCGCGGCAGTGATGGCGGAACACCGAAAACTTCCGAAAGGAGGAGCTCCGGATCCATCGCTAACTTCACCGTCACTTGCGATAAGGTTCTTTGATGCGTCAAACACACACACACACAACACCACCCACACACAACAACAACAACAACAACAATACTCTTATTTATTATTCCAACAGTCTCCATCAACGGTAGGAGAAGCTGTACCAACGCAACACGCACGGAGATCGGCAAACCCGCATAAAGTGGAAACAAACAAACATTAGAATGTCCCAACGCAGTTTGAAAATAAACAGAAAATGAAAAACAGCGCTCGCTACGTGTCCGCCTACAACATCGAATTTACTCCGTTCGACCTCCCCACAGCTGACTCCACCCACGCTGCGTCGTGTCCCACAGCGAACTCGCGGCGGCGGCAGCTGAACTCGCCCCTGCGCCTGCCGCACCGCGCATCGCCGCAGAGCCTCTTCCTGATTCTCCTCCTGCTCCAACTCCTCCAGCACCGGACGCGCCCTCATAAAACATCGACCCGCCCGCCGGGCCCATATAAGGAGGCAATGCACCCGGGCCCGACATACGATAGCTGAGACCGCCCGCCGCCGTTAGTCCACCCGCAGCAGAGGCTGACGTGGACATAATGGAGGTAGAAGCTACAGGAGAGAGCGCTTGATACGGATTCAAGCTTGCGGCGGTGGGAGGGGGGATCGTGTAAGCGGCCGGGTTCATGGAACCAACACCTGCGTTCCCCGTCGCACCGGCAGCAGCGGCAGCAGCCACAACGGCCGCGTTCGATACGGCAATCGGCAACAACGCCAGCCGCTCCACACGCTCACGCGGCTGCAGCAGGCGTTCGGTGGGCGACACAAGACCCCCACCGGTTACGTCGGGGTAGTCCACCACGAGGGGCCTCATCGCAGCTGCGAGGGCCACCGATGCCACAGTGATCTCGTCACCATTCCTTCTGTCGGCGCCACCCGCGTCACGCGGCGCGCCTCGATTCGTCTCGTCGAACCCGACTACTTCCTCTGCGTCGTGCTCCGCCCGCGCTACCCACAGTGCGGCACTCGCGGAGAGGAACTGCCGATACGCGGTCATCACCAGGGGTACGGCACTGCGCCAGCGAAGGCGGTCGCACGACGTCTCGAGCAGCACCGCAATACGCCGCAGCGGCCCCGCCGCGACGTACCGCGTGAGATCCGCCCCGCCATTTGACGGGAACGTGTTGGCGTTCGAAGGTGCCGTGTCGAAGAGACTGGCACCGCCGTCATGAGAGCCGTTTTTCTCGCTGCTGTGGTGGCTGTTGTCCGTGGGGGAGGTGGCCCACACGGAGGAGAGGAACAGCACGTCCATCAGCCACTGCAGGCGTACATCATCAGCGTCACTCGACGAGCCCGACGCGCCGCCGCTGTCGCGGGCGGTGATGGAGGTCGTGGTGGTGGTGGCATCAGCGGCAGAGGCAAACGAAGAGGAAGACGCGCTTAGCAAAGGAAGCAGCTCCTGCTCAAATAGATCTGCCGTGACGTGCGACAGCTGATGAAGTACGTGCTGACGCTCCTGCGGACTCACCAGCTGATGCGTCACACACCCACAGGGTGTGCCGAAGACTGCACCGACGGTGTCGGGTCCACCGGCGGCCTCGCTTCCTCGTCCTCCGTCCACTCCGTTAGCGGCACCGCCACCCACGAGCAATCCGTCGTCATCGCTGCTGTACACCGTTGCCCTCCCGTACAGTGCGTGATGCAGCAGTCGCAGGGTCCGCTGCACAACGGCGGTGAGCGCGGGTGTGGGGACCGCAGGGTACGACACGCCTCGGCTGCTGTGATGCCTACCGTTGCTGCTCGCTGTTGTCACTGCTGCTGATGGAGTCAACGTCGACGGCGTGGGGGTGTCACCTGTGATGGTAGCCCGTATCCACGATGACGGGTCCACCAATCCAGTCAACCGACGAGGTGACTTGTACGCTTGCTTGCCACCGCCGCCGTCGCTGCTGTTGTCTTCCATGTGCGGCTGCACGTCGTAGTGGTGTCGAAGAGCGTCCGTATAGTAGCGCAGCAACACCTCCTGCCACAGACTGTTCGTTGTGCGATACAGCTCCGCCGTCCGCTCGCACAGCCGGCGCACCTCTCCACCAGCGGCGGCCGCGCTCCCAGGCGGTAGAGCGGTAGTCACCAATTGACGTAGCACGCTGTGGTACACGCGCAGCACCAAGGACGCCTCGTAGCCGTGAACCACCTCCGCCGGCGTGGGCAGCGCAGGCGACGAAGTTCGAGGCAGGTATCGCAGCTGCGCCTCGATGCGCGCTAGCGAGTTCGCCAGCCAGCGAACCACGCGAGAGTAAAGAAGCGTGTCAAGAGATGCAGAAGACGAAGAAGAGCCGTCCTCACTTCCCAGCGAAGCAACGCCGTCAGCGTGGTGGCTGCGAGGATCATCGTTGGAAGTGGCAGACGCGCCAAAGGCAGCGACGGCGGCCACAAGCGTCTGTAGACAACGATGAAGCAGCTCCGCCGCATGACCGTTCAACGCGATTCCGCCTGTCATCGCCCCGTCACTTTCGAAGTCCTCACTCTTATCCTTCTGCGCGAACGATGCGGCTGCTGCTGCTTCCTCTCCCGGTGAGGCAGGCAACGGCGCCCGCCACTGGGGAAAGAGGCGGCGGCCGAAACCACCAAGGACGGTCATCACTTCTTGCTGCTGTGCACGACTCAGCACGGCAGCTTCGCCCTTCGCAACGCCTTCGCCGCTCTGGGCGAGAAAGGACAGTACGTCTGCCGCCTGCAGAGCGGCCTGCCCCCACTGCAATACCTCTTCACGGAAAGGACCGTCGCCTGCGCCGCGGCACGTCGCGGAGTTCGCGCCCTGCTCGGTGTTCCCAGGCTGCGTACCACGACGAGCGCCGTTCAGGAGCCCGCCACCACCGCCGGCGGCGGAAGCAGTAACAGCGGCAGAGCTTCGGAAGCGATGCCAGTCAATGCCTGCCGCGCTCGACGCAAAGCCAACCCGGCCGCTGCTCCCCCTCGCGATGGAGGAGCCATTGAACATAGTGTCGTCTGCGGTGGTGCCGCCGCGCGATTTATGCGGTTTGTGCTCCAGCGTCGTTGCCGCGGCGTCGTCGGCACTGCGAGGCACCGAGTCGGTGTGCGCGAGATGAAGTGTGTGTCGCCGCATCACGTCGCTCAGCGCCGCCCACGTTTGTTGGAGCTGCTCCAACGACCACGCTGTGCCCGCTACGGGAGATGTCTTGTCGTGCCGGCGGTTTGCCTCCTCGCCCACCACCGCCGCCTCCTCCGTGATGTTCTTCTCGTTCCTTTCACCATCCAACACGGCCAGGGAACGGGTCGAGCCGATCAGGCCGCGTACGAGGCAGTCCTCGACAAAGCTGACGGAGTGCAGCGCCACCGTAAAGCAGCGCTGCAGCGCTGCGTGAAGCGCCGTGCGTCGCGTCTGCGCCAAGTTCAGCTGCGACGTGATCCGCTTCCACGTTGTGCCAACAGACGTCGCGCCGAGGCCTGGTACAGTTCTGCCTTCTTGTGAACCGCCTGCCAGCAGCACCGCGGCAAGCGACGAAGAGGAAGACGCCGGAAGGGCTGATGCCTCGGTAGATTCCCCTTCCGAAGCGGCCCGCGTGTCCTGCTGAGCTGCGTAGGCGCCGAACTCCGCCATCGCCACCGGATCGCGCGCGAGCCCCATGACCAACGACGAGATGAGCGGCACAAGAAGTTCGCGGGCGGCGTACTCGAGTGTGGTGGAGGGCAGCAGCGCGACATCAGCCGGACGCGGGGGCACAGCAGCAGCAGCACTGTTGTTTGACGTCTGCTGCGAGGACGCTGCAAGCCGCGTCGTGCGCGCAGCTCCGGCGACGTTCAACTCGGTGACGGTGTCGAGGCTGGCACGGAGCGCCGCCACACACACGCGGCACCGCGTCGCGGCTGGAAGCGTTGCTCCGTACTGCGACATGGCGTGCAGGCTGCTCAGCTGCTTCCCCGGAGTGGTCTTCGCTGCTGCGGCGGGTGGGATGGTCGGGCTTGGCGTGTTCGGCTCCCTGTTCCACGGCGAGGGGGGGCCAGGGGGCGAGGTGGGATTGTCGAAGGCAGCCGCCAGAGGACTGTTCAGGGTGAAGCTGCGCGCATCGCAAGGCGTGCCCGCCGCGTCGGCGGTCGGGTCCCTCGCTAGACCGCCTGGGCCCTTCAACCGCCACGCCAGCAACTCCTCCAGCGAATGCGCTCCCCCGCCGCCGCCGCGTTGGACGGTAACTCCGCCGCCGTCTGCATGCACTCCGCTGAACATACTCCATCCACCGCTGATGTCGGTGATGTTGCCCAACGCCTCGTTCTCCCTACACACCCTTCTCAAGAAGTTCAACACCCTAACTTCTGGCGGCACGGATGATGCCGCCGCCGCTACCGAAGGCTTCGAGAGATCGATGTAATCCGCAAGTCCGCGCAGGAGGAACGGAAGCCCGGAGAAGCACCGCAAAGCCCAGGCGGTGTTCGAGAGTTCCACACCCGCGGCTGGGCCGGCAGACATCACGAGACTTGGCATCCCTGCAAAAGCCGCCTCTGTGCGAGCGGAGTTGATGGCTGCTCTTGTCGACGCTGCAGGGCCGGAAGGAGAAGAAGGGAAAACAGAAGAGGAAAGCCCGAGAGCCGAGAGGAGGGCCGAGTTGGCAAACACCTGCGTGCGGGCGGTGCAGCTGCTGGAGGAGACGTACTCAGACAGAGCCGCGGCAGGGCAGGTGCTTTGCACGTCGTGGTGGATACTGCCGTTGGTGCCCGCTGCGGTGTCCGCCTTCCCGTCGTTTGTGTGGGGCAGAGCAGCGACGGTGCCGGCGGACAGCAGGGTAGTGCTCCAGCGGGCTGCGCTGACCTGCGCCTCTCGAAGAAGCAACACACTCACCAGTGCCAGCAGCCACCGCGCCGGATCAGCCGATCTGGCCTCCTCCTGTGCATGTCTTTCCTGGGGATGTGGCTGGTCCTGCGACGCCAGTGGCGCACCTCCATCAAAGAGAATGGCCGTCACCACCTCCCGTGTCTTTAAGGAGGCGATGAAAAACAGCGAGTCTGCGGACTTCTCCAACGATGCGGTGCCGAATAAATGCCCATCGGCATCCTCTGCAGAAGTGCTCGTGTCGCCTTCTGTGGAGCGAGGCAGGTCAACGCCAGGTGCGCAGGCCACCAAGGCACCGAGAAGCGTGGGCGACGTGCACAGGGCGCGCAGGACACCGTGACACTCGGCCAGCACCGCGCACAGGTACACGGCGCAACGCTCGGCGTCAGCCTGCAGCGCACGGCGACGACTTTCCAGAGAGTTCTTTTCTCTTTCCGTGTCGACCGCGGTCGCGGTACTTCGCTGCGTCGATGGACGCAGTGCAGCCCGACCGGCTTCCACGGCGTCCACCGTCGTCGACAGCAGCATCGACGCCGATGTTGCCCACCGCCTCGCGCGCTGCTCCAGATGCGCACGCTGCTCAACCAGCTGCGCGTACGCGTCCGCGGCACGACGTAGGCGCGCCAGCAGCAGCTTCACGAGTCGCGTTTCCAGCGTGTTGGCGCGGCGTTGGAAGCTGATGACCCACGCCGGTGTTTGGCCAGAACGCCGTGTGCCACTCGTTGCGGATGTCGGTGCAGCAGACACCACGGCAGACGCGGGATGCGACGGCGGCGGAGATTTTCTTAGCAAGGCAAGCGCATCGCGCACCCGCTGAAGTCGCTGGGCGACGGATTGCAATGGAAAGCCAGCGGAGGCCGACATCTGCGTGGCCGATTCCGATAACCCGCTAAGGCTGATCGCAGCAGTAGCAGCATTCTTCTTACTACCACCACCATTTTCGCGATGTGGTGCCTCCGTGCTGCCGCTGTCGGCCAGCATAGCAAAGACGAACCGCACGTCCGCTGCTGCCCCTCCCGGCGACTTCACGGTGGTGGCGGCGGTCATGTATTGCTGGTGCAGTGCCTGCAGCTCATCGTCGAGCCGCATGCGGTCCTCATGTGAGGCGGTCGGTGCGTCGGTGGCCTTTTCGTTTCCCTCATCCTCGCCCTCTCGCCTCTCGCACGCGCTAGGCGCTTGACTCGCTTCTCGCGTGGGGACGTTATGTGTAGCGGAGAGGCAGAGGGGCAGCACCACCTTCGGCAGCTCCGCCGTGGCAACCTCCTGTTGGACGGACTTACCTGCCGCTTTGGACTGCGACAGCGTCGACAGCAGCGGCGTGCTCTCTCGCGTGGACTTCCCTCGTGTGCTCGATGCCGCATTCCCGGTCGTCGTCGCGGCAGCAGGCCGGCGGCGGTTCTGCCGCTTCGCGAACCATGCCGGCGGCAGCAGAGGCGTTACGGTGGTGGTTGTCGACCTTGCCGTGTTGGCGGACTGCTGCGTGGTGTGCCCCTCCAGCGCCGCCTCGATGGTTAGAATATCCTGGCAGTCCTTCTCCATCCCCACAACCCCGTCGCAGGCGGCGAGCAAATCGCGATAGGAGCTACCGATGGCGGCGCGGAGGTCGTGCTGGTTCGCCTCTATGCTGCGGGTGACGGTGGAGAGGTAGTGGAGGGTCTCTTCGATATCATTCAGCCGTAGGATGCGCCGCACCTCCTGCGCGGCTTCCTCAACAGACATGGCGGATTTGGACAGAACTGTGCTGTTCGTATGGAAACACAATAAAAAAAACAAAAAGTGTTGCGCTGTTTCGTTTTCTTTGGATCTGTAATAGCCGCCTTGCACAGCTTTGTGTTTCGCAAAAAAAAGAAAAAGGGAGCTACACAGGACAGCGGTAACACACAAGAAGCTTCGTGTGTGTGTGTGTGTGTGTGTGTCACGACGGCAAAAATACGAGCCAGCCAAGAAAAGTTGAGATCGGGAGAGGAGGAAAAGACAAAAGAGCGAGTCGTTACTACAAAGAAGAGAAATAGCAGAGTTGTGTGCGGATGACGAAGAAATATTTGCATGTTCATCCTTCTCCCTTTCTTCCTTGCGTAAGAGGAAGTAGGCCGAGAAGGTGCTGCATCGGTCGATGGTCGGTAGCAGCACGCTCCACGTTCTCATTTGAGGACGTTCGTAGAGGACATTAATAATGCGGGAGGGAGGGGGGGGGGGAGGGGATGTAATGCGGAAAGCCAGTTCCGAGACACCAATCAAGCACCGGCAGGATGCGCGTCTTCCTTTTTAGGGTGTGTTGTGTGTCACTTCCGTGCTTTCTTCATGTGTTCCACTATCAGGCCAACGAGACATGATGAAGGTCAACCGTAAGAGTAGAAGTAGACATATACTTTTGTACTTATATTTGCATTTACATATTCATATATATATGTCAACGTTGCACCTGGTCTTCCTCAGCGTCGACACTTCAACCACGTACAAAAGGGGCTAGAGAGACACAAACAGAAAGACATATGAGTGTAGAAACGTGGAGAGGCGATACCGTGTAGAAAAATAAATTGTAGCCCTGCCGTTGCTGCGCTGCTCCGTCATCGAGAGAACAGCGAGAAGCGGATACGGAAAAGGGCAGAACAAAAAAGAACATGAAGAAAGAACTTAAAAAAAAAACGCATTAAAAGTGGACTCCGTAGGGGACAACAGCAAATAACGCTGCTGCACAACACACACACACACGGGAATCCCTCATACAAATAATAAGAAGAGCGCCGTTTCTCTTCGGCCTCGAGGCGGTAACGCTCCCAGCTGTCCCCCAACGCTTGCCTCGCGGCTGCCTGGCTCTTTTCTTGAGCCACCAGTTGTTTCTGGCGGTCTTCCACCGCGGCCCTTTGTTGCCTCACCTCTCCCCGGAGCTGCTCACACCGGCGTTTCTCAACGCTGATGGCACGCCGCTCGTACTCCAGCGCCATCCGCTGCTCCGTCGCCTGGTGGCTAAGCGCCTGCGACTCGAGGGCGTGCAGGTACCGCTGATCCTGGCGTTCAAGCGCGAGATCCGATAGCAGCTTCTTCAGGTCGAGTCAGTGCTGCATCACAGCCCGTAGACCGGACATGTGCAGCTGGGAAAAGGAAAACCACTCATGCCCCCAGAAGGAGCGAGAGTCGTCGAGACCGTGGGGACTGGGACTTGCGAGGTTGAGTTCTCTAGGAACGTTTGTGCGACGGCGCCGTGCTGTTGGCGGAAGTGGACATCCACGATGGGCGGTACACGGGTTTTTTTTTTAAAGGTCCGCTAGGGTGCCCTATCCCGGCCCTGAGACACGGATACGCTCAAGTCTGTGCTTCTGTTACCAAGCACGTGTCCTGGCAACTTCCCCCCTTTATGGGAAAGCGGGTGTCGTACCTCCAAGCGGCTCAGTCGTGGGAAAGACAGCTGCTGAAGCCTGTCCAGCCCGGTTCCGCTTGCCCTCGGAGATGGGCTGCGGAGTGCGAGGGGTGAGCAGTGTCTGTGCGAGTCAGCAGAATGCGATGTGGCGGGGAAAGAAAAAGCTAAAATGGCCTTTCCTAGAGAGAGAGGTCAACTGCAGGGGCGGAGAGAAGAAAAAGGGAAAGGACACAACAGGAAGCTTTCGACTCATCTCCCGGCGAATTCTTCCTGGTGCAGGCTTTCAGACAAAAACCCCAAAACACAACCGGGGAGCGCACTAAAGAAAAGATGTGTTGACGTCGCGATGGAAGCGGTGCTTCAGTCGCAGCCACGTCAGACACGCAAAACGAGAAGTATATATATATATATATATTAGAATATGAGAAAAAGCACATACAGGATATTAAAGAAATAAAAGCAATGCCGTTTCGTTGAGCTTGCGGAGAGGCGTATTACGCTCTTCTTTCGGCTTCTGGTTTTCGGCAGAAGAGAACAAGAAAGAAGTGGCCACACAGGAGATGAACGTGGATGAGAGGAGTGGGGGGAATAGAATGGGTAGAGGAGTTACTGTTACTCGTGTTGCGCAGGGTCCTCATCGAAATTTATCGTGCATGCTTCCGTTGTTGATGGCGGGGGTGGTGAATGGCTGAGAGCACTACGGTTTTTTTTTGAAAAGGAAAAGGGGAGGAATGCCTCCGCACTTAACGGTGCTGCACAGGCGCACAACTTCAGCATTTTCCTCTTTGCCAGCTATTACCTTCAACGGCGCTGCTGCGCCGCCAATCGCAGCCCAGGCTTTTCGCGTTTTCTTGTCTTTTAGAACAGCAATGGGAACGTCAACGCACCGCTTTTCGTTGGGAAAACCGAAGTGAGCAGCAGAGCAACATGCCTATTCACACACAGCCACACACACGCACACACACACACACACAGGCTCACACTCACCACTGTGGCTGCGAGCGGTAGCCATCCTCGATGGTTGTCGGGCCATGCCGCCAGTACTCATACGGTATCTCGTACACAGCCACCTTGTCCACCGGCGCCACGGTGAAGCCCGGCGTCTTGGCCAGATCCCGTGACCACCGCGCGACGGGCAGCGTGTCCCACCCATCCTCCTGCCGAGCCTCACCGCGCCGGAGCTGCTCCGCGATCCACTCCACCGCACCCCGCCGTGCCGCCGCCTCCACGTCCGCCACGCCCACGCCGCGCAGGACCGACACCGCGTACTCCGTTTGAAAGAAGTGGTGCAAGAAGTAGCTGTCGGCGGGCCGGCAGCGGTGCGCCACCACGGTGGACCACGTCAGGTTGTGCACGCGGCCGGCATGTAGGTCGTGGAAGCGCGCGTACCACTCCTTCACGTACCACAGACGGCCGTTGGGGCAGAGGGCCTTAATGCGGTCCAGCGCATCGTACACCCGCAAACCCATGAAGATGTCCTCGTGGTCGTACAGCAGCACTCGATAGGCGGCGCTGCGGTCGGCGGTGAAGTCCTCCGCGGAGAGGCGCACGACGTCCAGTCGGCTACGGTTTTGCGTCGGCTCGAGCACCGCCTGCGCGACACGGCGATGCAGCAGATACAGCATACCCGCGTTGAACTGCGTGTGCTCGTGGTGCCGCAGACTGCCCCAGTACAGGCACTCAGACGTTTCGGCGGTGAAGGGACGCCCCAGTTTGTCTACTGCGCCGTAGCCCTCCTCCCGCTGGTCTGCAGCCGCTCGAGCGGCGGCGGAGGCGGAGGCGGACGGCGGAGGCGGCGGCGGGAAGCGGTGTCGCAGCCCCCCCTGCACGTAGCGGAGATCGCTCATGAACTGCGGCACCTTCAGGTACGTGTCGTCGTCGCCCTTCATGATGTACGGCACATCGGGGAACGCGTGGTAGGCGTACTCCAGCCACAGGACGGTTTTCTGCGTCATCCCAACCTCCACCGGCAGGCCCCAGCCACCATCCTGGCCCAGCGCTTTGTTCGTAGTGGGGCGGCGGTCCGTCATCATGTCCACCCAGATCAAATTGCGGTGTTCCAGTGCCTCGCGCCACAGCCTCGCCGAGACACAGCACACGAACTGCGCAGGCGACACGAAAGCCGGCGTCACACTCAGTTGAAGAACTTCCCCCATCGCCGCAGCGTACGACACGTGCGTGGAGTCGGGCTCCCGCACCGTAAAGGCCCCGATGCACGGCGACCTCGCGCTCGCCCCGTCCTGCAGCGTTCGCCACCCTTCTCCCAGGGACACGTAATGCCTCGTGAACGATGTCGTGCGAGGTCCGTTGCGCTCCTCCAGTAACACACGCGAGGCCACGTTGAGCTCCTCCGGAGTGGGGAGGAGCGGTGAGGGATCGCCACACACGGGGGGCCGCGCGGAGTCGACGCCCTCTGCGCCCATCGCCCCCACCCGCCGTCGCTTGCCGGCGGCAACGACATACAGCGGCAGCAGTGCACCCTCGAAGGCGTTCTCGTTGCGGGCGACCTCGTGATAGCTCATCCACGTCGCACGCTGGGCATCACGCAGGGCCAACCGGGCAGGCTGGTCCGTCGACGGCACGCCCATCACCGCAAGATACGGCCGCCGCCGTGGTGGTTGGCTGCGTAGTGCCGCAGGGAAGTTCGGGTAGACGTGCCGCAACCACTGCCAGTGTGGCAGCTCCGCCGTCACGTCTACGTCGTCCGTCACGCTCGACATCGCCAAGAGCATCGGCCCAATGCGGCCGAGCGGCGCGGCGGACGTGGCGAAGACGGCGTGGGGCTCCCGCACATGGACCCCCTCCACCGCCCTATCGTACGTGTGCCCATCTAAGCAGCCTGCACAACTCCGCCGCACCACACGCAGCGTCCACGACGGCAGCATCGTCGGCGTGACCACGAGGCGGTCCGTGCAGAGCTCCCGCGTGCCCTTCCGCGCGCACCGGGCCTGTCCCGCCTCGTACATCCGTGACACGTTGAGGCGAGCAGCGGCCCCGGCGTGCTGCACCAGCACCGCCCACGGCTCCGCTACGGGCAGTAGCTGCTCCGCCAGCTGCGCCTCCGTCGCGGCGGGGAAGAGGTGCGGCCACTGCGCCGTCAGCGACACACCGAAGACCAGAAACGCCACACACACACAGACGCCCAACGTGCATTTGGCGGTTTGCGGTGCGTCGGCACACAGCCGCCGCCGCCCACCCCGGCACTCGTTCATGAGCCGTGACACACACAAGAAGGCGAGGTAGCGAAGGCGCTTCACGGACAGGCCGGCGTATGTGCTGTCCGAGTCACACCCCTCCGCTGGCGGTGGCGGGGGCGAGGTTGCTCTCGCCGCGGCGACAGTTGTGGGATCCTTGGTATACGTGCACGTGGACGCACGGTTGAGCATCGCCGAGGCGTAGGTGGTGTACTCGTGTCGCATGTGGGGCGGTGCGGGGCGCGTCTCAGCTGGGCGGCCGTGGGTCAGGTAGCGAGGCGCGCTCGCGGCCCACGCATCACCAGCGCCGACAACGGTGGTTTCCGCACTCGTCGTGGTGGGGGCTGTGGATGCGGTGGACGGGGCGCCGCGGAGGTGCCGCGTATCCGTACGGTGCATAGCGAGTACCTGCGCGTGTGTGAGATCGCGGAGAAGGGGAGGGGAAGAGAAATACGCACCGAAACAGTGCGGTCGCGACGTGGCTTCGCTTCGTGCGGTTGCGTCTTTAAACACGGAGAGAGAGTGGAAGATGTAGCGATGTATCAGCGCGTGCTCGAAAGAATGTACAGTCGACGGAATCAAGCAAATACAAGTAATAAAGAAAGCCAAAGAAAATGATATTACGCCGCTTGGATTCGCTCACTCCGGAGCACCCGTCATGTGCGTGTGGAGCTCTGGCATATTCATGAGAGAGCGAGGGAAGACAGGAGTAGGGAGGAGGAGACGGGAACGTGCTAACTGCCGGGGCCGCATTGCCGGAACGCAGCTTCGTCGCCGTCGCATCACACACATTGGGCAACTACAGCTCATCAGCTTCGTCTTAGAAAACAAGAAAGCCCAACAAATCAGCACGACATCCCTGTAGGCGCCACGGTGGCGCCAGGACCTGGACTCGGCGGACAGGAAAGGGAAGAATAGGCTACCTATCGCTTTGTTGCTTTCGACAGCCTTCACCATCAAGTGATCGAGAAGGGAGGTAATACGCACACATGAGCATATACATATATACGTATGTGCCTCTATTAAGGAACGTGAGAAATGGCGAGCTCCACCGCCCGGTGAACAACGAAGGACATGCACAATGACAGAGACGCGATACGATCAGAGAACAGCATATGCAGCGTCGATGCATGCCAGACCAGCTCTGTCGCAGCACGCACCCCTCTCCCTGCCCCCTCCCTCCGCCACGCATCTCATTGCCGGATGCTGTCGTTCGTCCGCGCGGTGGCACGCCTCTCAGGCGCGTGTCGCGGGAAGCCGAAAACCTCTCCCAGACACAGGCAGGGCAGCGAAGAAAGGCAGTGAGGGTGACTCCGTCGTGGAGCCGCCCCACCGTCGCGCCGTCACACACCGAAGAGTGCGTCTGCGTGTGCGCGCGTGCGCGTTTAACATCCGAGTGAAGAGAAAGGCAAAGAACAGCAAAGGGAAGAAGAACGTTGAAGGTGCTTCACCTCCCCAATGACGCAATGAAAACAGCCTGGATGAGAGGGGAGCCGCTCTCATAAGAGAGAAGCAAACCATGGCACGGCCAGCCGCTTTTGCGGGGCAAGCGAAGATGGCAGGCCGGAACAACGGGCCCTGAAAGCCTGTCGAAGCAGCAGAGCAGAGAAGCAGAACTGGTAGAAGACCGGCAGCGACGTCACCAACAAGAGGAAGCAGGCGGCGCTCCTCTACTCTGGTGCGCCTCCTTCACATCTCCACCTGCGATTCCATTACGCGTTTGGCCCCGTTTGTTTGGTCGAGCTGCTTCTGCTGCGGTTCCCGGGTTCCGACAGGTGCGGGGAAAAAAAGGCGGGGCACAGATGAGCACGGACGTCTTACTTCTGCGTTGGCTCGCCTTTCTTTCTTTTATTCTTTTTGTTTCGCTGTTGAGGTACCGCGTTTCAACCTCAAAAGGAAGAGTCTCCGGTGGACTCCATACATCGGAGGGTAGAAGAGCAAGGCGACGTTGCACGCACACAACACCAGTGGCGCTTGTATCCCAAAACAATAAAACAAAAAAAGGAAAAACTCTAGTCTACTACTCTCAGATCAGGAAGGAAGGAAGGAGAAAGAAGAAAGAGGAAAGATCACTAAGGTGCAAAACGGTGTCGTTACATCCCGCGTATCTTTTTTTCATTTTCCTTTAACGATGGACGGCGTTATTTTCCCTTTTCAATGAACCCATTAGAACTTTACGAATGGGAGTTTCTCGCAGACTCAGATCGTCTGCATTTCCACCTCGTGGGGTTGGAAGAAAAGGGGCGGGACAGCGGGAAAACAGAAAACAGCCTTTCCTGGAAAAAGGTCGATTGGAGGAGAGAGAAAGAGAAAGAGAGAGTACACGTGGTGCAGCCCTCGATTCAACCCCCGGTGGACTCTTCCTGGCGCGCGCTTTCAGTAGATTAAGGTTTTTCAATGAACAACTCAATAAATAGAAGCTATGGTGTCCGTTGCCGCACACGACGGCCATGAGCTTTGAACACTTTCCCCCCAATTATTATCTTTTTCACCTTGGTCATGCGGCTTCCTTTCCGTGGTGGTCGCCGTCCTCGCCGTCTCTCTCCGCCTATCTCGCCATACGCGCCGCGTCGTACCTTACGGAGTAGAAATATAGCCGTTACGCACTTCATATTTTGCGTTCGAATACGGCGCATAGCCATGCATGTACACGGCCACCGCATCTCCAGGCACAATCACGTGTGCCGCCGTCTTCTGGGCACCTTCGCGCGGCACCCACTGCACGGACGGCGTGTCATCCCAAGTGTTGTACTGCGGCATCTTCAGCTTTTGCTGCGCCACCCACGCCCAGGCGCTCCGCTGCGCCGCAGCTTCCTCCTCCGCGTTGGTGGCGTTCACAAGGACCGGCATACGATGCGCATGCGTGAAGTAGTAATGAATGAAGTGGAAGTCCGTGGCAGAGCAGCGATGCACGACAACGGAGGTCCACCTCACGCTGCGAGCCCGCCCCACCCGCAGATCGTGAAACCGCGCAAGCGACTCCCTCACGTAGTACACCGTGTTGTTCCAGCACAGCTCCTCCGCGCGTGCGCGATGGTGCTTGATCATCGTGCCAGCCATGATATCCTCGACTTGATATCTTGTTCGACGGTACACGTTGGAGAGGCTGGGGTCGAACTCCTTTAACGCGAGTCGCACCTGCAGGTTGTTGCCACGACCGTCACCGGCGTCCTCAGGCGTGGCAGGCTTCGACGCCGCTGCCATCGACGGCTCCAGCACCGCTTGCGCCAGCTTTCGATGCAGCATGAAGCACATACCTGCGTTGAACAGCACCTCGTGGTAACTCCGGGTACTGCCCCAGTAGGTGCACATCGACTCGTTCGCTAAAGGAATGGTGTCGCGCGGCATCAGACGCACCTCCTCTCGACTCAGTATCGGCTTGCCCTTCTCGCTATGGAGGAATCGGACGTCGTTTAAGTACTGCGGCACCTTCAGGTACGCGTCGTCGTCGCCCTTCATGATGTACGACACGTCAGGGAACGCGTGGTAGGCGTACTCCAGCCACAGGATAAGCTTCTGGCTCATCCCAACCTCCACCGGCAGGCCCCAGTTCTTATTCTGCCCGAGCTTCTTATCCGTAGTGGGGCGGCGGTCCGTCATCATGTCGATCCAGATCACATTGCGATGCTCCAGCGCCTCCTGCCAGAGACTAGCGGAGGCGTAGCAGACGAACTGCGCAGGCGACACGAAAGCCGGCACAACCGGCAGTGACAGCGCCTCGGTCAAATACGGAAGTGGATCCGTCTCTTCCCCAGGGGCGCCGCCCACCGTAGCCCGATAGGCGTGGCTGCACGGCGAGTCGTACCCGTGGACGCTCGGCCAATCCGCTCGTAGCGCCATGCGGGGCATGGTGTAGCGCACGCGAGGTACGGTCGCCCCGCCTTGCTCCGTCGCCGCCGCCATCGCCTTCTCCGTAGCCAGACGTACCGAAGAAAGCGTCACCCACTCGGCGCGAGAGGGCAGAAGGTGCGAGGCGTTGACAGGCGCCAACAGCGCTACGGTGGACGCCGTCGCTGACTTCGACTGCCCCACCGGCTCGACGTGCGCGAGTAAGTGCAAGACAAGCAACGCGCCCCGGAAGCCGTTCGAGGCGCGCGCCACCTCACTGTACGACATCCACGTCTGCCGCTGCGCCTCACGCAGGCTCGCGCGGTTCGCGTTATCGGTAGAGGGCACGCCCATCACCGCTAGATACGGGGCGCGCACCGGTCGCGCAAGGCGCGGCGCCCCGCTGTTGGCGAACTGCATCCACGCCCACTTCGGCGTCTCCGCCGCGATGTTTACCGCGTTGGTGACGCTGGCCATTGCCAACAGCATCGGTCCGATGCGGCCGAGCGGCGCCGCAGGAGACGCAAACACGGCGCCGTTGGCCAGCTCCAGCGCTGGCGACGTCGCGGGGAGCGCCTCCGCGTAGCTGCCGCGGTCGGTGCACTCCACGCAGGCGGGATCCACAACGTGCAGCGTCCACGACGGCAGCTGCAGCGTCCACCGCACCGGCTCACAGAAGAAAAACAGAAAACAGCGACCACGCGGGAACTGGGAGAAACGGTCCACCGCGTCTTTATGATGAACGAGCACCGACCAGAGTGGCGGAGACGGAGAACTCTTTACGGCGTGCTGCGGCGGAGGTGTCGGAGACGACGGCGCGGAATTCGGGGAAAAACACAGGATGCCGTGCACCGCGGGAATCAGCAGAAGCATCGACAGGAGACATAGAAGAAAAATGAGCAGCAGCACACATTGTAGCCGGCGGTGACGACAACGGCCACTTCGACCGGCTGCCGCTGCGACGCCTGATTCATTCCATGTCGACAACTTGGAGTGGGCGGCGTGTGTGCCGGATGCATTTACAGGGCGCCTCCTCACCAAACCGTTGATGTAGTGAAGGAAGGTGCTGCCGTTCGTCGGCGGCAGTTCTTCGTCGTGTCGAGGCGGCGGTGCGATCGCGCTGTCGGAGTCCGTGCGGTCACGCACCGCGCTGCCGGCGCTGATGAAGGCGTCAGGCGGGGGAGAAGTCCGGGCATCACCGCGGCGCTGCACCCATGATGGTGCGGAGACCACCGTTGCGAGTTTCTGCATTGGTTTTTCCCCCCTGGGATGTGTACGCCAGCCGTTTGGGGACCAGTGCGGTGGTGAAAGAAGAATAATTGTTTATGTTTGTAGGATGAGATGGAGAAGGGGGAGAGATAAAAGTTATTAGAAAGAAACGAGGTAGAAGAATGGCGTTTTGTTTTTCCCTCTCCCTTAACTTCTATGTTCGGTACAGGGATAAACCACGACCCTCACGATCACTCGGGGTCATTTACAACAACATTAGTTTTTGAAAGACAGCAACATATCATATTGATTTTTTTTTAGTATCTTTTTCACGTGGAACGGGAACCAAGACGAACGCAGTGGCAGACTTCAAAACAAGATTAGTCCGCCCTCAAAGCTCCTCTGCGCAAGTCATCCCCCTTCACCATGTCATCAGTGGTAAAAAGACGGCCGCGGGAAAGACCGTCGGCCGGGTTGGCTGCTGATTTTACATATGCACATGATGCCGCCAAACCAAGGTGTCAAAGCAGATGTAACACACGCTGGAGCTCGGGCTGTAAAGCTCGAGATTTCGTTGGCTTTCCGACTTTTTAGATGAAATTAGAACAAAATGTTTTGATTGATTCTATATTCTTAATGAATAATTTTCTCTATGTGTTTTATGTTCAGCGGGCAGAGTGTCTTTAAAAAGCAGCAAGCAAGCACCCGTTAGGAAAGCGGAGTGAAGTGTTGTTTTTTCTGTAAACCAACTTCTGGGCTTCGATAAACAGTCGCATCTGCTGTCAGAACAAAAACACTTTCAAATAAAATAAAAGAGAAGTAACAATAATTGGTTCCAGGTAATTGCACGTAAAGTCTGGCAGGGTTTGTGTGCCTGCCACTCAGACTTGTCATGCCTTCATAAGAAACAAGATGCGTAGAAGCGAAAACACGGTCATCGCAGACCAACGAGGTGTTTCTTTACGGTGACGAAGAAACTTTTCTCCCATAGATACCGTGCGGTGTTCGTGATCAAAACGGACACCCAGAAAATTATGCACAGGACTTCCCACACAACTTTCTCCCACAGTCGCGCCTACGGACGCAGCGTTTTGCAAAGTGCGGTGAAACCAAGCACGCACTCTTTCCGAGTCACCGACGGCGCGTACGTTATCAATCCATACGGTGAGCTGCAAAGCTGCATCGCACGCGAACTGTGGTTGAACCACCTCGGGATCACCCGCCAAAACTCGGGTGACCGTGTGCAAAATTTCTGGGCTGACACGATAGCCCATAGGCAATCTCGTCATCTGCACAAGCCGCCCATCAGCGGTCCTACACCGAAACAAACACCTCCACTCCTGAGGGAGCGGCAACTGAAAAAAGGAGGCCTTGAGGTCAATCGTCGCGGCGTCCTTCTCATGGACGGCCGCCAAGTGGTTTGAGATGTGCGTCAAAGGCACCTCGGGCTCGTAATAGTCAGAGGTGTTCTTCGCTTCCGTCCACGCAATGAAGCGACGTCGCCATCCCGATTCTTTCTCCTCGACGACTGTAAATGGTTTGAACCATCCCGCTGTCGGCGTGTCGTCGGCCAGTTCCAAAATGTTAGCGTCAAAAAGAGCCTGTGCATCCCCACCAAAAAGTTTTTGCTTAGGCTCCATCAGCGGCAAAGGTGGGGGAGTTCCAACGGTGAACCAGATCTCGTCGAAGCGTCTTTTGGTGGTTGCGTTCATGCGCCGCACTACGGCCGCGAGGTTCACGGGGGCGACATCGACCTGTTGTAAAGGCAGCTCAAAAGTCTGCTGCCTTGTCGCCACCTTAACGTCCTTGACACGCCGCTGCAAAGCGTGGCGGAAACCGCTCTTGAAAGGCTTCTCCTCTGGTGCAACCCAAGGAGCCGTCATGCCGTCTTTTCCGTGCTGATGGGCCTTGACAGCAAACTCGTCGCGGCGGCAGTGCCCGTCAGAAAGGCTGTGCTTGCCTTCGGGTAATGCGCGGTTGTGGCTGCAATCTTCTCCGACTTTCCCTTGTGTTTTGCGAGCACGGCGACATCCTCTGCCGCGGCGGGCAACGGTTTCGTACGGAGGTAAATTTGCATCGCGACATGTGTGAGTGCTCCGCGCTTTATCGAGTGCGCCGTATACCCGTACTGCTTCAGCAGGCGAGCCACCTTGTCGGTGTCCATCAATGCAATGGGTTCGTCGTCGCTGCACCTGAGGTTGAGCAGCGTGTCGCGAAGAACAAAACGCAAACAACAAAAAAAGAGCTCTTATAGGATTGCTATACAATCCTTTTGCCCAGCTCGTCTGTCTTTGGAAAAGCACGCGTCGCCGCGTAACCCACGAGTTACGGGAAGGAGGAAAAAGCAGCAGCACACTTCGAGCTCTGGCCACTAACCGTACAACGAGCCACAGCACAAGAAGAGCAGTTCTTTCTGTTTCTTTTTTCCTTTGAAGAAAAAAACAAACGAGGTTGAGGCACTATCTCACAGAAAGCCGTTCACAACGGCGTGCGTCGCCGCGATGGCCTCTCCTCGCTCTTCAGGGAGTACTTCTGTGACCGCTAACCGTTGCCGCTGGCTGGGGGACGCTGGCTGTAGACGCAGGGAGTTGAGGAGCAAAGGAAAACAAAAAAATCCGTTCGAAAGCAACAAAACCCCCAAAAACACCCGGGGAGCGCACTAAAGAAAAGATGTGTTGACGTCGCGATGGAAGCGGTGCTTCAGTCGCAGCCACGTCAGACACGCAAAACGAGAAGTATATATATATATATATTAGAATATGAGAAAAAGCACATACAGGATATTAAAGAAATAAAAGCAATGCCGTTTCGTTGAGCTTGCGGAGAGGCGTATTACGCTCTTCTTTCGGCTTCTGGTTTTCGGCAGAAGAGAACAAGAAAGAAGTGGCCACACAGGAGATGAACGTGGATGAGAGGAGTGGGGGGAATAGAATGGGTAGAGGAGTTACTGTTACTCGTGTTGCGCAGGGTCCTCATCGAAATTTATCGTGCATGCTTCCGTTGTTGATGGCGGGGGTGGTGAATGGCTGAGAGCACTACGGTTTTTTTTTGAAAAGGAAAAGGGGAGGAATGCCTCCGCACTTAACGGTGCTGCACAGGCGCACAACTTCAGCATTTTCCTCTTTGCCAGCTATTACCTTCAACGGCGCTGCTGCGCCGCCAATCGCAGCCCAGGCTTTTCGCGTTTTCTTGTCTTTTAGAACAGCAATGGGAACGTCAACGCACCGCTTTTCGTTGGGAAAACCGAAGTGAGCAGCAGAGCAACATGCCTATTCACACACAGCCACACACACGCACATGTTCTGCATACCGCAACGTATCCTTCATCCTCGTTCAATGGAAGCGGCATCGTAGGAGAATAGATAGAGTAAATCGCTGACGGGGGCGAGTAGGTCTACGTCTGTGTCGACACGGAGTAATACCATATATATATAGAGAGAGAGAGAAAGACAAACACTAGACACAAAGAAGAGCTAGCACATGCAAAACACAATGTGCGTCACAAGCACACTCTGCTCCTCTTTCCTTGTGTACACGAAAAGGGCCCTGAAGAGGACGGGAAAGAATAATGAGGCAAAGGGGTGAAAGAAAGAAGACTAGCTAACCGGTTCGGTGTAGTAGCCGTAACTCACACGCGTCAGTAGGTCCTGCGCGCGGCGCATCTTCGTATCATACACCGCCACTCGATCCGCGTTATCCACCGCGTACGACGGTGACACACGCGTGTGGTGTGTCCACCTCACCGATGGTAGGGCATCCCAGTCGCCGCCGCCGCCCTCGTCTCCCCCCATCGCATTCAACGGAAGCTTCTTGCGCTGCTCCATCATCCTGTCTCGCACGTGCCGACGCGCGCTGGCTTCCGCCGTCGCCCCGCGCGATGCCACATCCACCTGCGAATAGCGATACTCATTGCTGAAGAAGTAGTGTAGGTAATAGTAGTCCGCAGGGGTGCATCGGTGGGCCACGACCGTTGACCACGTGACATCGGGCACCGTACCGCGATGCAGGTCGCGAAATCGGGCAATCCCCTCCTTCACAAAGAAGACTCTGCCGTGCGCACAGAACCGCTCTGCCTGCGGCATCGACGCGTTCAGCAGTAGGCCCAGCAATACATCCTCGCGGTGGAACATGGTCTTGCGATATGCGCGGGTGTTTGTGCTGCGGTAGGTGTGTGTCGCGAGCCGCACGACGTCCACGCCGCGTCGACGCAGTGACGGGGCGAGCACCGCATGCGCCATGCCGCGATGTAGGAGGAAGTTCATGCCTGCTGCATAGCAGGTTGACTTGTGAAGGCGGAGGCTGCCCCAGTAGAAGCAGGGTGCGTCCGACGGTGGGGGTGGTGGAGCTACGCCGTCCTGCTGATGTTCTGCACGATGTTCTCTTCTGTGTGTGAGTTGATGCTTGGCGACTAGCGATGGTGTGGCGGCTTCGTGAAATGGAATGTGCAGGTAGGAGCTGACGTCGGTGTGATTGGGAAGAGACATTGCATCTGACATGATACGGCGGACGTCGCTCATGAGCTGCGGCACCTTCAGGTACGTGTCGTCGTCGCCCTTCATGATGTACGGCACATCGGGGAACGCGTGGTAGGCGTACTCCAGCCACAGGATCAGCTTCTGACTCATCCCAACCTCCGCAGCTAATCCCCCCTGTCCTGGCTCGCCAAGAAATCTCTTATCCGTAGTGGGGCGGCGGTCCGTCATCATGTCCACCCAGATCACATTGCGGTGCTCCAGTGCCTCGCGCCAGAGACTAGCGGAGGCGTGGCAGATGAACTGCGCCCCGGCGACGAATGCCGGCGTGACGGACAGGCCTAACGTGGTCGCCAGCGTCGTCAACGCTGAAGGGGATTTGCCTTCGTCAACAGTGCGGGTGGCGAGGGTGCCGCACGGACTGCAGGTCAGAGAGTTGTGGACGTTGTGGTCTGCCGCCGCCGCCGCTGTCCACCCTTGCCGCAACTTCACGCTGCGGTGGGTGTAGGGAACGCTGTCGACATTGCCCGCGAGGGCGGTGCGCGCCTGCGTCGCTGCCTCGAACTCCTTCACCGTCGGTGCGACGGAGGACGCGTTGACGTACGGGTACGCGTTGAGAGTGGTGGTGGCCATCGTTGTGAGAGAAGGCTGTTTCGTGCTGGCGTGAGCAGCAGCAGCAGCAGGCGTGGTGGGAGAAGGGAAATCGGTGTCCGCGCTGTGCCCTTCCGGCTCCGCTGCGGCAACGACATACAGCGGCAGCAGTGCACCCTCGAAGGCGTTCTCGTTGCGGGCGACCTCGTGATAGCTCATCCACGTCGCACGCTGGGCATCACGCAGGGCCAACCGGGCAGGCTGGTCCGTCGACGGCACGCCCATCACCGCAAGATACGGCCGCCGCCGTGGTGGTTGGCTGCGTAGTGCCGCAGGGAAGTTCGGGTAGACGTGCCGCAACCACCCCCACTGCGGCAGCTCCGTCGCCACGTCTACGTCGTCCGTCACGCTCGACATCGCCAAGAGCATCGGCCCAATGCGGCCGAGCGGCGCGGCGGACGTGGCGAAGACGGCGTGTTCGGCGACGAGAGTCACGCCCTTCACGGCGGCCGCGAAGCCGTGTGTGTCAGTGCACTCTGCGCAGCGTGGCTCAACCACACGCAACGTCCATGACGGCAACAGCTGCGGGCTGAGACGGATGGCGCTGCTGCACAGCGTCGATAGTACGGCACACGTCTGCGACGGCGTCACGTTCAGCCGCTCCATCGCGCCGTCGTGCTGGACCAACACGGCGAGAGCTCCGGTGTGGACGTCGAACTCCTCCACGCCCCACACGTCCGCCGACGACGCCGTCGTCAGGGGCAACGTGTTGTACGCGACAACGATATCAAAGACGTAGTCGAAAAACACAAAAATCAGCAGCAGCAGCAACGCCGCAGCTGCTATGGCGATGCAGCGCCGGTGCACTCGTAGGGCACGTCGTAATTTGAAAGGGGGAGCCACCAGAAGACAGTTTACGAGGTAGTGGCAGGTAGACGTGTGATCGTCGTAGAGGCTGAGTCGGTGCTTTGCCGTTCGCACAGTCGCACCCGCGGGAGGAGGCGGCGGCTGCGGTGGCAGCTCCCTGGTCGTCACTATGAGTGTTGATCCGGAATGCAAGTACCTTTCACCGCCGTATCGACGCACCTCCCCCGGCAGGTTCCGCCGCGTAACGTCGCTTGTGTTGTACATGAGATCGAAGGAAGAACAATGAGAGAAAGAAAAAGATGTATATGCAGAGAATCACACGCACACGCACACCAGTGCAGGACACTTGTATGTGTTTGTCTGTGCCTGTGCCTGTGCCTGTGCCTGTGTGTGTGTGTGTGTGTGTGTGTGATCCTGTGACAGCGAAAATCAGAATCTACCGCGGAAAAGAAGAAAGGTGGACAATGAAAAACAAAGGGTCAGAAAAACGAACAAGAAGAAAGGGATTGCTGTGAATCCCCCTCCCCCTCCGCCGTCTCCGGCCGGTGGAAAGGAACGGGAGGAGAGATTACGTATCAATGAGTAAAGGGAGAGCTGGAAAGAAAAGGAAAAAAATTGCAGGAAAGAAAAAGGCCGGTGTGAGAGCAACGCCGCAGCCACAACACGGAGGTGCGCGTCGCCCTCCACCTGCGTGAGACACGGTGCACGTCAGGGCCGTGGTTAGGTCACTTCGGCCTACAAGCGCGGGAGCGCCTCTTCTTTTTGGAGGGGAGTGGGAAAGCGGTCTTTTCTCTTCTTAAACAAGAGAAGAAGAAAATATTATTTGTGAGGGAAGAGCAGCGCGGTTTGTTGTTGCCGGCAACTGCGATTGAGTAGAAATGGAAGAGCCGCGTACGAGCAACGGGGACGTCAAGCGCAGGACTCAACGAAAGGGGCGGGGAGGAGAGGGGAGGAGGGGAGAAACCCCAGACGGAGAGAGAGAATACCACACCGAGGTGCAGAGGCGGGAGAGGGAGGGAGAGAGAGAGAGAGGAGTGTAAACACAAGAGGAACGTGACGGCCGAAGACGACGATATGAAATACACCACCCTACACGACAACGAAAAATATATATGTAGTAGGGAGCTGAAGCTGCCGTCGCGGTCACGCGAATACGCGAACTAGTGAAACCCGCCCCAAAGCCCCCCACGTGTACGCACAGTATGGTCGTTGCAACATGGGTCAGCTTTCGTTCTTCGGATACATGTACGCATTAGGATATCACATTCGCGAGAAAGAAAAAAAGAAAAAGAAAAACTAATAACTAAAGAGACTCCCCTCCCCCCCCCCAACAAAAAAAAACGCACTTCATCGGAAAGGCACCACAGCGAGCGAAACCATTTAGGTAGTTAGACGTATTGGATGGAGATGCATCCACCTCTTCTTGAGAGAGGAGAGAAAAACAAAGTAAAAAATGTTATTATTTATGATAACAAAATAATAGAAGTGTGCGAATACAGGAACAGAATGCGCCAGCGGGACAGACATCACAGCAGGGACCGTACATCGTCTTATACGCGTTAGTGTCCAGCTGACGCAGGAAGAATAAGAAACTAATAATACAAAACAATAGTAATACTAACACGTCCACTTTCAAGCATGGACGATCAACGCACGCAAAGAGGGACTACGCTAATGAAGAGACCCTCCCCTCCCTTCCCCCTCCCCTCTCCTCCTCTTTCCCTTTCGTCCCTCACACGTACGTTGCTATTGCTGTTCCTACTTCTGCTGCTGCACGTCAAACGGGGATATCAGTATAAGGGAAAACGTGCGCCACAAGACCGTGAAAGACACGCGTCGCGTTGTGCTCCCACAGCTCGTACTCACTCGCGTACACCGCCACGCCATCGTACGGGGAAACGACGAAGGGGGGCAGTCTCGTCAGGTTGACGTGCCGCGTCCACGCCGTCAGCGGCAGCGTTTCCCACCCTTCCACGCAGCTCGTCGTATTTGCCGAGCCGGCCTCCGCGGCCACCATCTGCGCCTTCTGCGCGTCGATCCATTCGGCTGCGCCTGCCCGCGCGACGGCGTCGCACTCCGGCAAGTTCGCCGCCGCGCACGACGCCGCTGAGTACTCGTGCTGAAAAAAGTAGTGGAGGAAATGGAAGTCCGCCGGGGTGCAGCGGTGGGCCACCACCGTTGCCCACGTCACGTCGTGCACCTTCCCGCGGTGCATATCGTGGAACTTGGAAAAGCTCTCCTTCACAAACCACACTTTATGGTTCGGGCAGAGGGCGCGGACGCGGCCAAAGGTGCGGCCAATCGCAACGCCCAGCATGATGTCCTCGTGATGGAACAGCTTCCCCTCGTAGGGCCCGGTCCAGTTCGGGTGGTAGTCTTCCATCGCGAGCTGTAGCCAGTTCACCTCCGTCGTGGCGTAGTACTGCTCCAGCAACGCCCGGGCGACGGTGCGGTGCACTTTAAAGTTCATGCCTGCTGCGAACTCGTAGGCGTAAAAGTTGCGGACGCTGCCCCAGTAGACGCATTCCGTCTGGTTTGGCGTCATTGCCGCGTCCTCGACCACCTCCACCACTGGGTCCACCACGGCGGGAGAGAAGAGGGACGACGACGCATTAGTACCGGTGGGCTGCGCGTAGAGGCGCACTCGGCCGCCACTGCTGAAAAAGCGAAGGTCGCTCAGGTACTGCGGCACCTTGATATAGGCATCATCGTCGCCCTTAATGATGTACGGCACGCTTGGGAACGCGTGGTAGGCGTAGGTGAGCCACAGCACCAACTTCTGGCTCATCCCGATCTCCACCGGGAAGCCCCACCGAGCGGAGGAGCCGAGGGTCTTGTTCGTGGTCGGGCGGCGGTCCGTCATCATGTCTAACCAGATCACATTGCGGTACTCCAAGGTCTCGCGCCAGAGCGCGGCGGAGGCGCAGCAGACTAACTGCGCCGGTGCCACGAAAGCCGGCGTGACGGGCAGCGAGAGCGCCGCACTCAAGTACGAAAGCCCTGAAAAAGAAGAGTTATACGTATTGCCTGGCTGCTCTTCTGTGGTGCCGCCTTCTTCTCTCACCACCACCACCCCGCTGCACGGCGATGCCGTCACCGCCTCACGCATCCATCGCTCACGCAGCCGCACGCGACGCGCCGCGACGCCCGGACCGCGGTACGCGAGGTCGCCTCCTTCCTGGTCCTGCGCAAGCAGCAGCTTTGACGCGAGCACAAACTCCGCCTGCAGCGGCAGCAGCGTGGAAACGTTGTTGCACAGCGAGCACAGTGCGGACGTGGTGACCATGTCTTGCCGTGCCGCCGTCGCCTCCGTCTCCGGCTCCGCTGCGGCGAACAAATACAGCGGCAGCAGTGCACCCTCGAAGGCGTTCTCGTTGCGGGCGACCTCGTGATAGCTCATCCACGTCGCACGCTGGGCATCACGCAGGGCCAACCGGGCAGGCTGGTCCGTCGACGGCACGCCCATCACCGCAAGATACGGCCGCCGCCGTGGTGGTTGGCTGCGTAGTGCCGCAGGGAAGTTCGGGTAGACGTGCCGCAACCACCCCCACTGCGGCAGCTCCGTCGCCACGTCTACGTCGTCCGTCACGCTTGACATCGCCAAGAGCATCGGCCCCAACATGCCCCGTGGGGAGCGAGACAGCGCAAACACGCCACGCCGCCCCCGCAGTTGCACGTCCCGCACCGCCAGATCGTAGGCGTAGTGGTCGACGCAGTCCGCACAGTCCGCGTCCACCGTCTGCAGGGTCCACGAGGGCACCATATCCCGACTAAGACGGGGACCACGACCACCAACATCGCCATCGGTAGCAGCACCAGCAGCAGCAGGAGCGCCGTCACGCGCTGCCGAACAGAAGGCGGAGTCAGTGGAGCAGTTCGGCGGCGGCCAGTGTGGATGATCAAAGGCGTGCTTCAGCCGTTGCGCCACCCCATCGTGCTGCACGAGAATCGAAATGGGCAGACGCATGGGGCCACGGGGGACGTCGTCCTTCACGGGTGAGCTGCGTCTCCGCGACGACGCCACACGGGTAAGTAGACCGACGACCATGCGGCGAGGGCCAACGGTAAGCATCAGCACACACAGGATCGCGAGCAGCGCGGCGACGAGCACGCGTGCACGACGCTTTCGGCGATTCCACCGCCATAAACGTGCCTTGTCACACCAGCTAGCGAGGGACAACAGAACTCGTTCACACGACGTCGCGCAGGCGGCTCTAGAGTTCGTGTTATCGTCATCCAATGAGTGCGAGCGCGGAGAGGCGCGCTCACGCCAACGGAGGAGCGGGTCCCATCGACGCAGCGGCACCATCAAGGTCGCACAGAGCGATCGAAACGACGAGCCGGTTTGCAGCTCATCCCTGCTATCAACGTGAGGCGACGCAGCAAACACGACATGGCAGTGTTCTTTTGGAAAGAGGCTGGCAGCTGTATAGCTATCTCGCACGTCTGCGACCGAACCTCTCTGTAAAGCAGGTGCAGAGGAGGAGGCGGCGGTGCGCCGCTTCAAGAGACTGAAAAACTGCGGAGACCACATGCTGCCTTCTCTAATATTCTTTCTTTCAGGTTATGTGACACGTTCGTGTTTTCCTTTTTGTTATGATGTCCTTTACGTCTTCCTTTTCCAACTATCCTGTATGAGAGAGAGAGAGAGAGAGAGATTCTTCGACAGGTGTATGTCTGTTTAAGAATGACAGTTTTCTGAGCTCCCACTCGCCAACGCACGTCGCATTCTTTCTCTCGGCGGTATCCCCCTTCCACGAAATGCTGCGGCGGATGGACTTTTATTTTTTTTCAGTATTACTATTGGAGTAGTGTATTTGCTGTTGCCGGTGTTTAGAAGAGGAGGAGGAGGATGAAGAAGGAGAGGAGTGAATTAGAGGCTCCTCGTCGATACATATACGTATTTTCTTTTCTTTTAATAGGAGCACACGAATAGCGAAAAGAAAAGGACGAGTCGAGTCACGTCCCAAACTGATGCGTTCAGCAAAGGGAGGGATGGGGGGGGGGAAGGGGTTTGCTTTGTTTTGTTTGCTTTTGAAAGGAAGGGCGAGCGGCGGAGTGCGGGAGTTTCGCCACGCAGTCGTATCCAGCACATCGAAGGTGAAAAATGGAGGAAAATAGAAGTCAGCAGTACTGCGGTCATTTACAACCTACACCGGTATGCACGCACACACGTGTGTACGCAGGAGTGCTTTGAGCGAATTCTTTTTTTGTTTTGTCAGAGAAAAAAACTCCGTTCCGCATAACCTGAGCAGCGAGAGAAAGGAAAAACGAAATGGACGAGGAAGCGAAACCACCGCACCTGCGCAAGCGCTCAAACCAGAAAAGCACACTCGCTTACAAAGGAGTGGTGGGGAGGGAGTGGAGGGCGGGAGGAGGAGGAATGCCTCCCATCTATAGAAAGTGCCGTAGCTGCTGTTGCTGCTGCTGCTGCCGCTGCGAACAGCCACGTAGAGCAGTGGTTATCACCATTCTTCTTTGCACAGCTGTTCGAACAGCGACGAACAGCAACATCATAAAGGCGCGGCACCACTCATCATGAACGCCGCCGCCATTAACGAATCCATGTGTATATATTAGGTCAACATAGAAAAGAGGGAGGCAAAGAATCCTTTCCCCATTCGTAGCCGCGACGTGCCGCCCGTCACGACCGAGGTGCGCGCCTCGTCCCACGCCTCGTACGGGATGTCGTACAGCGCCACACCGTCTTCGTCAGATACAATGAAGCTCGGATCCGTAGACGGGTTGTAGCACCAGGACACGTTTGGGAGGCTGTCCCACCCACGGACGCGCCCTCGCAGGTGCGCCTTCGCCCACCGCGCCGCCTCCACCTCCTGCGCGTTCTCCGGGGTGGTGTCGGTAGGGCTGCGGAGAGCTGCCAGGTACTCCGTCGCGAAGTAGTAGTGTAGGAAGTAATAGTCCGCCGGTGTGCATCGATGCACCGCCATCGTCGCCCACGTCACGGTCTCCGTCTTGCCACGGTGGACATCGTGGAAGCGAGGGGAGACCTCGCGCACGGTCCACCACCGCCGTCGCGGACATACCTGACGCGCCCGCTCGCCCCGCTCTTTCATTAACTTGCCAAAGGCGGCGTCCTCGTTCTGCATCACGTTGTAGGCGTACCACGGCAGCCGAGCTGGGTCGTAGTCCTCCGCCGCCAGACGCAGCACATCTCGATTCGGATCACGGTCTGGTAGGGTTTCCAGGGCGGTCTGGACAAGCCGTCGCTGCAACGCGTACAAGGGGCCTGGATTGAAGGCGATGCGGTCGAGGAAGACGCGCGTGGCGCCCCAGTACAGGCACTCCTCCTCCTCCAGACTGGGCTCGGCGATGCCGTACGTAACGGCGCCCCCCAGCGGGGTCCGTGTGAGGTTTGCTAGCGTGTTCACGATGAAGGAGCGACTGGGGGAGGTGTGAAACGGCGGTGACGCCCGCGCCTCCAGCGCCGGCTCGCGGTGCCCCGTACGGAGCATGTGCCAGTCGCTCATGAACTGCGGCACCTTCAGGTACGTGTCGTCGTCGCCCTTCATGATGTACGGCACATCGGGGAACGCGTGGTAGGCGTAGTAGAACCACAGCACCGACTTCTGGGTCATGCCGATCTCTGTTGGTAAGCCCCAATCGCCTGTACCGCCGAGGGTTTTATTCGTAGTGGGGCGGCGGTCCGTCATCATGTCGATCCAGAGCACATTGCGGTGCTCCAGCGCCTCCTGCCAGAGACTAGCGGAGGCGTAGCAGACAAACTCCGCAGGTGCTACAAATGCCGGGGTGACAGGCAGCCGCAGTTGCTGTCCCAGCGACGCTAGGGGGGAAAAATGATGAGGCGCTGGCGGTGTCCCCTTCACGGAAGGGTGGGTAGCGGCTGTGGGGATGGCCGGCGAAGTCAGGCCGGAGACAAGGATTTGTCTCACACCGCCACAGACGCCGTCGTGCAGTCTTGCGTCATCCTTTGAGTTCCCTTCAATGTTCAGCACGGCCGTTGTGTCGACGGAGGTGGGGGGTACTTTCGGTTCCACCTGACGCCTCGCCCCACATGCGGCAGCAACGTCCTGATTTGAAGAGCGAACCAAGATCGTCCGTCGAGCACCCGATGTCAGCTCGAAGACTCTTCGTGGGTAGGATAGCGGCTTCCGCTGTGGTTGCTGCGGTTGTTGTGGCGGTGATTGCGAGGCTGGAGGAGGAGCAAGAGTCGCATCGCCACCAATGCGGTAGAACCGCGACGCACAGCGCAGCTCTGTCTCTGTTGGAAGCAGCGCCGCCGTCATCGGCGTCGGCTTCGCCGCGCCTTCCGCATCCACCGCATCCGCGTCTGTATGTCTGTTACTACCGCGATTTCGATGCGGATTGTTCGTGTCGTTGCTGCCGGGCTGGCGATGTTCTGCGATGGGGTGGACCAGCTCCCTTGCACCTGCGGGTGGCCCTTGTGCATCTCCCGCCGCCGGTAGCGGTGGTGCCGGTGACGGTGGTGGCCGAGGAAAGAAAGCGGCCGAAGACGACGGGCGAGACGCGTCATCGGAAGCGGCGAAGATATACAGCGGCAGGACAGCACCGTCGAAGTGGTTCGACGCGCGGGCAACGCCGGTGTAGGTGAGCCACGTCGCCCGCTGTGCCTCCCGCAGGGCGAGCCGGGCCGGCTGATCGGTGGATGGAATTCCTAGCACAGCCAGCCGCCGGTGCGAACGGTGGTGGCCATCGCGGTGGTGCGTAGGCGATCGAAACCGAGCGGCAGCACCAACAGCAGCGGCGGGGAACGATGACTCCACCCACGCCCACCGCGGCAGCTCCTGCTCCACGCCTACGTCGTCCGTCACGCTCGACATCGCCAGGAGCATCGGCCCAATGCGGCCGAGCGGCGCGGCGGTCGTGGCGAAGACGGCGTAGTCACCCAACAAGCGCCGGCGGTCTGCAACAAATCCTGTGTCCCTCTCATCGGCGGCCTCAGCGGTAGTTTTTGCGTTTTGCAGCTCGGCGTCCCCGAGAACGGCGGTAGGGCGGTACGGGTCGCCGGCGACGGCGGGTGTCTGCACAGCAGCAGCAGACGGCAGCGTCTGCACGCGATCTAATGCGGCACGAAGAGCCGGTGTGTACGTGTGTGTGTCAAGGCAGCTCGTGCACGCCGTGTCGACTACGTGCAGTGTCCACGAGGGCAGCGTCAACACGCCCACTCGGGCAGAGTCCCCCACATCGACATCATCACCATCCTTATGATCCTTGTCACTCACTTCACAATGGTCTGCCTCCTGTGTCCCACTTGCTGCCGTCGCGGAGGCAGAAGACGGCGGTGCGTGTAACCCGTGCCCTACGACGACACTCAGTGGATCGCGGGGGGAGAGTAGTGGATACGGTGGCGGCACATCATACGGCACGAGGCCGGGCCCCCAGTGCCACCACACCAGTGCTGCTGTGCACAGCAGTACAACCACAACTAGAAAAAGTCCAAGAGCGCCGGTGCGGCAGCGACGGTGGATGCAGCGAGTGTGATGGAAGCACCTCGGGGAATTCCAGAACCGCGCGCTCCTGCCGTGCAACCAACTCGCAAGGAAGCGACGAAGATGGCGTCGCTGGCGTGGGCGGCACCGTAAGGCATGGAGGAGCACCTGACTGTCGTGCACCTGTGCTGATGGCGATGATGATGATACAAGCGAAGCGACACCACCAGCAGGAGCTGCAGACGAATAAACAGCAGAGGTAGGTGCCGCTGCTTTGGCCGAAATGAACCCCCCTCGAAATGAACAGGAGTCATGGAATGCTCCCCTCTCCCGCGGCAAAGTCCACGGAGAGGAAGAGAGGTGGTCAGTCCTGCTCTGTTCTGCGATGCCGCTCGGGTCGACAGCGGCGTCGCTGACATCGTGAAGCGATGCCCCGTGCGCTGCCGTGCGCCGCGTGACAGAAGGAGAAAGCATTGAAAGCTACGTTATTAGCCTGGCGTTGGATACAACAATGCAACGTGTTCGTGCGTCGCAGACACGGTGAATTGTAAGCTGCGAAACGCCGGAGGAAGAAGAGAAAAAAAAAAGAGAAGTCGGAGAGTGAGGGGGAGGGAGGAGGGGGGTAACGCGTGGTATCACAGAAGGGCTACACCCCGAACCGTTTCGCTCACCCACACACACGCACTCACCGCCAGGTTCCACGAACACCCAGGGAAAAGAAAAAAAAAGACAGATGCAGAACGGCAACGACGAGAAACGAGCTGCGACAGCAAATATCAATAGAGAGATAGATATATATATCTCTATATCAGAGAAAAAAAAAGCGATTTGGGCGAGGTGAAGGATCAACAACAACCGAAGACAGAGTCGTCAATCCCGAACACGGGGGCGATTGAACTTCGGCACCGCACTAGCGGACGAGCAAGACACGAGAGTAACGGAAACGATGAAAGACAGGGAGACGAAATAGTTGGAGGATGAGGTCGCATACAGATGGAAGAGACACAAAAACGAGCAAAACCAATTGCCGAAGACACACGGGGGAGGGGGGGGATTGATAACCGGACGTATATCTGTGAAAGCACAATCACAGAGTAACGCAAAAGGAGGTGGTAGCACGTGGGAAACCCCGAGGGCTAAGCCAACAAATTATGTCAGTAAGCTCTGCGCCATAGCCCGCCCCCCCCCCTCCTCCCCCCACTATACACACACCTCGTACTTCTTCGCACGTCCGCCTCCACGCAGCGCAACACGCCGCACAAACACCGTCGTCACAGATCGTGGGCATCCGGGTGATGCACCGCGTGCTCTCTTCGCACTAGCGGGCACCGCAGCGCTTCGACGCATCGCGGCGGCGAAACACGCCCCCACACAGCGTAGCTTCACCGCAGAGCGCAACCAACCGCAAGCACCACATCTTAGCTCCTTCTTTGAAAGTATACGTTATCGCCACGGCCGTCAACATCGTCAGGTCCACACAGCCGAGGATCGCGGCGCACGCGTCCATCCCGCACCGCCTTAAATATGTATAAATGTATAACACACCGCGCCGCACAGCGCACGCACGAGCTCACACAAGAAGAAAAAGGACGCAATCAGCGCCCCTCGGGTTTCCCGCGCCTCATGCGCCGTCCTCCGCCCTCCCGCGTGACAGAGGGAGAAAAAGCACGGGAGAACCGCGTGGAAACGACGGATGCCCGGAGAGTCACGGACGACAATCAGCGCCGCCCTGCCGCCGAGTCGTCGCATCAGCGGGGGGAGGGGGGGAGGAAACGACTTGCATGCGGCCCACACGACCACAACCCCATCAACCCACGTTCCATCAAGAAAGCAAAGAAACAAAGCGCAACGGAAGCTCCATCGGTTTGCCTCACAAGCACAGCCACAGTCCCACCACTCGGTCGAAGCCGGGGAGCAGACATACGGATACACAGACACGTGCACTCCACGACATCTCGGATGCCGCCAGCAGTCAAAACACACTTCAGCTAAATACACCCAAACCCCATAAAATGAGAAGAAAAAACGTCGGTGCCCTTACTCCGGCAACACACAGCATCGCCGAGCACAGTAAAGAGCGAGCAAAGCTGCATCACACCACGCACAGTGCGCAGTGTAAAAGCAGACTCAATGTTAAAGAACCAAACCCTTTGTCTGCCAAAAATATATAAGAGGATACGAAAACACCTGCAGATATGCATAGAATAAAAGAAACACTTCAGCAGCCGAAAGTCACCGTGCATTCACAGCTGGCATCGACATGTCGCCACGTACGCCTGTGAGGGGCGTGCATTGGCATCAGCAAGCTAATAAAAGCAACTAGGGAACGCGCACCGGAGGTAAGTTAGTACTTGGGTGTGACCGATACGTACGCTGCGTCGAGTGCATCAAACTTAAACAGCTGGTACACCATCTCATACACGCGAATGTTGTCCGTCGGTGAAACGAAGGACTCCGGCAACCCACTCGGATGCGCCCAAATAGTCCGTCATCCACTACTTCTTCGCTCACGAGTACGATGTAGCGGCGCGGATGAAGGCGGATGGCAAAGTGACGGATGCGGATATGACGGCCGCTGCTGCTGCGTGGGCGGCGTCGAAGGTGCGCAACGCGACGCAGGGCCTCGATCGAACACCTAGTACTGATCAGAGGGAGAGACGTGGTGCATCAGCACCGAGGCCCACGTCACACTGTAGTTTCTGGAATACAAGTCATAGTGGCGCACCTTTCGCTCCTCCACGTACGTGGCGCGGTGGAAGGGGCAGACCTCGCGAATGCGGTCCCGCCTGTCTCGCAACACGCGGCCCACAAAGGCGTCCTCGACGCTCATGACAAGCGCTCTATACACCTCTTTGTATTCGCTATCGAAAGGAATGACCGCCAGATGCACCGCCTCCGCATTCAGCCGGTCCGTCGCCTCCAGCACCACCTGAACCAGACGGCGGTGCAGCATGTACCCGCTGCCCTCGTGATAACGCAAGCGGTTCCAATGAGCATTACGCACCCAGCTGCCCCAGTAAATGCACTCCTCCGTCTCCGCGACGCCCACCGCATCGCGCACCTCCGGCGGACTCCGCACACGCTTGCCCTTGAAACCAGCACGCATGTAACGGACGTCGCTCATGAACTGCGGCACCTTCAGGTACGTGTCGTCGTCGCCCTTCATGATGTACGGCACATCGGGGAACGCGTGGTAGGCGTACTCCAGCCACAGGACGGTTTTCTGCGTCATCCCAACCTCCACCGGCAGGCCCCAGTTGCCACCCTCGCCCAGCTTCTTCTTCGAGCTCGGGCGCCGGTCCGTCATCATGTCCACCCACACCATGTTGCGGTGCGCCAACGCCTCCTGCCACAGCGCAGTCGACGCGCCGCACACGAACTCCGCGGCCGCCACAGCGGCGGGACGCACCGGCAGCGCCAGCGCAGACGCAAGCTGCGACAGCCACGTCGCGTCCGCGCCGGTGCCCGCAGCGGGCGTCGCAGGCCTCGACACGATCGCCGCACACGGCGACTCGGCCAGCAGCGCGTCACCGGCGCCCACAGCGCCAACATCAACCGCAAGCCGCACGCGACGCTCAGCGTAGCTCCGCACCGCACCAGCAGCACTACCAGGCCTCAGCAGCACCGCAGACGCGGCCTCGTACTCCGCCACCGTCGGCAGCAGCGGCGACACGTCCAGCACAGCGTGCGGCTGCTCGCGCTCCGCAGCAGCGAAGATGTACAGCGGCAGCAGCGCACCGCGGAAGTCGTTCCCGCTCCGCGCAACCTCCGCGTACGACAGCCACGTGTCGCGCTGTGCATCACGCAGCGACGACCGCACCGGCTGGTCCGTCGACGGGATCCCAAGCACCACGAGGTACGGCGACGTCCCGCCCCTCAGCCCCACAGGCGACGCGCCACGGAACTGCCGCCGCACCGCGTACGACCGCAGCACCCAGCTCCACCGCGCAAGCTCAGCGCCAACAGCTACGCCGTCCGTCACGCTCGCCATCGCAAACAGCATCGGGCCCGCAAGCCCAAGCGGCGCGCTCGGCGTCGCAAACACAGTCGCAGCGGGCAACGCGCCGTCCGCGGACGCAGTGGACGCACCAAGCTGCCGCGCCACAGCAGCCGCGTGCGTCGCGTTGTCCAGGCACTCGTCGCACAGCGCATCCACCACGCGCAGCGTCCACGACGGCAGCTGCGACCGCCGCATCACCGTCGCCGACGCACCACCGGCCGCGCGCTGCTGCAGCTGGCGGCTGTCGAGACACGTCAGCGGCGCCTCGTGCGTCACCGCCACGGACAGAGTCGCGTTCCACGCACCAGGCGCAGCGCGAGGAGGCTTCGGTGGGGACGCATTCGAGGGCGTCGGCGTCGCCATGCGACTATAGGCGCCGTCGGTGTAAGGGCCGCCATTGCTGGTGAAAGCCGCCAGGTTCACGGCGCACAGCGACAGCAGCACTAGCAGGATCACGATCCGAACAGTACTGGCACCGCATCCACTACGGCGGCAACATCGGCGGTGCTTCGATGCAACGCCGACCGACCGTCGGGCGCTTGGAGTCCACGAAGGAATGAAGGCGGACGCTGCCGAGTCGGCCTGCGTGTCGCATACAAGCTGGGGGTGGCTGACAGAGACGGCGGCCTCGCCCGCCGCGTCAGGCTGCTCGCTCAACAACGGCGCGGAGGCGTGCACAGGCATCGTGACGGATCGGCGCGGACGACGCTGCGGGAGCAGTGGGCAGGGGGGTGTATCCGCCGGTTCACGGGGCGTTGGGCGGGAAGACAACGAAAACAGCGTGTGGTCGGTGCGCCGAGGCGGGGGGGGGGGGGAGGGCAGCGGAAGAAACGTTTGAGATTCGTACGCCCTCCGCCGCACGTCACGGTGACGCCGCCCTGGCGCAGCAGCTGCACTCTCCAGCGGTGTAAGGCGACGCGGCGATGTGTCACCGTATCAGATGCCTCCGATGCGCTGGCGATGGGCACCGACTCCACGCGCAGACGCCGTGCACAGCGGCCAGGCAGCAAAGAAAAGAGACGAGGGTTCACGTGGTGTCGCGTGCTCCGACACGACACAAACGGCGGCACGAGGCGCACGGTGCAAAATGAGAACGAACAAGGAAAAAGACGCAGCGGCTGAGCCCCCAACGTGATGTGTGGTGGGAGACTCGGAGCACGGCGGCCGCAGGCCATCAACGAGAAGGGTGAGGAGAGAAGAAGTGGGAATGGGAGAGGAAGGCGGAAAGTGGGCGGAAGCGGTCCTGCACTGCAGCTCGAGGCGGGGGGGGGGGGGGCACGCACCGCAGAGCATCCCCACCATTAACAGGGGAAGAAGCGACGCGGCTCCTCGGCCTCTCATCAGCCGTCCTCAGTCGGCCGCAACGCCACTTAGCAGACCTCGTACTTCTTTGCACGTCCGCCTCCACGCAGCGCAACACGCCGCACAAACACCGTCGTCACAGATCGTGGGCATCCGGGTGATGCACCGCGTGCTCTCTTCGCACTAGCGGGCACCGCAGCGCTTCGACGCATCGCGGCGGCGAAACACGCCCCCACACAGCGTAGCTTCACCGCAGAGCGCAACCAACCGCAAGCACCACATCTTAGCTCCTTCTTTGAAAGTATACGTTATCGCCACGGCCGTCAACATCGTCAGGTCCACACAGCCGAGGATCGCGGCGCACGCGTCCATCCCGCACCGCCTTAAATATGTATAAATGTATAACACACCGCGCCGCACAGCGCACGCACGAGCTCACACAAGAAGAAAAAGGACGCAATCAGCGCCCCTCGGGTTTCCCGCGCCTCATGCGCCGTCCTCCGCCCTCCCGCGTGACAGAGGGAGAAAAAGCACGGGAGAACCGCGTGGAAACGACGGATGCCCGGAGAGTCACGGACGACAATCAGCGCCGCCCTGCCGCCGAGTCGTCGCATCAGCGGGGGGAGGGGGGGAGGAAACGACTTGCATGCGGCCCACACGACCACAACCCCATCAACCCACGTTCCATCAAGAAAGCAAAGAAACAAAGCGCAACGGAAGCTCCATCGGTTTGCCTCACAAGCACAGCCACAGTCCCACCACTCGGTCGAAGCCGGGGAGCAGACATACGGATACACAGACACGTGCACTCCACGACATCTCGGATGCCGCCAGCAGTCAAAACACACTTCAGCTAAATACACCCAAACCCCATAAAATGAGAAGAAAAAACGTCGGTGCCCTTACTCCGGCAACACACAGCATCGCCGAGCACAGTAAAGAGCGAGCAAAGCTGCATCACACCACGCACAGTGCGCAGTGTAAAAGCAGACTCAATGTTAAAGAACCAAACCCTTTGTCTGCCAAAAATATATAAGAGGATACGAAAACACCTGCAGATATGCATAGAATAAAAGAAACACTTCAGCAGCCGAAAGTCACCGTGCATTCACAGCTGGCATCGACATGTCGCCACGTACGCCTGTGAGGGGCGTGCATTGGCATCAGCAAGCTAATAAAAGCAACTAGGGAACGCGCACCGGAGGTAAGTTAGTACTTGGGTGTGACCGATACGTACGCTGCGTCGAGTGCATCAAACTTAAACAGCTGGTACACCATCTCATACACGCGAATGTTGTCCGTCGGTGAAACGAAGGACTCCGGCAACCCACTCGGATGCGCCCAAATAGTCCGTCATCCACTACTTCTTCGCTCACGAGTACGATGTAGCGGCGCGGATGAAGGCGGATGGCAAAGTGACGGATGCGGATATGACGGCCGCTGCTGCTGCGTGGGCGGCGTCGAAGGTGCGCAACGCGACGCAGGGCCTCGATCGAACACCTAGTACTGATCAGAGGGAGAGACGTGGTGCATCAGCACCGAGGCCCACGTCACACTGTAGTTTCTGGAATACAAGTCATAGTGGCGCACCTTTCGCTCCTCCACGTACGTGGCGCGGTGGAAGGGGCAGACCTCGCGAATGCGGTCCCGCCTGTCTCGCAACACGCGGCCCACAAAGGCGTCCTCGACGCTCATGACAAGCGCTCTATACACCTCTTTGTATTCGCTATCGAAAGGAATGACCGCCAGATGCACCGCCTCCGCATTCAGCCGGTCCGTCGCCTCCAGCACCACCTGAACCAGACGGCGGTGCAGCATGTACCCGCTGCCCTCGTGATAACGCAAGCGGTTCCAATGAGCATTACGCACCCAGCTGCCCCAGTAAATGCACTCCTCCGTCTCCGCGACGCCCACCGCATCGCGCACCTCCGGCGGACTCCGCACACGCTTGCCCTTGAAACCAGCACGCATGTAACGGACGTCGCTCATGAACTGCGGCACCTTCAGGTACGTGTCGTCGTCGCCCTTCATGATGTACGGCACATCGGGGAACGCGTGGTAGGCGTACTCCAGCCACAGGACGGTTTTCTGCGTCATCCCAACCTCCACCGGCAGGCCCCAGTTGCCACCCTCGCCCAGCTTCTTCTTCGAGCTCGGGCGCCGGTCCGTCATCATGTCCACCCACACCATGTTGCGGTGCGCCAACGCCTCCTGCCACAGCGCAGTCGACGCGCCGCACACGAACTCCGCGGCCGCCACAGCGGCGGGACGCACCGGCAGCGCCAGCGCAGACGCAAGCTGCGACAGCCACGTCGCGTCCGCGCCGGTGCCCGCAGCGGGCGTCGCAGGCCTCGACACGATCGCCGCACACGGCGACTCGGCCAGCAGCGCGTCACCGGCGCCCACAGCGCCAACATCAACCGCAAGCCGCACGCGACGCTCAGCGTAGCTCCGCACCGCACCAGCAGCACTACCAGGCCTCAGCAGCACCGCAGACGCGGCCTCGTACTCCGCCACCGTCGGCAGCAGCGGCGACACGTCCAGCACAGCGTGCGGCTGCTCGCGCTCCGCAGCAGCGAAGATGTACAGCGGCAGCAGCGCACCGCGGAAGTCGTTCCCGCTCCGCGCAACCTCCGCGTACGACAGCCACGTGTCGCGCTGTGCATCACGCAGCGACGACCGCACCGGCTGGTCCGTCGACGGGATCCCAAGCACCACGAGGTACGGCGACGTCCCGCCCCTCAGCCCCACAGGCGACGCGCCACGGAACTGCCGCCGCACCGCGTACGACCGCAGCACCCAGCTCCACCGCGCAAGCTCAGCGCCAACAGCTACGCCGTCCGTCACGCTCGCCATCGCAAACAGCATCGGGCCCGCAAGCCCAAGCGGCGCGCTCGGCGTCGCAAACACAGTCGCAGCGGGCAACGCGCCGTCCGCGGACGCAGTGGACGCACCAAGCTGCCGCGCCACAGCAGCCGCGTGCGTCGCGTTGTCCAGGCACTCGTCGCACAGCGCATCCACCACGCGCAGCGTCCACGACGGCAGCTGCGACCGCCGCATCACCGTCGCCGACGCACCACCGGCCGCGCGCTGCTGCAGCTGGCGGCTGTCGAGACACGTCAGCGGCGCCTCGTGCGTCACCGCCACGGACAGAGTCGCGTTCCACGCACCAGGCGCAGCGCGAGGAGGCTTCGGTGGGGACGCATTCGAGGGCGTCGGCGTCGCCATGCGACTATAGGCGCCGTCGGTGTAAGGGCCGCCATTGCTGGTGAAAGCCGCCAGGTTCACGGCGCACAGCGACAGCAGCACTAGCAGGATCACGATCCGAACAGTACTGGCACCGCATCCACTACGGCGGCAACATCGGCGGTGCTTCGATGCAACGCCGACCGACCGTCGGGCGCTTGGAGTCCACGAAGGAATGAAGGCGGACGCTGCCGAGTCGGCCTGCGTGTCGCATACAAGCTGGGGGTGGCTGACAGAGACGGCGGCCTCGCCCGCCGCGTCAGGCTGCTCGCTCAACAACGGCGCGGAGGCGTGCACAGGCATCGTGACGGATCGGCGCGGACGACGCTGCGGGAGCAGTGGGCAGGGGGGTGTATCCGCCGGTTCACGGGGCGTTGGGCGGGAAGACAACGAAAACAGCGTGTGGTCGGTGCGCCGAGGCGGGGGGGGGGGGGAGGGCAGCGGAAGAAACGTTTGAGATTCGTACGCCCTCCGCCGCACGTCACGGTGACGCCGCCCTGGCGCAGCAGCTGCACTCTCCAGCGGTGTAAGGCGACGCGGCGATGTGTCACCGTATCAGATGCCTCCGATGCGCTGGCGATGGGCACCGACTCCACGCGCAGACGCCGTGCACAGCGGCCAGGCAGCAAAGAAAAGAGACGAGGGTTCACGTGGTGTCGCGTGCTCCGACACGACACAAACGGCGGCACGAGGCGCACGGTGCAAAATGAGAACGAACAAGGAAAAAGACGCAGCGGCTGAGCCCCCAACGTGATGTGTGGTGGGAGACTCGGAGCACGGCGGCCGCAGGCCATCAACGAGAAGGGTGAGGAGAGAAGAAGTGGGAATGGGAGAGGAAGGCGGAAAGTGGGCGGAAGCGGTCCTGCACTGCAGCTCGAGGCGGGGGGGGGGGGGGCACGCACCGCAGAGCATCCCCACCATTAACAGGGGAAGAAGCGACGCGGCTCCTCGGCCTCTCATCAGCCGTCCTCAGTCGGCCGCAACGCCACTTAGCAGACCTCGTACTTCTTTGCACGTCCGCCTCCACGCAGCGCAACACGCCGCACAAACACCGTCGTCACAGATCGTGGGCATCCGGGTGATGCACCGCGTGCTCTCTTCGCACTAGCGGGCACCGCAGCGCTTCGACGCATCGCGGCGGCGAAACACGCCCCCACACAGCGTAGCTTCACCGCAGAGCGCAACCAACCGCAAGCACCACATCTTAGCTCCTTCTTTGAAAGTATACGTTATCGCCACGGCCGTCAACATCGTCAGGTCCACACAGCCGAGGATCGCGGCGCACGCGTCCATCCCGCACCGCCTTAAATATGTATAAATGTATAACACACCGCGCCGCACAGCGCACGCACGAGCTCACACAAGAAGAAAAAGGACGCAATCAGCGCCCCTCGGGTTTCCCGCGCCTCATGCGCCGTCCTCCGCCCTCCCGCGTGACAGAGGGAGAAAAAGCACGGGAGAACCGCGTGGAAACGACGGATGCCCGGAGAGTCACGGACGACAATCAGCGCCGCCCTGCCGCCGAGTCGTCGCATCAGCGGGGGGAGGGGGGGAGGAAACGACTTGCATGC